GAGGCAGCATGTGTGTGTGTATATATATATATATATATGTATATATAAACAAACAAACATACATACATACATACATACATACACGTGACCGCACATACATACCAGTATTTGTATATATATATATATATATACATATACATATACATATACATATACATATACATATACATATACATATACATATACATACATATATATATATATATATTATTATTATTATAGTTGTTATTGTCAATATATACACTTTACCCAGATCACAGATGTGCCGCATCTTTGACTGTAACCCGCCAGAGGAGGGCTACTTGTCTTTGCAGGATAAGCGGCCGTTGCAGGACGTGTTGCGGAGTGTTTCAAGCCAATGTTGAACACTCAGCGTTGCTCTTCAGGTGGTTGCCTGCGGCGAAAGCCACATGGTGGCTGCCAGCTTTGATGAGGATCCAGCAGTTTGACTATATGCAGATCCGTGTCTGCTGTCAAACATCGAGGAGAGCGCGGGGGCGGTGTTTACCTGGGGCTGCGGACAGAATGGGCGACTGGGCTACGAGGCCAGGCCAAGCACACGCTCCGCGAAGCTTTGCAAGTCACAGCTCGCGAGTCACTGAAGATCTCGCGCTTGCCATCGACGTGCGTATTTATGTGTACGGGTAGGTTGGTAGGGTGATTTTCTTTCTGCCGCTGTATCGTTGTGTGCGAAACCGGTGGAGGCTGCCTCACAAGGCTTTCCGCAGGCTGTGCCGTGGCTGACCCAGGAGCTTGGAGCGGCGGCCTTAACTTACAGAATCGCGCTGTCTTGTGATGGGACAATTGACAATAGGCTGTATGGCATTCCACCGGAGTCTTTAGTGTAGGCCGTAGACAAGTTGTTTATGTCATTCTCAGGGACGTCGGGAGGCATTGGCATGACCCGGTTTGGAGCACTTTGATACTTGTGAGGTAGAAGTGCGCTTTCCAGCCTTTTGTGCTGGGGGCTTCAGATGTTCGAGAGTGATGTGCCATCTCGGAACGGATCCTTGCAACAAGCAGTTGCATCTTTCCTTTTCGTGTACGTTTCGAGAAACACGATCAGCACCTTTTGTCAGATTCTTAGGTCGTCCACCGATTGAAACCATGCATGCCCATGCAGTATTCGTATCATCCCTACTGTACTATCGTTGCACTGTCCCACGCCCAGGCAACCCCGCTTTGGGCACAGCAGACCACCCGACAAAGCGTTGCTTGGCCGGCTAAGGATGCTTTGTCCGATCGGCTCGGCCAGAAGATGTCGAACACTGATACAGGCCTGCACGATACTACATAAGACATTCAACACTAATCGCCCGACGATGCCTGACCTTCGATGCACGACCAGCTGTCATGTGTCGGTCTCAAGCATCCGGAAAGAGAAATGCTGTGTGGCCACCCAGCTTTGCATGCGATTGCGAGGCACCCCCAGCCTGCGAGCCTCGCCTCCACCGCGTCCCTCCAGGAGGCACGCGCAGCTGATGCCCTGATACAATCTTTATCTGAATCTGTCCAGTAGCCGACATCAGTCGAATATGCACGAGCTCCCTGAAGGATGCTTGGGGGTTGATGGCTTTTAAAACCTTGGCAGGTTACCACAGCGCATCACGCAGGTGAGCTGTGGCCTACGTCACACTGCATATTTCTCAGGCTGTCAGGATTTGACATCTTTTGCATTTTTGCCTGGTCGTTTGTCTGAGGCTCTGATCTGCCAGGGTTGTCTTGTATGTTTCGGTGCTGATGACCATGGACAGTCTGCAGCTGAGTTCGCTGGGACTTTCGAGTGGTGTAGTCGCAAGATCTTTTGATATGCCATGCAACGAGGCTGGGTCGAGCTGGTGAGGAACTGATGAGGCTCGGCTTCCGGAACCAGCATGGTCTCAGAGCGTTTGATGCCAACTTGCACGATGACGTCAGGCCAAAGTTGCCTCCTTTTGCTTGCTGCCCGAAGTTGGAGGACCCTCGGGGGAGCACGGAAACAAGTTGAAAGTCCTAGTCCCTGCCTGTCTGATGGTCTTGAGCAAGCTCGGGCATTTTGCTTGCATGGTTCCAGGTTCCGGATGGTGTGCGGACCAAAGAGGTCGGGAGTCGTTGACAGATGCATCCTGATTGGTTTCTGTATGATTGGTTTCTGCATGTTCTTCCATCTCCCTCTCTCTCGTGTTCGATTGTACCCATCAGCTCATGTCCGGAAGGTGATCCAGCCAGCCATTTGGGTATGTTTCCACTTCATCTATGTTTTCTTTTTTCTGCTCTCCTCTTCCCCTGTCAGCACTTCCTTCCGTTTCGTCTCTCTCTATATACCAGCATCTGATTATCGACAGCAGACACGGCAGATTAAAACAGCTTCGCAACCTAAGCTCTTAAAAACGTGCTCGTTGCAACAAGACGCGGGGCAGTCAAGGTTTTCGTGCTTTTCGGTCTCAAAAAGGCAGGAATCCTGGACCCTCGCGAGGCCGCTCGCGTGTCGGACGGGTCCGTTTTAAGTTTTGAGGGTTTACAGTCTTTTTTGAAACTAATTTGGCGGTTCGTGCGGTTTGGTTCGCGGTTCGCGCGGTTGGTTGGGGTTCGGTTCGCTGTTCGGTTCCTGCGGTTCGGGTTGGTTCGGTTAACGTCGCCGAGTTCCCCGGGAGGGGCTCCGAAGGAGGAGGCGCCGGCCTCGGAAAGCAAGCGACAGGGAGCTGTGAGTTAGGGAGATTTGGTTTAGAGTTTGTACTCCAAAAAGACAGTTTCAAGGCCCGGCCAGCGTTCCGTGTACTAACAGACCGGAAGACACGGTCTTCGTGAAAGCTGAGTGAGCGAGTATGTGAAGGAGCAGGCATAACTTGTTTCGGTGCATAAGTCATACACTTCTCTTTTTTGGTATGAATGTAAGTATAGGTATAGTTTGTATATGTGCATGTATGTGAGCTCTGTGGAGCCTGGGGGAGTTGTCGTTTGCCAATTCGCTTTAGTAACTTTAGTAGTACGTAGGGCACCAGGTGAGAACCGTGTGTGGAACCTTGGTCGTTTAACAGCAGTTGAAGCTGCCGGGGAGGCGGGGAGAGACCCTGGCGAGGAGGCCCCTCCGTACCATAAGATGGCTGCCGGATGGTATAAGGTGTGCGCCCCCCTCGCTGTCGCCTCACTTCCTCTTAAGGTCCCCGTCACTTAGGATCATTTGCGAGCATCTTCACAGTGTTTTGGCACTGTGCCATCTCAATGCATGTTTTCTCCGCACGTGCTTGCTCTACCTGGCAGGATTTCCAGGGTCGGTTTAGGTTTTGCGGGCATAGTCACAGTCCTTCTGCATCGCACTATGTCAATGCAGTTACTGTCTGCATAATAATTGTCTGTTCGACCTGGTACGATGCCGCGCTGTCACTTTGTTTATCCTGTCTGTTGACCTAGCTTTCGTCGCCCATCTTCTCATGTGATCTCATGTGCCTATGTCTGTCTGTATGTATGTATGTATGTGTGTAATGTATGTATGTATGTATGTATGTATGTTTGTATATTTGTATGTTGGTGTGTTGGTATGCTTGTATGGCTGTATGTTTGTTTTGTTTCTATTTTTTCCTTTGTTTGTTTCGTTTGTTTGCTTGCTTGTTTGCTTGTTTGTTTGTATGTCTGATGTACTGCAATGGCGTGGAATGAAATGCATATAGTGTTGCATGGCGTTCTGTTACGTTTTGCACTGTCATGTTATGTTACGCTAAGTGATTTTGTGTTGCGTATACAGACAGGCGGGCAGTGAGGAAGGGAAGGAGGGAGGGAGGGCATGGGGGACTCGATGGATGGACGCATGGACAGATGTACGATGTACGTATGTACGTTTGCACGCATGTACGTATGTATGCATGGAGGCAGGTATGCAGCGCTGGATGGGAGGATGCGCGGATGCATCGATGGATGCATGTGTGTACGTATGGACTGGTGCGTAGACAGGTACGGACTTAGATGCATACAGTGCCGCTGTCCGTCTCTCACTGTCACTGTGTACGCTCATGCAAGCCCTGTTGCAAGTTACCCTGTCGCAAGCGCAACATCTGTTGAGACCGGACAGAACCGCCGATCCCTCGGCCTTGCTAGCTGCTAGACACAGCTTGCAGGTCTGCGCACGCCGTGTATGCTGCGGGCCTTTGCATACTGCAGCTGTTTGCTCTCAGGGGCATCCTGATTGCAGTTGGAGAGTAAAGCAAGTGTCAGCACATCAAAATATGCAGCGATGCGTGCAGCATCCATGCACAAAACGTGCTGTTCAGGTGCGTGCATATCTGGGGGATGGACCTGTGCAAGACGAGGGACCCCGGTGCGAAGGCCAGCTGCTGCTTTTGCAAGAATCCAGTTGAAGATGTGAAGATAACAAAGATCTGGGTTCTGCGATTGCGGGCGAAAGCACAAGGGCCCAACAACGCATCCTTGAACCCGACACCGAGCTAGCGATGGCTGTTGCAGTTGCTGTGTCGAAACAAGATCAGCAAACAGACAAGTGCTGTGCCATGTCCACAGGGTCCGGCAGCATTTTCGCCCCCAGGTGCCGCGCAGAGGGCCTCAGCCAGTGCCAGAGTTTGGACCTGAGAGGCGCGGGCCAACATGTTGCACTAGGACTAGGATACCTGAAGAAGGCAGTGTGTGAGCTGCATCCCACGCAGCTGCTGAGCGAAAGAGCCTGAGATAGTCTTCTAGGCGTCCATGTCCCCATGTACCATTCCCTTTCTGCATTGGAGGCGGCTCTGATGTTGAAGCCATTGGCTCCTTCCATAAACACGACATGGACATGACATCGGAGCCTACTGCCGACTGAGGAAATCCAAGTGCAACAATCAGCATGCGACATAGCCAGAACAACGTCATGGCTTCCCTGCCGGCAGAGTCTGGCCCAACTTCACTCAATACCCGTGGCCAACCCATGGTTGGTGGTTTCATCTCAGGTTGTTTTGCCACAGTGTCCAGGTCATCATATAAACTGTGAAAGTCCTCAGCCAACTGCGGGCTAATCACCCGGGCCATTAAACCAGATGCACGCCAAGCTGGGTTGGAGGCGGAGAGTGATGGCGGTACCTAGTTCGCAGCTATAGCTTGCATGCCCCAGGGGCCCTGATCTTTCTCTCTATCAACATGGCTGCTCAGGCAATGCTGCCCTTCGTGCTGCTGCTGTTGTGTTCCATGCCAGCGCATAACACGCGCTCTTCTTCGTGACAACCACATAAGCGCAAGTGCAGACGCTGCAGGTCTGCTTCCGCTTTCGACCGGCAAGCGCGGCAAGGGCTCTCGTGGACCATGGTTTAATGGTTGGTGCACGCGAATTACCGATCTCAAGGCACAGCGCCTCTTCGCTGCATTGGCAGACGACTTGCATGGGTCCAGGTCCTGTGGCAGCCGCTGTCGCCGAGGTACGATGACGCTGATCTTGGGCTCCTTTCACAACACGGAGCCGCAGTGGTCAGAGGCCTTGTCGGCTGCTTGCCAAGACTACAACAAATTGGTCGATTGCATGTTTGGCAGGTGTACACCGCTGTCCTTGTGGCGGATGCAGATGGTGAGCAGCATGTGGAGCAGGTTACTTTGACAAGCACCCTCTTGTAATCTTGTATATGGGTTGCTCCTGCACCAGCTGCACTGTGGCAGGTGTTTTCAGATCCAGCACAGGTGGCTCTGGCATGTCCTTCTTACTTCGGTCTAGACGAACAAGAATTCCACCGAATCCCCAGGCGTTGATGCAAAATGCGGACGTGCCTTCCGTTGAGCTGACACATCGTTACCATGGCAGCAACTCCTGGACTTTGCCTCTCGGGAGCCTTTGTTGGCAGACAGGATTCTGATAAAAGCCGATGGCCCGGCAAAGGAGCCAGAGAGCTCGAGTGCTAGACCCACGAAAACCCACATGCGGCTCCAAAGTGCAAGCGCGCCGAGTCGGAAAGAGAGAAGTTTGCCGTGTTACGTGAAAGGGGATCGGGCTAAAGGAAAAGAAGGCATCACCGTGTGGGCTCAGGAGATTTCAGACCAACGGCTCCAACTCAGCGCTCGACTCTTGGATTCGCAGAGCCGGACAGCGCTAGTCTGTGAGAGTCGAGGGGGCATGCGGCATGGCACAAGCTGTGAGGATTTTAGCTTCCCTTCTGGGCTTCGGCTCTCGGCGCAACTCTCTGGCCGAATCCTTTGGAATGCAGAGAAACCTCTCGAAGGTCCCGAAGGCTGGGCACGGCGACTGCCCCCAGCGATGCTGCCGCCCGGCGTGATCTAGGTCTACAGAAGCATCCTTTTCCCATCCTTTTTGTTCGGTCCTTGCTTGCACAGTCTCTGACTTTCGTGTGTGATGGTTGCTGCATTGGGGCTGGGGATTCGTACTGCGCGCAAACAAGCTCGTGGACGACACGAAACTCTAGGTTCCCGAGGCATTTGTAGGTGCATGCGAAGCAGAACCTGTGTGATGGCCGTTCTCGCGTCTTCTCATCTGCACGAGAAAGATCATGGTGCCGAGTGAGCGAGTTGGTCTTTTGACACTGCCAGCTCTAATGTTCGTCACGAGGATTGTACTCCCGTGTACACAGTTCACAGCAAATCGCACCACGCACAGCAGCCGTGGCTTGCAGAAACTGCTGACAGTGATCATCCGGAAGCGCAGTCTTTACTCATCCGACCGAATCCACCGTGTTTTGGAGAGGCCAACGCACTACTTCGTGGAAACGCTGGCGTCACCTACGGACTATGAGCTGAACGGCCACCAAGGCCAAGGTTTCGCTCACCAGGCTCCGAAGTGCTCTGATTGAACTTCCGAACCTTGCTTTGTGGATTCGTTGCGATGTATGCTCACAGGAGATGAACTACGGAAAGCGATTTCCATCAGCCTTCGTCTGGTCACAGGGTATCGCAGACGGAGGAACAACTCAGCTTGTCTTGACGGGTGGCAAGCTTCTTGGGTTTGAAGGCGGCTATTTGCTCCGAACTCTGTGGCATGTAGCAGCAGAGGTTCAAAGCTTGCAGACTTGCTGTCATATGTATCGTCGTGAAAGCAAAGGTTCACCATATCGGGTCTGACCACAAACCAATACATCCTGGCGTTCCGCTCCAAACATCGTCAGTGGACCTTCCGGACCATCGATGGGCATGGATTTCGTGATGAGGCATCATCACATCACATGCTCATTTTCTGCAGAGTGTGACCTTTGTTTCCTTTTCAGGGTGAGGGATATACCTGCTAGGCAGTGTTGTTGTTCTTGCAGCTCAGCTTTTTTGCACTTGCACTTCCTGTTTACATTTGCCCCAGGTGGATGGCTGCAATGGCACGTTCTCCCTGATAGCTAGATCACGGGGTCGCCGTCTGGAGCTCGTGATTTCGGCCCCGGTGAGCAGCGGCCCGCAACGAACATCGAGTTGACAACAGCTTTACACGTTCTAGCTTGGCCAAATTTCATACGTCGTATGTCATACCACGTGATACCGGAGATTTCTCCTGCAAGCAAGCATGTGCCAGGTTTCTCGGAGAACATCTTCGTGCCAACTGCGAAAGGATTTAGCCGAACTCCGGGCAGCACGGAAACTCACACGGCGACTGCGGTCGTTCGGCTGTGGGCCACTTGCCTCTGCACGTGCTGATATTGCTTCTATGATTGTGTTGACGATTGTAACTCACAGAGCCTGCAATGTGCCGAGGAGGCTCGACAGAAGCGGGTCGCAGAGTACGCCACGTTCAAGCAAGCAGCGCTGGAGCTCTTATTCGCAAAGATCTCATGTCTGAGCCACGCCATAGAATTGTCAAGCGACTCTTCATGACTCGTCTCTGCCGGCCTGTAGCCTCCAGGAGTTCGGTGGCCATTACAACTGCGCAGAGCCATCGATGCGGGCAGCACCGGCAGAGAGTCAAGGATCTGAAAGATTGGCCTTCGTTGGCTTCCAGGAGCCCAGGAGTCGATTCAGAGGCCGCCGCAGCCAGAGCTTGGGTCGCGGGAAGCTGGCGGCCGTTGCGCGAAGATCTGCCGCTCCGGCCGCGCTCTGGGCCGGGGCACTGGCAGCAGCTCTGCTGCTCCGGGCGAAATTTCGGCAGAAGCAAAGGACTCTGCAAGAGGGCATCGCAGACTTTTACGATGCCTCTACAGGCGTTTGGGTTGAGATCTGGGGGGATCATTTGCACCACGGCTACTACGAGGACGGATGTTCCGGGACGGGGCGGGGCCCGCGGAGCGTTGCATTCCCATTCGCCTGTGTCTGCGAAGGACAACTCGTGGAGATCCCTGAAGCAGCACCGAGAGGCTCAAGTCCGGATGATTGAGGAGGTGCTGAGTTGGGCAGAAGTCTCATCAGACGACCCTCCACAAGCGATCCTGGATGTCGGCTGCGGCGTGGGAGGCTCTTCCCGCTACCTGCAGAAGAAGTACGGTGCAAAGGTCACCGGCATCACTCTGAGCCCCAAGCAGCAAGCACAAGCCACAGCGCTATCCAAGTCACAGCCCGACTGCACTTTCAAAGTTGCGGATGCACTGAAGATGCCCTTTGCAGACAACTCTTTTGACCTCGTGTGGTCGCTGGAAAGCGGCGAGCACATGCCGGAGAAACCCAAGCAGCTTGGCACCAGCAAGTCTTTACGATTGTCGTGATCCGGGTCAGCTCTGAGGTTTATGAGTGAAATGCACCGTGTGTGCAAACCTGGTGGCCGTATCATCCTCGTCACCTGGGTGCACCGAAATCTGGAAGAGAACGAAGCGCTGAAGCCGAAGGACGGCTTAGCGGACTCTGGTCCCAGATGTCCCGATGCAAGGGCCACCATTGTCATGTGCAAGCTGCTGCATCAACCTGCGATTCAGGAGGTGCGCCTCCTCAAGCGCATTAGCCAGGCGTACCACTTGCCAGATTGGTGCAGCATCGACGACTACTGTCACATAGCCACGGAGAAGTTGGGCATGACAGGCCAGGGACTCGTGGTAGCAATGAAAAAAAGCTGTAGAAGAGAAGTGGTGCAGGCGTAGGTGGCTCTTGCAGCTTTTGGTGCATGCGACAGGGAGGCGCAAAGGGCACGGGGGGCACGGCCCAGGCATCCGAAGCGATGACTGGTCCAAGTTCATTGCGCCCTTCTGGTCCGCCGTTATCCAGACGGCCTTGCAGCCACGGGGCTGGTGGGCGCTCGCAAGAGGCACCCAGGAAAGTCGAAGTCGCCACACACTGACGACGAATTGCACTTCTTTTCTCAGGTGGCCTGGAGACCTTCCGTGGCGCTTTGGTGATGCCTCTCATGAACCGTGGCTATCGAACTGGAACGGTCCGCTTTGGCTTGATGACGGGCTGCAAGGTGCAAGGCCAGCTCGATCTGCCACTAGACACGGCAATGTCTGACTGCGGGGATTGCCAGTGATTGCTGTTGCTACCTTGCCCAGTGCATGATGCACTGCAGCGGCGAGAAGCAGTCGCAGCAGTCGCATCCAAGAGTGGCAAGCCACGTGTATGGATGTCATGTGCTTGCTCTTTGCCAGGCGGTGATATTGCTGCTGCGAGTACGGCTGCTGCTTCTGCACCGTCAGCGCTGTCGGCGTGGAAAGCAAAGCCAGAACGGCTGGCGCTCTGTGGCGCTTTGGGGCAGGCTGGTTTTGCTGCGCTTCCCCATCCTCACCAGGTAATGGGGGGAGGGGAGGGGTGTGGCAGTTCCCACATTATGCCTTGCACAGGTGGTTTCTTCGACCACGAAATCCTCGAGACTCGCCCCTCGGATCAATCTCGGCGGCACCGGGAACGCGAATAAGACCTACGGTGATCAAAGCCAGGAAAGCGCACGCGACAAAGACGTGAATGCACCATAATGGGCTTGTCGTCCACCACCGAGGCTGCTCCACTTGGCACAGTCTTGCAGCAATCCATGCAATGGAGAATTGTGAAAGCAGAGCCTCAAAGGCCCATAGTAAGGCGAACGTGCACATGCCATGCGGGTGACCGGGATGCCGAATGAATGGCAGAACATGTTCGGTGGGAATGCTTTTCGACTGTGTCATGGTCATCAGCTCCCATGCAGTGTTTTGATGTGTCATATTTTGAAGCCCTAACCAGAAGCCCTAAGCCCGATCTATTCCTATCCTTGTGTGTTTTCCAGATCTTCCAGTGCTCAGGCAGCCTTGCTGGCCAAGGTCAAGACCGTTTGGGCCACTTAGAAGAGATTCAGTAACAGGAGCCCTTTTAGGCCTACAGTCTAAAGTGTTTTTTCGGTGTGTTTTCGGCGCTCATTCGTGCATGCTTGCCTGCAAGCTATCAATAAGGATTTTACGCGCCCCCACACATTGATCGGGACAGTCATCTCGATCACGACGGAAGCTCGGCAACATGCATCGGCAGGAACAATGCATCGCGTGCCGGTTGGATCGCAGGAACTCCAGCTGCTTGAGGTACACCTCTTTGCAGTGGCTCCGGTGGCTTCCATCAGCTGGCCGCTTTTCGCGATCCAGACTATCCGGGCGCTGGTGCCGGCAATGCTCGTGAATGCCTCTCTGGTGTGAAAACATCGGACTGGGAAGGCCAAAACCTCATCTCTGGCTGTCTCGCACCGAAGCCAAGGTCTACATTACTGGCCTCAACCAGATCTATGATGCAGCTCGTATGACGACAATTCGCAGACAACGTCTCGAAACCTTTGTTCTCATCAGGTCGAGATCGATCGCCAGTCGCGGGCTCAGCGGTGCAGTCTAAAGTTGCAGCTTGAAAACGGTTTCTGCAGCTGAGGAATAAGCCATATCTCCCGATTCCCTCTGGACGACTCTCCATTGGCTCTGCATGGCTGATCGTGCTTGGCTCTCTTTTCGGTGCAGAGGCCGTGACATGCACCTATGAGAGCCTTAGCTTGAGCCGTGCAGCATTCAACTGTCCATGCGGAGTAGACGTCACGCTTTGCCGAGGACGGCTGGTGTCATGGCCCTTCAGTTCCCTTTGATTGCAAGCGCAATCTTGGGTACAGCTTACTCGGTGCCACCCTTTCGCTTGAAGCGCTTTCCTTTTCTGGCCGCGCTGAGTAGCTTGGCCATTCGGTGTATATCCTGATTTCTTGTGCTGATGTTCGTGTTGCTCTGCTTCCACGCTCATGCTATCATGTGCTGAAAGATTGCAAGACAAGACTACACAAGGCATCATCGTTGTTCGCGGTGTGGTCGTCAACATGGGCTTCTACTATTACATTGGGCATGCCCTTGGTGTAGCAGGCTTTTGTAGTCGCGCAGGTTCCAAGCTCCCTGTGCACTTTGTTGCTGTCGTGCAGGACAGGTGTCGACATTCCGAAGCGCAATGGCTGCAGCCTTCTTTGCAGCTTTCGGCCTGGTGATAGCTTTGATGAAGGACCCTCGCTTTCGTTTGCCTTTGTCTTCAGCCATGGGGATGCAGACGCCGAGTTGATGTTTGTAGAACTCGTATATGCTGGAAGAATTATCGTCTGCCCTGTGCCTTACAGCTTCTCAAGGCGAGTGTGTCAGGATGTTCCCGACGTGATTGGGGACCAGAAAGCGAGCATCCGGTCGGTCAGTGTGCGGTTGGGCCCAGCGCGGGCCTTGCAGATTGTGCCTCGGCGATTTGAGAATTAATTCAGCGGCACTTGGCACGGCCGCGGGTGAGCAGACGTGCAGGCCGTATTCCTCCTGAAATCATTGCTGCTGAGCACTGCGGTGAGCTTCAGTGTGGCGAGCGTCTTGGCCATTGCGACTGGGGTTCCTGGCACAGCAATTGCCAGAGGCGGCGGTGTAGAGTGGACGGAAGTGCTGTGCCGCCACGAGTGTTTGGCAGCCCCTATGCTTCATCTTGGCAGGCGTGTTGGCCGCGGTTTCCCTGCTCTTCTGCAGATCCCTTCGAAGAAAGGAATCGACGGGAAAAAGCCGACACTGGGAGCTTCCAGAAGCAGGCGCTGGGTCGTGTGAATATCATCCCCGTGAGGAGAAGCTCGTCGATGCTGAGAAGCCGAAGCAAGTATTCGAGTTCTACATGTTCGTGTGGAAGATCTTCTATTTGTGTTACTTGCTGCTTCCACTGGCCGCGTGAGCTGTCTGACTTTGTGCGGTACAGAGTCGGTTGCGTGTGGGTGGGGCACCTCTCCGTTTTCCATCTGGCTTTGCCACCGGGGTGCCCATGTCGTTCCGGCCGTAGCCTACTAGGTTACCATCTCGAATCGTTGAATTGTGTTCGGCAGTAGCCACTTCACTCAGCGACAACCAGAATACAGAAGTCGTGTCAGCAGATTTATCATGTCTCTGTGATCGCCAAGGGTTGCTAATCCCGATTTGTAAATGTTTGCGGTCTCACTGCCGAACGTTTCTGGCTGCTAGAAGCGCCAGACACTAGCTCCAAAAGCTTCTCAGGGCTTTGTTCCTCTTGCCTTCTCATCTACAAATCTGCAAGCTGCTTTGTTCGTGCTGTGTTCGATTCTTGCTGAGACGAGGCATCTCGGATAGTTGATCCACACATAACTAGAGCTTGGTTCCAGCTTATGCCGGCAGTCCGTTTCGCGTGCCATGCATGCGGTTCCGACTGCCCGTGGCAACCGTATGTGCAACAACAGCCGTAGTAGCGGCTGTAGACCGAATGGCTGAAAAGCGGACGGTTTGCACTGTGATGTGCCATAGAGGGGTGTGCTATGCTGCTCGATTGCAGCTGGAAGCTTGAAGGTCCAGGCCGGCAGCATACAGTACATTGCTGTGCAGGCCAGTCGTGGCACTCGCCTGTGGTGCCCACTTCGTTGTTTGCTCCGCCGAGGTAGCGCCAGCACCTAAGAAGTGAGCATGTACTGAGCATGTAGGCTTCCAGCTCCCCGGTGCCCTCGCAGCGTTTCTGAGGCTACCTCGGCTGGACCCAGAGGAGAACCCGAACGTGTCACAGGAGGCCAGCTTTGGAATTACAGCGAAGCGGCAAAGCGACGCTTCGCGGTTGGCAGGATCTCTTGCTGGGCTTCTGTGATGCCAACTCACCAGGCTCGGTTCTGATGCTGATGATGTGCTATGACATGTTTCTCGCTACCCACATAGCTTTCATTTCGCTAGTTCGATCTCTTAAAGCTCTCAATCCACATGCGAGGTGTTGGCAGTTCCGTGACATCCTGGAGGCATCCGGGCCAGAGCGTTTGGCCATCCCAGTGGCAGTTGACTTGACTTCTCTGTCAGGCCGGCCCACCTTCCGCCAAAGGCGGAGGAGGAGTCCGAGCACCATCGTAACCTCGCTTTCGCCCCAGCTGTCATCTTCAGTGCAACAAAGTTGCTGGCACTTGTCACCGCTTTCTCTGATCCGTGGCTGCTTTCATTGCCTCATGATCCCGGCATCCCGGCCAGGTTCGGGCCTTGGAGCGCAACGTGCAGCTCTCAGAAAATGTCAAGCCGAAGCCGAAGAGCTTGTGTCTGCTCGCTGCGGTCGTCGACATCACCAGGTGCAGAGGCGGCTTCTTCAAGAGCAGCGTGAGGAGCAACGCGTGTGAGAGTGGCAGGCCCAGGCTCACTGTTTGTGGCGAGGAGCAGCAGAGACGACAACGAGAAGAACGTCGAGAGCGCCGTCTGCAGGCGCCACATGTAAGCCGGTTTGGAGAGTGGCCAGCGCAAGACACTAGCGGACCCATCAGACCCACCCAAGTGACTCATGCGGTATGGCATGACATCGAAGAGGTTGGCCGGAGCTTGTCTCAGGAGCACACCGACGTGTGGCTTCACGAGCTTCTTCCCAGCTTTGTTCCAGGCGTCCGCATACTTGGAGGATGTCAGAGGATGCCAGCAACAGCACTGCAGCAGAGGCATGGAGCCGACGCAGCGCATGCAACGCCTTTGGCGCCAGGGCTTGCCCCCACGAGTCCGCGAGGCCAGCGATGCAGGTGTGCAGGTCATTTGAGGGTGCCCTGGCTTTGGCAGCAGGTGCAAGCTTCGAAGCATGCAGATGCTAGATTTCCATGCGCTGAAGCATCTCGCCGGCACAGGTTGTGTGGCCAGTGGCAATTGGAAATGCAGCTTCCCTGGTCGAGTCAGTGCAGTTTCACACACGTCGCGCGAAGTAGTCGAGTAGTTGAGTGAAGCAGGGCTTGAGTGAGCTTCAGATCCGACTTCGGGCTCGCGTCTACGAGGTGCTGCGAATAACACCGGAGCTTTTCGAGATCCACAAGCAACGTGCAGTTGACGCTCGAAGAGCGCAGGCCGCCCTTGGCACATGCTGTTTTTTGCTGTGCAGCTGTGCCATGCTGTGCCTCTCCGTGCCTCTCAGTGCCTCTCTGTGCCTCTGCGTTTGCGCGCTTTGCGCAGGTGACGGCCTCAAACGTGCTTATCACTCTGACTGATGCGCGTGGACCTCAGCAGCTTCGGGCCGCTGCAGCCGGGTCACGCGATGGGACCCTGGGTGGACCGTGGCAGTGTCTGGCAAGTCCCGTTGCCTCAGGCCACCCAATCGTGGTCGAGAGCAAAGCACGACCTGCATTCCTTTTGCTCTGCCCTCAGTTTGCAACATCTCCTTTAAAGACCTTTCGAAGCCGTCGCTTAGAGGACCTGCCGCGAACTTTTCCAACGTTGGCCTTCTTCAGCGAGGCCTTGCAAGAGTCTTGCCGGTTTATTTCTGGCTTTTCGGCAGCATCTGCAAGCAACGGCAAGCAGTTCTGCTTTGTCAGGGCGGTCCTCTTCATGAAGACTGCGCGCGGATTTTGGAGGCAGTGAGGTTATGGCCCCGCCACAATTCACGTAGCCTGCAGACCTTGAAGGCATACACTTTCTTCCGGCCGGATATCGGCTATGTGCAGGGCATGCATGCGCCTAAGGTGGCTGAATCGTAACAGATGCATGCAGATGCGAGGAAATGGGCTTGGTCGCTTTGTCGAGAAATGGTTTAAGGAGCTACCTGGCGGCCATGCTGCTCCTTTACTTGCCTCCGTACGAGTCCTTTGCGCCTTTTCAGCATAGAAGTGCTTCGCAGCAAGCGATTCCCCTACTTCCGCCCCATGTGGCAAGGTTGGCCTGTGCAACTTGCTGAACACGCCCTCCGTGACCTGGAAGTAATTACAAGGCATTATCCAAAACCAAGCCCTTCAATAATCACGGCGGAGCTGAAGATAGCAATGCCGAGAGCTCGAACCCTGTTTTCCGAGGTACTCGGACTTTATCGTCTTGAGCCCCGTGCAGTTGCCTGTCGGGACTGAACCCCAGGGAGCAGCCGGGTATCTTCTGCTTTTGCCGGAAATGGTCTTCAGGCCCGCGTCTTCGAGCAGCCGGGATCTTGGGCAACTCTGTAGAAGACTTGCGATGTTGTGATTGGTTGGCGGCTCAGCATCAGGCTGTGTTCGCAGCAGCTTCCGGATGTGTGCAGATGCAGCATCCTCGGCCTTCAATCGTGTAGGCCTACCGTGTCGCAAATTCCCTGAAGCTAGCAAGACTCGGGAGTGAAAGATCCTTTTCGAGACTTGCAGCGATGCATATGTAGCCGTCATTACTTTCGGGCGATCCTGAGGCATTCGAGACGTCGGACTGATGCCAGAGATGTGCTGCTCTCAGTGGTTTCCAAGACAGGAACTTGCGCCGAGTTCCCCTGGGTGGAAGACCACGTTTATGTCAAGCAGCTTTATCAGCTGGCACACCTGATAAGCTAATGTTGTGCCTTGACGGGATCACGCGTAGCACTTACTTTTGAGAAACATATCTTGCGGAGTGAGGACCTAAGCATTCCCTCAGCTTTTCATCGTCCGACGGTAGCTTTCGAGACTTCTGGAGGGGAAGACTCCTCAGCTGTCGGCTCCCCGAGATTAGCTGCCCTGCATGGGAAGGTTCCTCATCGACTGGTTCTTGACCGTGTTCGCAAAGTGGCAGCCTTAGCACAGAGAGTCCGAGAGGCTTCAGCTTCCTGCATTCGGACACGCCGTCTGCCATGTACTCGCGCGCAATCGTTCAGCAGGTGCTTGACTGTGGATGTCGCTTCGGTGGTGTGGGACCTCTTTTTGCTGGATGGCGAGGCAGACACTCTTGCTAGACACGCGACGGCATGCAAGTAATGCATGGCTGCTTGCGAGGTTGTCCTTTACTGCACGGCCATCGCCATACTGCGCATTCTGGAGCCTGTGTGGCACGAAAGGTTGAACGGTGCCTGCCCTGTTCTGCTTCTCGGCTCCGCGTTCTACCTGGAAGGAGTTCCAGCTGCTGCATCCGGATGGCCGTCGGGGCTTGAATGCGGCCAGGATCTGACACACTCCTCGTTGGCACTCAATGGGTCCTCACATAAGATTCTACCTTGCGGTCTGATTTAGGTGTGCAAGTTAGGCCTTTGGCCATCGTAGCCCCGACCATGTATGGTGCCCCGATAAAGGATTGGTTTGGTGTGGAAGTGCACTGAAGCCATGTGATGAAACAGAGGTTGCTGGCCAGAATGCATCGGGTCGAACATTGGCACACTGTTGCCTGAGGGCGGGTAAAACCCCATAACGTAGATTGCTGACAGTCGGGCAGCCTACCGAAGACGATCCGTCTTCCCGAAGTTGATCTGATGCACAAACCCAGGCACAACCTGATCTCGAAAGCTGCACACGGGTCCTGAACGAGGCGAGGGCTGCCGCGGCTGCAACACCTCGGACCCGCACTTTCCGGCCCAGGAGCTGCGGAAGCGCGTGAGCGACCCCGACGAGCTTCTGTGGCACATCGCACAGGCTCTCCTTCGGACTCTGGAGGACAAATCGAAAGCTTCAAAGAAAGTCGCCCTTCCCTTCCAGGTGCGACGAAGGGCTCCCCAGCGCATCTTTGCTCCAAGCTCAGTGTGAGCAACGCTTCCGCTGACTCATTCCGACTTTGTGGAGCAAGCCGCGCATTGCAAAGGGCGAGATTCGAGCCATCGAGAACATGGAATTCGGCAGCCAAGGAAGAGTGTCGACACGAGGCTGGCTGAACGAATGTCTCCTGCAAGTCTGTTTTTTCATGTAATGGGGCAGGCTCCATTGCTAGTGCATTGACGGGCGCATCGTTCTTCACAGCAGCAGCTTGGCATCCAGATAAGTCACGGTGGAAGAATCTCAATGCATGTTGCTCGTTCCTGTGCAGGCCAAAGAGCGCATTCTCTCTCGCTTGCTGCCTTGAGGACAAAGGAACTTTGCTTTCCACACAGGGGTAGGCAACAAGCCAGTGGGAATCGCTTTGGTCCTTGCCACCCTGATGGCAGCATCAATAGCGTAGCCTAAGCTTGGGGTGTTCGCTTCCGCTCACCTCAAAAGACAAAGGCATTTCAGGCGTTCCACAGTGGCGGTTTTGATACGTCGGGGCTAGAATCCCAATGTTGAAGACATCTTGAGTCTTCGGGTGTGCGGGTAATTGCACTTGCCGGCCCTGTTGAGTAGCTTGGTTCAGGCTCACCAAGCACATGCCCTTTGTGCGTGCCGATGTTGCCAACCTTATGCTCTCCATTGAACCCCTTACCGAACCGAATGCAGCAAACTTTTGATGCATAGGGCGTGTAATGCCGTGCGGCTCCAGCTGTCAGAGGGTGCTGCAGTTTGGTGCAATTTTGGCAACGGACAGCCGCCCACCGCAGCACCCAAGGTTCCACTGTCACAGCGTATCATGTGTGAAGTGATGCTGACACCAATCATGTCAGGTCATGGACAAGTCAAGGTTCGTTGAACTGCTGAAGGTGCGGTTGCAACGTGCAGTGAATATGCACGTTTCTTTCCAGATTCCAAGCACGTGCTTCTCGAGTCGGACTTTCAAGACTTTGCGATATCCCAGGGGCTGCAGACTTCAGAAAATGCCGTGCGACAGCAGGCAGAGACAATGTGCCCTTGATTCCTATTGGGCTGCAGATCACGGCTTGACGAACTAAGTCTCTGATCACTTGCACAAGCTCGGCTGTCGCAGGTACCAGACTGCAAAGCAATCAGAGCCCGACAACCTCATAGTAGGAATGATGTGTGCCCCCCGGAACAAACGTTACGTGCCAATGTCCGTAGTCGTTTGGTCATTGATGACCATGGCATGCAACAAGATAGTCCGCAGCTGAGGGCCGTCTTGGGAAGCGCAGACGTGCCCGAGGGCGTTCGGAGGTCAGTTCTGAAGCATGCTGAAGTTTTGCATTGGTAGGTTTTCTCTTTTTGCATGGTGCAGTAAGTTTGCGTTTACCAGGTGTCTTTTCGCATTTTGCAGGCACGACTGCGTCCTCTTGCGCCAGCTGGTAACCAGGGGGGCTGAGAAGGATTTCGTCTATGCCAGGACTGCTGAATGCAATTATCGAGCCAAGCCGGCCAGCGATGGAATAGTTGGAATAGTAATCTGCCTTGACAAGGATAACCGATGCTCACAAGCAGGAGGCGCCCCAGTGGCCCGTAAGTCAAGAGGAGGCAAAGTTGAGAAGCCAAACATGGTCAGGTTGCTGCGGAGCTCTTGCGACAGTACGAGCAGGAGGCAGAATACTCGTTCTAGCTTAGTCTGAAGTGCTTCGAGGAGGTGCGTCTCATGGTCAAAAGGTTTTAGGACGGGAACCTGCAGAGCCTGGTCTTGTCGTAGTCCTTTCTGTGAGCAGAGATTCCGTGCCAGAAAATTCCAGCGATACAGAAGAAGATCGGCGAGGCCCCTCACTCAGTCGTGGGAAGGTCATGGCATGACGAGCCTTCTAAAGATGATTGCAGTTTGCACGAATAGGTGATCTCCAAGTTGGCAGACTACGTTTGCGACACGGACTGTGCTTTTGCGAGCATGATCTTTGGCTTGCCTGTTTTGCGCCTGGGCATTCCGCTTACTTGGTTGGGCATTTCTTGCAGGATGATCCTAGAGCCAGCCTGGGAGCACCGTCCGGCTGGCCCGGACCCCAGACGCAGGGCCAAGTTCTGGTTGTGACCGCAGTCTTGACTATCGTCGTCGAGAGGGCGGTGATGACGATGATGACCGTGATGATGATCACCATCAACAACATCATCGCTTGTCCCGCGTGTTACCGTTGAACTATCATCATCTTAACCCTCATCTTCGTCGTCATCGTCGTCATCTGTATCATCTGAGTGGCCATATGTCTGCAGTGCTCTCGTGCAGCCAGCCGAGGCCGGCCTTGCTACCACAGGTCTTCCGAATGGCTCCTCCCATGCAAAGAGGGGAAATGAGGGGAAGGTGTGAGAGGGGGGAAGGAGGGGTGGTGTGGTGTTGGTCAGTTTTTTGGTGTAAGCGCTGAGGCTGATACGAGCACAGCCACTTCAGTCGAGAGCTGTGAGTCAGCTCTTCGGCTCCTGAAGGCAGGGGAGATGTGGGAGATGTTGCGCAGCATGTGCACGCAGTGCCGCAGTGCTGGCATCGGACCTCCGTGCAGGACTGCGTGCCGACGCTGAAAGATCAGATCGTTGCAGCGAAACAGCAGCCGGGATTCCTGGCACGCACGACTGATTCGTCTTTCCGGCTCCCGCAGCCCCAGTGGGACTGTTCTTCCTGTGCTCTCAAGTAGCACCTGTCGATTTCTTCCTTGCCCAGGTTGGGCCAAATCATTCAGAACGGTTTAGCATCGCCGCAGGCCGCTTGTGACTGCGACGGTGAGTTGCGACTCTCCAAGACCTGACCAGGTCAAGCACAAAGTAGCAACCTTCCTCCTGGTCTGTGAGATTGTGACTGAGACGGAAAAGAAAGGCCTGATTGGCCACTGGGCACCGGACGATGTTGAAAAATCTCAAAGATCGCGCCAGCTTGGGCGCCCCTTCTTTCCACCGTCGGCGTCCTCGTGCAGGCCAAGCTTCTCACACGCACTTCATTCTTTGGTGAAGTACTTGCTTTTCACGGCACTGGTCAGAGAGTCATGTCGATGCATGTCGCTTGATCCCGCTTGTCTTGGCTCAGTTGCTTGAGTGTTTTTGGGAGAGCTGCTGGTCTCCCCAATGTCTGCCCGCGCGGTGGGCCGGAGTGCTCGTGCTCTGTGGCTCAGGCATGGACCGCAGCCTGCCTTGGGTACATGCCGGATGCAGCATTGTGTGGTGCGCGCCTTTTGCTTGAGTCTCTGGCAGGAATGACCTCCGCCTTGACGACAACCTTGCGCTGAAGGCCAGCCATTCCAATCTGCTGCTGGGTCATTTTGGTCATGCGTCACTCAAGCACAAAGGGTCAAGAACCTGTTCCCTGCCCACACTGGACTAAGCTAGGGCAGTCAGCGGGTGCGTGAGGCGGCAGCGGAAGGTGCCGAGTCCTTGCTGCCTGTCTTTGTGTTCGACCCCTCTCGCTTCAACGTGCCGACACTGGCAGGCAGGCTGCCAATGCCGCAGAGATGTGTATGCAACCGCGTTCAACTGTAGCTGTGCTGCGTCGGAGGTGCACGAAAGTGCAACGCCCGGCGTGCCCGCTTCTTGCTGGAGAGCGTGGAGTGTCTCCGCCGGCGCCTGGAGAGTGTCGGCTCGGGTCTGGCCGTGGCACTTGGGCCTCCACAAGAGGCGGAGCGAGATCAGATCTCCTTAAAAAGGGCCCCTCGCAAGGGGCGCCGTGTCGTGCTGTCAGGTGATTCCGAAGCTCTGCGACGGCTGCAGTGCTGTGGCCGTCACGCAGGCCGCGGGTGCGGTAGGAACGTCCGTTAGCTATATTCAGTCAAAGTGTTATTATGCTCGACGGCCTTGCCCTAGCCAGGGCTATTGCAGTGAAGAGCAGCGAGAAGAAGCCCTGGTGGCCAAGCGGCTCCGCACAATGGGTGCAGAGCTGACTACTGTTTGGGGAGGCACGCTCTACATGCCGGAGGACACCGAACGGTACGATTCTTTAATGATGGTTCACGTTCTATTTCGCTTCAAATTTTTGGTTGCCTTCATCGCTTTCTGGTTTGGACACCCGGGACGCTTGCGCTTGCCGTTGGGCCGTGGAGTCGAAGGCCCCAGAGTGAGAAGTAGAATCGGAACTCCAAAGTGTGCTCGGGCGTGGAGCGCCCTCGTTGAGCACGAGAAGGAAGTCATGATGTGGAAGATCAGGCGAGGAGCAAACATAGAGGAAGCCGTTAAAGCAGTTGAGTGTGCCAGCATGCAGGGCGTCCTACCAGTATCTCATGTACCGTAAATGTGCGTTGTGCCCGACTCTCCCAGACGGGTGCAGTCAAACCGCATGCAATCGTCAGCCTACATTAAAATAAAGAGCCGTTACACTTGCAGCGTAACCAGCTGACCCCATGTCATCATATGCAGAGACAGATCCAACTGCTCAGTCACGAGCGACACAACTGAGGAAGAACAGACAGACGTGACACCTGTTGCAACAAGACCTGTTAAATCTGTCGGCTTCTGATGGTGGTGATGGCTATGATCACCATCAGCTTCGTCTTATGATGTCTTATGCGTTGTCGTCGTCGCGCTCATCAGGAGTGTGGACAGAACCCTCGCAACACACCGCTGCTTTTCACGTCTTTCAAGAACAAGGCCGGTTGGGTTCACTTTTTTTTTTGACGATGTTGTGCATGAGCTGATAAAGTGACGAACGGAACAGAGTTTGTACGGAGAACAGAGTCATATCTACCAGTACCAGATAAAAAAAGCAGGTTTATTGCCCATGGGAAAAGAAGCAACAGTGTAAATTACAACAGCGATGACGGTATCATACCATTATGGTTCGTGATGCAATGACTATCTTTGTTACATCATGAACTAATTTGGCAATGCTGCGGAAAGGAATCATTAATGCCTATGTTTGAAAGAAAAGCCGCAGTAGCAAGCGAACAGCCCGAGTCAATGTGAACAGCGAGGCCAGCAGTACCAGCACCATGCGACATGAGCAACGGGCACGACAGTGCAAATATTTCAGTACTCTGGCTATGGATAGTGGTGGTAGTTTTTCGTGTCTTGAAGTCTGACCACAGCAATGTGACGAGCAATGAATCAACCGACATTTGGCACCACTTGGTTGTCGAAAAGGGACAGATTCGTCTAAGGACATGTTGCAGAGTAGCGGGTGTCAGAGAGTTTGTGTTGTATGTGTCCTGCGCATGGGAGCGGTGCACAGTAGTTTGGGGTTGGCCATACGAATTACTCGAACAGTTGCACTGTGACTCCAGTTCTAGTCTTTAAAGTGACGCACACCAAGCGCTGTATCTGTAATCGTCTCCTGCTCCGGCGTTGTAGCCTACTATGGCATTCATGCTCTTAAGAATACTATCAGAAGATTTGGTCTAGGGCTTGGTGGTTTCCAGATACTAAACCGCAGATCGCTGGAGTCTTGTGAGGTATTCTGACGGCATTGATCATGTTTGTGCAGGGTGGTTATTGATGGCAACACTTGTCACATTCAAGAAAACAAACATGATGCTGCCGTCGACTACACTCTGTTGCGAGGAGTCTGACCACTGAACAGCCTGCATCGTACTGTCACGCTCGCCAAGTTAGCTCTAAATGCACGTGGTAATCCCTGACGCCCTAACGCACTATCTGAGGCCGAAGGCCGCGGCCAAATCAGGAATCCGGTGCCCGCGCCGAAGCAGCTGCCTTCCCTCCCGAAGAAGCAGGGCGAGCTCGAGACTGCCTTAGGCGCATGTGGCCTTGAAAATCACCCCTTGTGCCTATGTGTAGTAGTATCGTCAGCACCGTTGCTTCTTCTTGCCATCTACACATATTCTGTGCGTGTGTCCCCGGTTTTGTGCATGTATGTATGTATGTATGTATGTGTATATACATATATAAGCATATACATATATATGTATATATATATATATATGTACGTATGTGTTATAAATTCGCACGAGTACATGGAGCCTCCCCGCTCCCCAATTTATCCAGGCTTTTCCTGGTTTTACGACCGTGTCTTGCACATTGAAGATTCCGTGTAAGCTGTCAGGGAATCTGAACGAGAATTTCTCCTCGCGCAACAAATTCGGCTTCAGAAACTCACCATGGACTCTGATTTCTTTCTTGCGACCTGCACAACCACATCATTAGCCTTAAATGCATTCTACTACTATAGCCTTAGATATGCAAAGTACCTAAGCTGAGGCTGATACGGGGGCCCAATGATTTGCCGTATGTGGGTCGCCCTGATTTAGTAGCGGTCTGAGCTTGTAGTATATTCACTGGTCAGGTCTACTTGGTGAAACTTGTTGCCTGTAGCTACTGCATAAGACGTCGATGCAGTTGTTGAGCACGCCCCTTGTGCATATTGAGGATGGCATTATGTACATGTGTTCATTATGCAGCAGCGCGTAGATAGTCGGCTGGGGTTGTAAGGCTTCACGAAAGGTTTAGTATGCGATTTCCCACGCAAAAAGCCGGGATGCGTGGCGTTATATAGATCGGTGTTTTGTTTTCACAACTGCTTGTCCTGCAGTTACATATTGTTGGCACAATTCTCAGGTTGCGTGTTACGTTGCAAGACTGTAAAAGCAGGTTTCCTGCCGACTCTGCAGCAGCTTGGATACGACGACAGTGAGGTCGCCGAAGCGATGCAAGATGATCCGAGAGGCCTTGTGTTGGTTCGGACTTCCTATATAAGAAGATATGCATATGTGATCACGCCATAAGATCAATGTCTACACAGAACAGCTACCTGAAACTAAATACACGTATAGCAGTACGGGCATTGAGCTTCATGAACCTCTCTCTCTCTCTCTCTCTCTCTCTCTCTCTCTGGCATTGCATGCCGGACACGGGCACGTATGTTCAGGTGTTTTGCCGTTTCGAGGCGGCGAGGATGCAGTAGCTTGCCTTCAAAGCCGGTGTTTTCGATTGCCTTCAACGACGCAGAGTTGCCGCCTGATGTTCAGGCGCTGGCACGGCTGCAGAAATGGATGTTCGATGATAACCACCTGAAAGACTATTTCGAAATCCGGAGACTTTGCAGACATAGACATAGCTGAGCGTGCCCGTTTGTTTATGGACTCTCGCTGCTTTCTTGCTGGCCTCTTTTCGAACCGCAAGGAAGTTCTGGTCCTCTGTCTCGCAGGAAGGCGGATCAAAGTCGTAAACCCCTGAAGCCCGAATTTCAAGGCCCTTTAGTCTTGCAGTACGTGGCATCGACCTTATACGATGTTGCATGATGCTTTCGGGGATACTATGAGATGAAAGCTGAGATATAGGGCGATCTATGTTCAGGTTCCGGAACCTGCGGATTTCATAAGCCCGCTGGTTTGCGCCACCGTGACCACAGTGCTTGTGCCACCGTGGCCTCAATTACGTAGCGGCTCAGCCCTTAATTTTGAATCCGTGCAATTAGAGCCTTTGGGCCACTCAGGCACTTATTACATCCACATCGACTGAAGCCTGTGCGTGTGCAGTAAAGGGCTGGGACTGAGAGTTTTCGAAGTCTGAGCATTCCCACGAGCTGCAGGAACGGCATGCTTGGCGAAGGGTACTCCTCTAAGCTCAGCCCGTGGCTGGCACTTGGCTGCATCTCCCCTCGACGGATCTGGTCCGAGGCGCCACGATGCCTCCGAGTAAATTCAAAGACGCTGATCATTTGCCTGTGCAGGCCCAGCGATACGAGACGGAAAGGCGCATCAAGAACAAGTCGACATACTGGCTTCTGGGATGCAGATCAGCAGTCACACAGCTTGCCTTGGCCTGATTCTGTTCTCAGGCTCATTTTTGAGCTGACTTGGCGAGACTTCTTCATCTACATGGCGTTGAGTCAAGGAACCCGGGCTTAGACTTGGACCATACCCGTACACTTGAGGCATCCGAAGCCCAGAACCTCACAGAGTTCTAGGCACTTTCAATCCATGGTGCTGTCACGCCATACCCATCCAAGTCGCCATTGTTAATGGAGATTCGCACTGGTCATGCTATGCCAGCTAACCCGACTGTCCCACTGTGAACGGAAGCTGGATGTCTGGTTGAGGAAGGTTGGAAGCCACCAGCCCAGCTCAGGAGACAAGATTTTTGTCCCTGGGGGGGTCTCCGGTGACAGGACCGAATCGCCACAGGGGTGGCCTTTGAAGCTTTGCTCGAGTCCGCCTGAGCTTGAGGACTCCTTGGCGAGGCTCTGCGGACAAGCTCGAAAGGTGCGAGACTCAGAGCCGCGCGGCTCTTCGTTCACCCCGTCGGTTCGTGGCCTTGGCCCAGGTGGAAGGAGGGCAAAACAGGGGACCCTCTTGTCGATGCGAACATGCGCGAGCTCGGCGCCACTGGCTTCATGAGCAATCGAGGGCGGCAGAACGTAGCAGCTGGACCCGAAAAGATAAGTTCTCCTCGGAGTCGGAGTCGCGTGTCGAAGCGACGAAGCAAGCAAGCCTTGCTCACAGGCAAGCTTCTTGATTTTCGACTTGGGCGTAGACTGGCGCTATGGCGCTGCACACTTCGAAGAATATCTGCTAGACTACGACCCCTGCTCCAACTGGGGCAACTGGGTGGCCCGACGGCACGGTTGGGGCCTGGAGCTGCTCAAGATGTGCCAATGTCCGAGGTGGCAGCCGCCGGTCTCACAGGTCAGCGAATCAATAAGTTCAACACCAAGAAGCAGCTTTCAGACTATGCTCCTTATCTTGCACGGATGACAAGGGATGCTCAGGTATGGAGGCGGATGAGGGCTCCCAGCATCACGCAGCATCACGGAGCCCAGGATCCGCAGCGCGAGTATGTCAACCACTGGCTGGGTGGCGATCGCAAAGCCGTCCTGCGACCAGGTCCCAATTCTGAGGCTCTGCTTAGCTTTGCCTGTCGGTGTGCAAAAGCTGGGTGTGCTTGCATCCTCTGCCTCCACGACAGGCTGACAAGGGATATGGCCGCGGCAAGGGAAAGGATCACAGAGATAGAGATGGGGCTGGAGAAGGTGGTGGAAAACGAGGCGACTGGCGTAAGCTGAGTATACGAGAGACTTCTACGAATCAAGCATCTTGCTGACGTTCGTCAGCTGAAAACGCAGAATGCAGCTGGCAGCTCGCTTCCAGGGCGATGGACACGCAGTGAGAAGGGCAAGGGGAAAGGTGCTGCGGGCCAGAAGAGGCGCCTTGCACCTGTTCGTGTAGCACGTTGGTAACTTGTGCAAGTTCTCAGATCTCTCGATTGGCGAGTTTGTTTGTCACTCTGTCTGTTCACGTGGTGTTTGTGTGTGCGTGTGTGCAGGTACAGTAGCCGACATTTCCGTAATGGTTTCTGATGCAGCAACCGAATGAGACTGCAGCATCCTTGGAAGTCTGAATCGCTACGTACTGTATCTTCGGAAGGAACAGATGGCAAAGAACGTTGGCATTGGTTGGGATGTTGTGCTCTTGACTGATTACTGCAGGCGGTTTATTCATTCAATATTGAAAACCTTGAACCGGTATGCCTGGTATGCGCGCAGGGCCGCACAATTAGTTTTAATGAGGTTGTAGCCCATCTACTGTAGATCAGATCGTTACAAGAAATCTGCAAAAACTGGTGCGTGTGTGCGCGGAAGAAGCACAAGGATGGCACGAGGATGTATCGAGGATCATTGGACACCTGCATGCACCCATAGGCAAGCTTCATTGATAAGAGTAGAAGTATGCGCCTGTGCATTCTCTGGCATTTACGTCCTTGACTCTGAACTTGAGACAAGACGGACGCAGCGCCAACACACTCGGAATTGTAGTCTCCAGCTACATCTTGTCTCATTTTGCCGCCTTCGCCATAGCCGTCAGTGCGTCAGAAGCATTCTGCGCGATGTGCCTCCCAAAGACGCCACTGAAGCGCACGCATAGGGTCATGGGCACAATCTGCACATTTAGCTGTTTCTCTACTTGTCCATCTATCCATCCATCAATCCGTCTATCTGTCTATCTACCTTTCAGTCAGTCTGATCTATTCTAATCCAGTCTGCGATGGTTGAAGCTAACCTACCCTAACCTAACCTAGAGCACGTTACACTAAACCTAGACCGAACTAAATCTAGCCTTACCCGACCTCATTTCATCTACTCTACCCTACTCTACTCTACTCTAACCTATCTGTTGACTGTAGCTCAATCTAACTATCTAGCGATCTCTCCTTATCTATCTATCTATCTATCTATCCTTGTATCTTTCTACCTATCGACCCATCTACCGGTAACCCTATCTACTTATGTACCTATCTACCTACCCACCGACCAAGCTTAGCTTTCTAATCCAGTCTTATCGAATCGAAGCTAGTCTATGGCAGTCTAATGTAATCTACCTATCCACCCGGCTATGCGTGCTCATGTGATATGCATAAGGTGGTCATCATGCGGAGCAGCTTCTTTAAACCTGCTCCCAGCTTTTCCTTGCCGTCAGGTCCTTCTACAGTCAGGAGGATGACCGAATGGAAGACATGGTGCGTGGCGCCTAATTAGTTCTGAGCAGTAGGTGCTGTGAAATTCACAGCAGTTAATGGAACGCTTTCGAAGCGCCTGGTCCCTTTGGATCAGAAGCTGCCTGTATGCTTGTGCAGCAGCCGGTTAACAAAAAAGCAGCCATTAGCAGGATCGGCATGTTGAAGATCAGCCGCGGCAGCCTGGACAGCTTTTCGAGTGATCGCCACTCCCAGTTTTCACTTTGAATTTTCATTGTGAGCTCTGCTGTGCAGAGACCCAGCTAATTCGCTGTGTGCATGTCCGGCCTCTTGCAGATGTGCAATCGGCCACATGCGATGCATTGCTAGCCCCAGCAAAATCAGCTTTCTTTGCGCTGCCTGAACGGCATGACTTGTGGTCTGAGCTTCGCTTTTCCTGTGGCCTTGGCGGTTCTTTTCAAGGATTGCTTCACTGGTTCGGGCACAGCAAGCAGAGGAAATGTCACCACAGCTGTCAGGTGCTCACGGCCCTCGCGCAATCGAAGGACGAGAATCTGCTGCAAGAGTGCATCCAGGACGGAGCCGGGGCATGGTCAGCAACGAGTCGAGACAATGTTGTGGCTGTGGCGTGCGAAAAGCGGCTCGTCGTCGATGGGACCTGTCAAGTCGGAACGGTTTCGAACACTATGTTTTGCATGCTGCTGTGACTTGTTCATCCGTCCAGCAGGCCTTTACGGATGTGGCCACCGTTGAGCCCGATTTCTTCAAGGCTGATTGTATGCAACTGCAGATTACTACTCCACCGAGGAAGATGGCTTCGGGAACCCCTCTGCCAGGCACAGCTGCAGCAGACAATGGAGCCGGCGAAGTTCATGGCGACTGTTGCGCGGACTCGTGAGGCCACTGCGCTTGAAGTGGTTGTGCTAGCCATTGATGCATACTACGTATGAAGTCTTGTCAACCTGCTGTGTTAACACTGTTCCCATCGTTACGGTCATGTTGCGCATGATGATGGCGACCACGGTGATCTTGTTGTTTTTCATGGCGATGATGACGACGATGATGACAATTTCGAACATGTCGATGCTATGGAGTTGACGTGATGATGTTCGTCACGCTGCTGCTGCTGATGATGATGATGATGAGAATGGTAATCATAGTCCTGGTTTGGGCCTGTGAGGTGCTGGCCAGGTTGCTCGTGACGGCGCCGGTGCCGCTGCTGATGTTGATGGCTGTCAGTCGTGGTCATGGTGGTGGTGAAGAAGATAATGATGCTGCTGGTGATGATGATGATCCTGGTTGTAAGAGACGGGGCTGCGAAAACAATCGAACATGCGCGAACATGGCAGACGGAGCGACGGACGGACGCACGACGTGCACATCGCCACAAGTATCAAGGACATTCAGGGCTGTCATGTACACCGTCCACGTGCCCGAGGACTCGTCACAGGATTTCGGCCCAAGGTCACGGTGAGGGGATGTGAGGGGCCATCATCAGTGCAGTGTCACCATGCCAGTTCTGATACCCTCGAGCAGCTTCTGCACCCAACTGCAAGTTGGAGAGTCTGAGCACCCCAGAGCCCTTCGTGACAGGGTTGAACACGCACCCACACATCCACCCAGCCACCCGTGAGTTTCATCTCATTATTCGCTTCTTCATTGCTTTTAGACCTTTAACTTGGCAAACTTAAGAGACTCCTCTACGCGTTGGGTTCTTGTGTACCACATGAGGCAACCTTAACATCTGTGCGATGTGGAAATGGGTTGTTCTGGTTTTACCATTTTAAAGCCGCAGCTCTCATGCGTGATTGAGTTGAACAACTTAAGGCCGCAACACTCGTTGGTTTCAGTTCCGTAAGATCTAATATCTAACGGAATAAGCCACGTTCCTTGCCTGTACATTAGTTGCATTCGCGTAATTCTTTGGGCATTCAGCTCTCGTTTCACATTATTCACGCATTCTCCCACACGCACGTACTCACGGTCTGCGCAGATCGATTCTGGCCTGCGTGGCCTTGCGATAGAGTGGCTCGTCAGCTTCGTGGAGAAGAGGCTGGGTTGTCGTGTGAATCTTCCTTGGTGTCTTTCCAGTGGAAAGGCGCTTGCGCAATTGCAGGTCGAAATTCCTCAGCAAGTCTGCACCAGACTTTATCAATCTGACACTTGAGTGCTGCCGGAAGCTTCGTTTTTGCTTGCCTGTTCTTGTGCTGCATGCTTGAAACATGAACCCGCTTCATGCTTAGGCATGAGCCTCATGCTCGAGGTTGACGAGTCTGAAGACAAGCTGAAGGCCGTCGAGTGTTTCTTTGCCTGCCTGCTTCAGCCTTCAAGTGCTGTCTGGGCGAGCAGCCGGATCCGGGACTTTTGAATATGCTGATATATAGCAGGCGGTCATGGACTTCTTCATTCACGTTTGTCTCCGCTGGATCAAGGAACCTGTAGTTGAATATCATGGACCCCCCGCATACCACACAGCAGATCGGCCCTGCAAAGTATGGAGAGCATGTTGGCATTCTGACTGAACACAGCTTGGTGTAAACAGATTGGTGTGCCCCACAACTGTAAACACGAATGGAATGCGCTCAGAGACGTCGGGGCTTTTTCAACGTGCCTTAGTGCCTGCGGCTTTTGTCCATGCTCGAGTGCGGCCCCGAGCTGACACTCAACCCTCGTGGTGCAGTTCTCTCTCGCTGATGAAGAGGCCCTTGGGGTCGGCGGTGAAGCAACCCGAGGAGGCGCGCGAGTCTCGCAAAGAATTCGGTATTGGTCTTCTTTTGTGTCAGGCTGTCCAGCCCCGGCTTCTGGGATAGATTGCTTAGCTTCAGGATGCCGCAAAGCGCTACAGCAGCAAGAACACACGAAAGAGCCTGACCACTGTCATCAACGCGATGCCACCCACACTGGTTCCATGTGCCTTACAACCCTGATGCGCACCTGCACGAGCTACATCCTTGTAGGCGCCAGGGAACAACTTCTTCGGATGGTCATTGTGGCATGCAGATCTACTGTAGATGGGCTTCTGTTTCAACTTTTGACAGGCTAACCTTCAGTCGTTGAGAGATCTCTCGATGAGCTTTCTGCTTTTCAACCCACCCCTGTCGGCAAGCGGTTTGACTTGAAAATATGAGCACTATATACCCGTTTTACATTGCTGTGCCAAGTCTTGCATGTGGTATTCTGCAGGTGGAAGACGTGCCTTTAGATGACGACACCGATGTCAATGTAGGCAGCGCCTTGCCTCTTCGTGACATTGCCAGCTGAGCAGATGGTATTCATGCGCCAGTTTCGACCGGTTCACCACTTTATAGTGATGTTGCCCGTGACGCAGCAGGAGCAAGCAGAGCTGCTTCCACGAACCCAGGCCCATTTTGATGATCGCTACGCTCTTGCATCATATTGTGTCTCTCAATCCACAAACTGGCGAGGAAAGCTCCAAAGCCCCCAAGGTCAATCTCAGATCTTTTTGCAGGTGCTTCCGGTCCGAGTGCAGCGCAGCTGCAAGCAGATCCAGGTCGGGCTGGTTGTTGGACTTGGCAGCAGACATCGCGTGCATGCTCAGATGCGCCGAAGTTGGTGATGGCCTCTCGCGGCCTCAGTGGCCTGATCGAGAGCGTAGGCGGGCTGCCGGCTGCTCTGGAAAGATTCACGAAACTGCCCGATTCATTCCGTTGCTGCTGCTAGTGCTGCACCTTGAAAGAGCTGTCTGCTTTCCTTGCGTGCTTCAGGCGGAACGCAAGTCGAGGAAGAAATACGAGAAAACACTGTTCTCCTGAACGTGTACCCCCTTGCTCTGCAGCACAGATTGACGTTCAGAGCGGCGCCGTTTCCAACCGTGTATCTTGCGATGATAGGTACGATGTTAGTGACAGCAGGGGCCCTATCAAGCCATTCACGTGCTATCAGTTACAGTGCCGGGAGTGACCAGCTGATGTCATACGTTGAAACGAGAGAGAAAGTTCGAAACACATCCGAGGTGATGTCATCCAGAGGGTGAATCGCATCCTCACAGTGGATGACAATGTCCTTGCCGGAGGCTCTGCCAATGTGGCAAGATGTGGCAAGTGCGTTGACTTCGGGCAGAGTGAATGCATCTGTCCCTGAGTGCCTCGCCGGCCGCTGTTGTTTCGATCTTCTCTGCTCTGCAGTGTGGCCAGCGGCTAGTAGCGGCTAGATGCGGTCCGAGGGCTATTATCCACAATCAGGTCAGGTACTGCAATCTAACCAAGTACATTTGACATCGCTGGACTTGAAAGGCTTGGTCCACGGCCTGGTAGACCACTTATGAGTGAGTTCACTGTCCAAAAGGAGGTTTTGCGCTGGGAAGCTACAGCGCTTGTAACAGGATGTGTCACACTCTACGTACAATCTGGGAAGCCGGAGATATGGTGCTAGAGCACATTTGCACAGAATGTCCTGTTCGAGCTCCATGGCGGCAATCGGGTACTGCAGGTAATGGTTGCTATGATTGGCCCCTTTTCCCACCAGCAATTACAAGGGAGCAAGCACGCACAAGACAACGGAAACGCACCCCACCAGTTCTCGAAGGTAAAGTCGCGTGCGATACCTGAAGTTTGCAAGAAGTTATTCTTTTCACAAGCGTGTGCTGTTGTGTTGGGTCGAGGCACATCTGTCCGTGTTCATTGTGTGGACGCTTTGAGACCGAAAGCCTGGGCAGGAGTCTTTCACGCCGGTGTGGAGGCGCAGCAGTCAAACAGTGTTTCGATTTTGTTCGATGAAAGTGTTGTTGACACAAAGTGCTGACTCGATTTCTTTCGAGGTTTACGGAAAAGAATGGTGTTATGGCGCGACAGTGCGCGCGCCTTAGGTTTGCAAATCTGACGCTTCAGCGTCGCCATAGAGAATCAGCCAAGGCCGGGGAGAACTGGTGTGGGGGCAGCGACTCGGCCACACGGAGTTGAAGCTGCATTCCTACCTACACTGACATCGTTCTACACGTGGGGCACCGAGGTGAAACCGCGCATGCACCCACAGCACAGGCATTTGCCCGGTGAAGATTCAATTCCATTGTCCAGTGCTTTGTGGTTCTAGATTGCTGCTTCCAATGACATGCAGTGCATGACAACCGCAACATTCGATCATCTGCAGCAAGATGTTCCATGTCCATGCCGAAGCTGAGTCATCGTGCCAGACTTCTGTGATCAGGTACCGTGCCACTGTGAATATGGGCCTTGCCAGCATGTTGGGCATAAGGCGGCCGGCTTCGGCAGGTTTTGTGGGAGAGCAAGACAGCAAGATAATGTCAACGAAGGTCAAAGCCGGTTCTGACAGTGCATCCATGCATTACCGCGAAAATCGGTGCCAACCTGCCAGGCCAAACCCAGAAGACGCCACAAGAAGTGAACCATCTTCTTGCAGGCTTGGTATCGCATCGGAGTTCTGCATTTTGGGCTCTGTCGTTCCGGTTCAACAGGCATGGCAGCACAATGGACCGAAGCTTAGTAGGGCTTCAGTGGCTGATTCGGGGCCGCGGCCTGTCACTCGCAGTTTTGGCTGGAGGCCTGGTAGCTCGTACGACTTGATCCATCACAACTGCCTCAGCTTCTGCAATGCTCCTTGGTGCATGAGGGATCTCTGACAAAGTCGGGGTTTAAGTGTACATGCTTCCCCAAAATCCGAGATCCGAAATGTGCTGGTAGTGTGCCAGGCTGAACCCTTACTTCGCACGTCTTTTGACCAAAAATTCTCTCGCAGACGGCACGTTGCTGATGGGAGGAAAATCCCCACGAGTGCACTGTGCTGACGGCATCTGACGGCTGCATGCTTTTGAGGTTCTGCTCGGTGAGCTCGGCTTGAGGCGAATCCCTGGTTGGGCGGCGGTCCTTGGGCCCTGGAACCACAGAAGTGATAAACTCTGTGGTTGAAAACTCAGGTGGATCGAGCGGCTCGGGCTGCAAGCCAGGTGGATAATGTCGTCAAAGCAGTGAGGAGCAAACCCGTCTTTGGCGTCAGAGTCTCAATGCTATGCTGGTCAGGAGCATCAGCACCGATGAGGCCACTCCCCCAGATCTTGTTGGTCGATGGAGTCAAGGGCGCTGTGTTGGACACTCGGCGCGCTAGCTGTGCTGCACACGTTTTCAGGTGACGGTGCAGGCGGAGGAGAGGCTACAGAGCTTGAGGCCTGCAGATGCCTGTAGTGTGATTCAGTGTCAGTGTGGGTGAGGTGTGTGGCTCTCGCTGCTGCTACCTGAAGGCGGGAGTCCTTCGCCGCCCTCGAGGCGGCCAAAGACGGGACGCAGAAACTCTTCGAGCGGGCCCAGGACATTTGGGGAACCCGGGGGGCGATTTCGAGTTCGAAGGCCCTAGGCCCTATTTCGAGCGAAGCTCTTGCCCAGGAGCAGGCGCAGCAACCACTGTCCGAGGCTCCTCTTGCCTGCTTTGCTGTCGACCGGACAGGGCTGTCCGGCTGCTGTGCAGGTGCAAGACCTGGGTGTCAAAGCGAGCGAGCTGGCGGGCAAGGCGACATGTTTAAGCAATGTGGACAGTTGTCTGGCCACCCAAACTGGTCAGTGCTCCTTGCTCCGGGATGGCGCTTTCCGAAGCAGACTGGAATCTCTGATGAAGCCTTTCCTTGCGGGAGGCACAGGAGCAGCTGCATTCTGTGGGTGCGAGCCTTTGGCAGCTGGAAGCTCGGTGCAGTGTTGGAGATCAATTTCACCGCCGGGGCTAGAGCCTTGGATACGGTCGCGTGGCGGGGCAGCACCTGGACGAGCCGCAGCTCAGCCAGGGAAACGGAGGGATCCGAAGTCCGAAGCAACAGGCCGAAAACAAAACCTACCGGACGCCCCGAGCGAGCCTCCGGCCTCGGCCGATGAGTCTGGACAGTGCAGAAGAGAGGTTGACACATGACTCAACGACTGCATGGGGACTAAGGTGGGGACAAAATCTCCAGGAGTCTGTCGGCATGTCCGAGGCCGAAAGCTGCACGGCTGCACGGACACACGCGATACACCCCGCCCTGCAGGCACCAGCACTCTCCGAGATCGGCAAGAAAGCGGAGGACAGCCTCCTGGACTGCCTGGGGGTGCATTGCGTGCCATTGCGCATGGGAGGACAACTGGCAGACCCTGTCCGAGAACATTTGGACGTGGGGTCAGTCTGTCACACAGGCGTGAAGGGATCGCTGAGTGCTGAAGCTTGGCAGTCTTCGAAGCGCCTTTACGCCTAGAAGCTCATCTTATTTGCGCACCCTGTCCGAGTGCGGTTCGCCTGGCAGGACCTGAAGCAGACCTTGGAAGGGCCGCCGCCTTGGACGAGGCGAAGCACAAGCACTCGAACAGATAGCGCTTGCAGACCCAGGCCCGGAGTTGCTCGCAAGCAATCCTCAAAGACAGCCGGGCCCCTGTAGTCCCGTGGTCGTGCTGCGAGTGTCGTGGTAGCGGCGTCTTTGACCAGAGGAGACTGCGAGCCAAAGGGAGGACATGCGCTCCTCCTCGGCCGGACTCATCAAGGCCACGGCGGCGCCCTTGAAACGGCTTTTGTCTTCGCCTTGGGCAGGCCCAGGAGACCAGCCTTTTGAAGCAGGGTCTGCTGGAGGACGAGGACGGACCGGAAAAGGATGCGGAAAGTTCCGAGAGTTGACAGCCTTGCTGGCAGGACGGGGATGATGTCAGCTCGCGCGAGGCATGGCAAACCGATGCAAGCAGTGCAGCGGCATAGAGGCTGTAATCTAATGCCCTGAAGGCAGAACTAGTGAAGGAGGCAGGGTGGTGCCGCAATGCCCACGCCGGCTGTTTCGAAAACCCCGAGCAACGATCTGACAGGCCCCCTTGGAGTGGGCGACAGGCAAGCAGTCTGGGAAGGCGTCCACCTCGGATGACACAACCCGCTTCAGAATGTTGTCCTACAGTGCACGCGTGAGGGAACCGCCGACTTCAATCCTCCGCCCCGCGGGCCTTCCTTGCATGTGTTTTGTTCCTGCTTCGGTGATGAGACCCACACTGCGTTTCGTCCTGAAGCGAACACAGCAGGCAGGACCTCCTTGATGGCGTGCTGAGCTCAGAAGCTGAGTCAAAGCTTTCCGTGAGAGATCGTGACCGAAGCCCGGTTCTCATGAGGACGGCCCAGGACCAGCAAAAGAGGCATCGCAGGTGCATCCGCTCATCTTGCTCGCACAAAGATTTCCAGCGGATGAACAACCAAAGCTGCACCAGGCTGCCGTCAGCTTGCTCGATTGACCCAGCCCCTTGAGACGTATAGACGATGGCCCATGATGGCCCTCAACAGGCCCAGGGTTCCGTTCTAAGATGCGCCTCCCAAATCGGGAAAGGCTCTGCTCGATCTTCGAGTTTCACCTGATGGGCATCGTAGGAGCTGTAGCGGCCAGTTCAAGCCACAGAACTGGCTTGCGGCACTTCAAGATGGGGCGGTGAGACACCACTTCATGTTGCTTCCAGCACCAACGTCTCCACAGAATGCACCATCCTGTCTGCTGCATTTGCCGAAGGAGTGGATCGAGCGCATGGACGACGAAGAGGGAGAGGAGGATGAGGACAACCTCCGCATGAGACCGTGCTCATTAACGTGCTACTGAACCCGGCCAAAAGTCACAGCAAGTTCCGTCTCTGTCTGCTTGGTGGTGGGAACCCAGATCCATGGGGTATGTGGAGTGAAACGGAAACAGTCGGATGCTCGTAATGTCAGCCTGCTACCTCCACGACAACTACACAACTACACAATGCCGTCTCCGCCACCGCCACCACCGCCACCACCACCACCACCACCACCACCACCACCACCACCACCACCACCACCACCACCACCACCACCACCACCACCACCACCACCACCACCACCACCACCATACCAGCACCATAATATGTGGCTGCCACTGATCAGGCCCAACAACGTGGGATCACCCGTTTTACTGTTCCGATGTCTGGAATGTGTAAGTGGCTCTCCGCGCACTCAAGACTGAACCTTCTCCCACAGCGTCGTGAAACGTGTGGAAGCTCGGAATCACAAGTGTTCATGCCCTCCTCAGTTCACGCCAAGCATACCTGTCAGATCGTTTCCAAGCTGCCGCAGTGTCTAAGACCAAGATTTGTTCCGCCCCACCTTTCGCAACAGCATGTTGTGGGGTACCAAAATGTAGTTCTTCTCCGAATCGAATCCTGAGAAAAACCAGCGCACTCCTTTAAGCAAGTCCTTTGCAAGCCTAGCTGAAACTGAGCCGTCGAAAACGAAAAAGAACCCAGGATGAGCTCTTCCACACTGGAGAAGAATGTATTGATCGTGTGGCCGAGGCAGGGCTTCTGCTGCCGGGTGGTGGGTCTGGGAAGGGATGTCAGTGCAACTTCTCATTCAACTAGGTTCTGCTGCCGGGTCTTAAATGTATACATAAATAAGTAATAATATATATATATATATATATATATATATATAATATGTGCATATGCATTTATGCGTGTATATTGTTTGTTTTTAGTACAGGAGGCACATGTAAGGATCCAACTTCATGCGTAGATGTTTGTCATGACCTTACTACCCCGCCCTGGGACCACATTCTGGTCTCCTCGCTGCTCCCGGAGATTCTTAACTGGAGCTCTCTTGAGTGTGATTTTGTTCATCTGTCTGCTCTTCTGCAAGTAATCCGGCTCACTCGTTTTATCCCAGCAGTTGTCGACAAGCTCTTCTTCCTTGGCGTTGTCTTGATGTAGCAGACTTGCACGCAGCCGACGTATCCGCTACGGTGTCCTTTTCTCGATTTACTCGCCATGCCTCCAACTTATGCATGCTCGGCCAGTGAAATCAAGGCGGCTACCATGGAGACCATCGCGAACGGCCTTTTCAGACTAATCGCACATTTCTCCCAGCAGGCACGCGATTTGAAAGACATATTTGCTGTCTTCTTTGTCGTCGTTGTGGTCATCCTCGTACTCATCCTGGTCATCGCCACCTTCATGGCCATGGTCGTCATTGCCATCATCATCGTTACCATCTTTCTCGTTGTCGTCGTGACACTCATCATCATGACCATCGCCATCGTCATTATCATCATTATCATCGTCATCACCGCCAGCCTCTTTGTCGCATGGTCATCGTCCTCTCCATCATGGTCGTCGTCCGTCGGCGCCACCGTCATCTTCGCAGTCGTCGCGTCCTCGTCATTCTCCAGTCGTCATCACCGTGACGTGATGCTATTGGTGGTTAGCCTGGGACAGCCGTAGCCCAACAATCGGAGCACCTGCAGCAAGATCCTTCTTCCAGGATTCATGGCAAGCGAAGCACGCAGCACTGGCGGCGGTGAAGCAGACCGTGGAGTACGTCGAGGAGAGATGTGACCTTCGACCTCTGTATCTACGACGACTTGAAGTGTCAGCAACTAAAAACTAACCGTGGCATTGGTTCTTGCGTCGCGGTGGTATGAGCGATGCCGTGATTTTCACAAGCATCGTCATTAAAGCGATCCTTGTTCTGGCATTGCCAAATGATCAGCCAGTGCCACTAGTCGTCCTTGTTGCTGCAGTTTTACTTGCTGCTGCTACTTCTGCTGGCCATGCTGGCGATGACTTATGATGGTTGTCATGGTAAGCATTTGGAATGCGGCGTTCTGCTGATCCCGATGCTGCTGATGACGATGCTGCTTATGATAGTGAGGGCTTTGTCGACGTTACTATCAAAGTAATAGTGGCAATGCACGATGTGGATGACGACGACGACAAATCTGGTGGTGCTGAACGTTTGTCTTCATGTCATGATAGCGATAGTGACAAGGTGGACACTTGATGTTGAAGATGCGATATACATGTTTGATGTCGATGAAAACGACCTGGGAGAAGCTTGGTGCAGGTTCGGAGGGAAGTTCTTGTCTGTGTGCATATGTTTACGCTTGTGTAGTGTGTATGTTTGCTCGCGCATCATGTCCACTTGCTTGCGCAAACTGCTGGCCGGGATTGTTTGCTTTGGCTGGATGTTATCCGGCCTGCCGCTTGCTGCAAGTTTGTCGGGCCCCACCCTCTGCCACCCGATGGCAGAGGGTAATTGGTGCGACGTGGTCATGTCGGATTTGGCATGCTAAAGTGTACTCATGCGACATATTTTGATACGCAAGTGCCTCATGTTGCACTCTTAATTTAATTGTGACTACAGGTGTTTTTGACAGCCCATACTACCAACTCTGGACAAACGCAGGGCTGTTTAGCACCGTGTTCGCGGACGGATGGCACGCTTCCCTTTCATCATCAGTGGCCGATGAAGATGAACCTGAGGACAAGAATTGAGAGGTTGGCGGTGCTGGCGGTGGCGAGTTGGAATTAGAACCAGAAGGCACAGGAGCGCGAGGACGAGGACAATGATAATCACGATGATGAGGTTAGTGCTGATGCAGAAGGAATCAGAAGGAGATGGTGGTGACAATGATGCTGGTGATATGACTGTGTATGTAAGACGCTCAGTGGTACCAAATGCCCACGGTTACGGTCAGCGCCCAGAGAATGCTTTGAAGAATTTGGATTTGTCGCACCATATCATTGGAGGAAGAGCATGTGGACGAGATGGCCAAGCTTCTGCTCGGACACGTTGATCATCCACATCCAAGGCAGCCATTCCTAGATGTATGTACATCTTATCGGCTCTCCGCGGCAGTTGAATTCAGGGTGCGCTTCACTGCTCTCCATGGTCTGGGTGGAGGGCCCCAGCACAGAGCAATTGTCTGTGTTAGGACCATGCTGGCCGGCAGATTGCCTAGTTTTTCCTGTGCATTCCGGTGACACGACGGATTGCTTGCAAGTGCGCGTGCCTGTTAGTTGTGGGATGTTGTGGGATGCGTCTCTTCAGGTCGTTGCTTCGCGCTAGTTTCGGGCCATTTCGGGCGTTTTTTGGGAACTCACAAGCTTCTGGCTGTCACGTACTTCAGCCGGATGAAAACTTGGTGACTAGTACAATCTTGCTTGCCCAATGGTTCGGTTAGATAGATATCCTCATCATCAAGGACCTGCGGTGCCGAGGTCAGCTTGCCAACGACCAGTCACCGCACTTTCAGGATGTCGCTGATTGCTGGCCAGCAAAGTGTTTCCGGATAAATTTTCTGGCACAGCGAGCGGTTTTTCATACATATGTGCACATGCACCTTCAGGAAAGTATCTTTTGCCGTGGACTGTGGTACATACAGGCAAGACTTCACTCATGCCCTCACCTGCTGCCACTCACTCACTGACTCACTTGTTCATGCATTCTTTCATCATAACTCATCATTCCTGAATTATTTCTTTCACTAAGTCGTTTCTTTTGTAGCATGCAGCGATGTATGTACATGCACGGTAGAACAGAGCATGACATAACACAATGCAGCACAAAATGACACAACATATCATAACATCACATAGCACGTAATAGTGCAGCACAGCACAGTGTAACATGGCGCAGGATAGTATTTCTTAGCAGGTCATACTGGTATCATGACATGGCAAGGCATAGCATAAGTCAGCGCAACATAACAGACACAAACACACACATGTACATATGTATGTATGTTTATGTATGTAAGGAAGGAAGAGAAAGTGATGTGATGAGATGTATTTCCGTCTAATCTGCCGACCCCGGCTTGCTGCGCAGAGCACAAATGAAATTCCTTCCCCCTCCCGGTCCCATGTAAGAATGCCGCGGTCAGGTGTGATATCGGAGGCCAAACTAGTCGATTCATCTAGCAGGGCGCTGGAGTTTGTGCTTGCGCACCTCTGGCTGCGGCATCTCCTCCGGGTCCTTTTCAGAGCGTTCTGTGCACTGGTCCCGTGACTATCAATACGGTGCAATGCGGCAGTAACATTTCATGTCAACGTCAATCAGATGTAATGTCATGTCATGTCATAGTTTGCTGTACATATATATATATATGTATACAGGTATATACACATTTTTGGATGTATACATACACGCACCGCATACGTATGATTGCCTATGTGTACCTGTGTACACCTATATATATATATATGTATTCAAGCGCACACAAAGACACTCAGTACACGTGGCATTAATGCTTTGCACATGCATACATATCTCCGTGCTCCATCAGTCGTCAGTAGCATGCATATATGTATATGTGTATATACATATACATATATATCTCACTACATGAATAAGAAAAGAAACAACTATGTCGATGGGGGACCGCGAGGGCTTGCTTAGCCTTAGCCAGGAGAGATCGCACCAGCAAGTTATGCCCGTTCTGACCCGGAAGATGGACGACCAGGTGGGTTAGACCTGCGAAGACAGCAAGAACATTGCTGGCCTTTGGGGAGTCGGGCGAATCGGGGGACTTCGTGAGTGCACGCCGGGTAGCGTCAACACCAGCCAAATCGTCGCTTAGAGCTCACTGCTAGCCTTTTGTGCCAAGTCTTCACGGCTTTATTCGCTGCATCCTCCAGGTGGACCGAGTGGCAGCCATGGCCATGTCCGCCTTCGTCTCATTCGGCGAGGCCTTCCGGCACGTGTAGTAAATGTGGTAGCACTGTTCGGTTGAACATTCTGAGGGTTGCTGTCACTGTGTTGTTCGTGTTGCTTTTGTCAGTGTCGTTGTTGAGAGTCATCACTGTCCTTATCTGCCCCTCGTTTCAGTGAAACCATGAAGGCAGCTCCTGGCTCTGTCCAATCAGGTGAGCTCCTAATGAACCGTGGACACTTTTTGGTTCATAGTGTGTGGTGACACGCATAAGATACTGTAGGCAGCAACTCTGCCTTCCGCGCTAGCAGCAACGACAGAACCACCGCTGGTCGTTTTGATACTCTCAGTGCCAAGTAATTCTCGTGCGTTACTACGGTTTAGTAGAGACAACTCAGCAAACAGCGACTGGAATGATTCGAACAATGCAGCGATGCAGTGAAAGCAGCATCAGGAGCAAAGCTCAACGGAACGATAAACATGGTCGGAGCAACTAGCAACACAGACCGGACGGCAATACTAGTATTCGTACAACAGATTGAATGTGTAAGGAGGCAAGAACCACGCGCCACGAGCTGGGCAGGAGCTGGACAACTCCTTGATGCACTCGCTATCCCGGCAGGTCTTGGAATTAAGGCTCTCTCGCGCTGCTGTCTAGCTTGTATCCGTCCCCTGCTTTTCTACGCATGCATATCTCTGACGCTTCTGCCTGTCTCTCCCTCTGTCTCTACTCTCTCGCTCGCACTCTTTCTATCTTACATTCCCTGTTTTGAAGGCTACGACCTGTCTGACCTGTCTTTTGCATGCTCCACTGTATTGTAACACTATCTGTGATAGTGCTTCAGGAACTTTCCTGCCTAAGGAGTTGAGGCGTTGCAGCCCTTTCGGGTCGGCTTCACAGCAGAAACCGCACTGCCGCACTGATTTCTTCGTCAAAGTCAATTACTGCGGTGACACCTCAGATCCTGCTGATCAGTGCAGGGTAGTGTTTGGAGACTGCTGGCACATGGAAAGAACAACACACGCAAAGACACAGAAAGAGAAGACAAGTTCTCTTACCTGACAGAATCTTGGCAAGCTCATACACTGCTACCTGCTAGCAAAATCTAGCCAGTGTCCTGGGCCATGGCGCAGCAAGTGCAATGGAGGCCTGCGGCGCAGGCTGGGTAGCGAGACGGGAGTTTCGCCTGCAGTGTAACATTCGCGGAATCGTGCTTTACACCGAGAAGAGTCAGAAAGGCATATGTGGGCGCACCGCCTGTGATGCGCGGCTCGGCAGCCGTGCAGCCCAGGTGGGGCAGATCTGTGCGGGCAACCACTGCACAGAAATCGACTTTTTGCGAACGCACTGGTCGCTGGATAGGTCCGTGGCACCGGCATCTGTGGATCATCCCATGGTGGCCAGCTGCCAACGACCACTGCAGCCAATGATCGCACAAACGCAGAGGCTTCAAGCCCGTCCTCATATGACGCTGCTCGGTTGCAGCCGCATTACCTAGCACTGGCTGTAGCCATGTCTTGGAGTTTGTGCTTGAGGCTGCCAGCGGCACACGGGCCACAGGCGCATGCCTTCAGACCACAGCTCGTCCAGCAAGTGGCCAGGCAAGCCGATGTCATCGGTTTCACTTCAAAGGATGCATGATGTGCATCGATGCCCGAGGCCGATAAGCGTGCAAATGGCTGCACAAAGCGCAGGGCCCATGCATGCAGGCAGCTTGTCGGCAAATGGCTCCTTCCACTCCGCTTGATGTACGTTTCGCCTTTGCATCCATCCAGGTGTTCCCACCGGCAGCCAATTCATGCCAGAGCCACGACGCTTGGAGCCGCCTCAGTTGCACCCTAAGCAAAGAAAGCTCGTTCGAGCTCGAGCTTTCCAAGCAGCCCGTGTGCGACGGTGTGAAGACCCACTCGCGTGACCGGAACAGCCGCACTGCAAGTGACAAAGGCTCCAAAAGGAAAGGTCTGCACCCATTCCAACCCAGGCGAGGTACTTCAAAGTGTCACATAAGCATCCATTAGCCGGACGTGCGCAGTGAGTTAGACAGGCCGGGGACAGCGTTGCGCACCTCTCCACGCCGCAGTACCTTGGCAAGACTGAGGCTCGAACGGTGCTTTTTTGTCCAGTCCGGCCACATGCCCAATCTGAGGCTGGTGCAGCTTTGCAAGCACCACACACAAAGCCTTGAGACCAAGAAGTGACTTGGCTTGCACCTTTTGTTGAGACTGTTGGTCCCCCCCTCAAGGCGTTGTCAAACCCACAGTCTTCTTGGGTTGAGGCAAATCTTGGCAGAGAATGTCAAAGAACAAGGCCTTGTTTTGCCGATGCATTGGTTCTCGGAGGGTCAGCACCTTTGGCTTGCAAGCAACTGCCCTTGCACTGCGAGGCAGGCTTCTAAAAGAGCGGGATGCTCTTCGAAAGAGAGCCCAGGCACTGGAAGGCGCTCTAAGCGCCGCCACAGGACCCGTGGAGATGGGATGAGATGGGCTCTAACTGGTGTGAGCTGCCAGGACCCTTAAGCATACAGCCGGCCAAAGAAGTCGAGGGCCCTGTGGTCGCGCCAGCGCAGGTCTCCACTCAAGCAGCAGCACACATGGCGAAAGCCGTGACGCCTGAACCTGCTACCACTGCTACCCTACCAAGGGCTTCACCCACAGTGCATTCTGGTGCAGCAACATCACCGGGGCAGAGCCAAGAAGGCCAGCTGTCGATCCATGCAGCACCTTCCAGTACAGCACCACACCCGACCAACACCGCCGCTTTTGCATCACTGTCGACATGTTTTGCAAGCAGCAGCGAGCTGCCGACCACCGCGCCTACACAAGCAACAGCGCACGACACTCTTGCGACAGCTCTGCCAGCGGTTGCAGTACCCACACCAGGAACGGCTGAAAGTCCGCCGACAGGGCCTCTTCAACAGCCTCAGCATCTGCCCCTCCATGAAGTGGTGACGGCACCGGTCCAGCAGCCAGACCCTCTTGCACTCGCTGGCCCAGCAGAACTGCGTGCTACGCCTCTTCTGGAAACAGAACCCGGGCAGACGGAAAGGGAAAGTGTTGCTGCAAGAAGTCCCATCAGCAGTCCTGCAAAACCGACATCCCCGGAGGAAGCGGCTGGCGTTGCAGTGTCGCCTGGGGATTTGGGTAGTCCCCAACCTCCAGTGAAAGCCATCTTCACAGCATTTAGCGAATCCCCGTCGAGCCCTTCGCAGCTGCCCTGCAGCGGTGATGCTGCAGCTGGTGTAGGCCGGCTTGCAATTGATGGAGGTATGATGTAGGATGACGTAGGTCAGTTATGTTGGCCGTTTGCAGCAGGCGGTCCTGTGGCGGAAGAGTCCAAGGCATTTGTCACAGCTTGGTTCTAGTGCTTTCGTGGTGAGCTGGTCACAGTCCAGGCATCCCCGCATGCCCTGGTCTTGGGCAGCCTTGACGGCAGCAGTGCTTGATCCCGAGCCTCCCTGTGAGCACAGACTGAAGAATGACGTCGAAGTGAACGTGCCATCTAATGACATCTAAAGTGTACAGGTCGTGCCCGACTGCGACAACCTGGCAAGCAAGGAAGAGGGCACTTCACCGCAGGCACCCACGCCGGAAACAGCTGTGGCACCGGCGGCGCATGCAGTGATGCAGCCCCAATCACCCGAGCCACAGGCACGGGCACAGGGGGTATGGAAGGATCATGAAGGAGGGATCTTGGAGTCCCTGTCTCTGGGCTGCCAAGGTCAACAGCGTGCCCATTCCCGAGGAAGTCATGGCACGAGCCCTTCCGGATGGCACAATTAGGTTGACATGGTTCTTTGACGAGGCACTGCTCTTGAGCGATGAAGACAGTTTGTGTTTTACATCAAGGTTTCTGGAGATTCATGCATTACTTCGGCACGCCATCACAGTTGGTGAGCTGCGGAGGAACTGCTCGAGTCGCTTTCCAGCGGTTCGCCCAACACTCTCAGCTTCGAGATTTGCCAGAAATCAGAAACGGTGGGAGGCACGGCCCGCATGCACAAACATGCACAGGCTACGAGTAGTGAATACAATATCTGTGCGTGCATGCACTGCACTCTTCCTGCTTGGCAAGGCCACGTAAGAATCCGACAGCACAGCTGCCACGCCAGACTGCCTTTCAAAGACGGTCTTGTCCAGGCGCTGAAGACTGCTGCTGCGTAAGTCTCCATCAAGCCTTCCTGCATGCTGTTTCCTATGAAAGATGCATGCTGTTCCTTGTTATGCAAAGTTAAAAGAGTCAGAGTCAGGAGCAGTTCTTCATCGTGGAGGGTTGTGCACCGGGCCGCCCCTACTCTTTCAGCGTTCGGAGCTGCCTTGAGCACTCGACTCAGAGCTTTCGTTTACCTTGACAGCATGGAGCAAGTTGAGACCTGCGAGCAGCGCTCACATCAGGTCTTCGTCGGGATCGACGCAGTCGGACTTCAGCGACCCCGTGACTTGCAGCGCTGCAGGACTGTCAGTAGCTGTAGTGGCATGTCACACCTCTTCTCGCCACTGTCCTGTGTCGAGGCCTGGCAGGGTCAGTGCGTGGTCCTCCGTCTTTGTCGTCCACCTTGACTTCGACACAAGCGGCCCAAGAGATCGGAATCGTCAAAGGCATCCCACCAGGTCACAACATAACACCTGCGTCTCAGCCAGGAGATGTTGGGGCCGTTCTTGTGCCACGAGAGGCAACAGGAAGTGGGCCAGCTGACAGTCCGCCCCGCAACTTGCAGAGAGCCCGCGATGACCAGCCCCTCCAAGCAGCAAAGCCGGAGTTGCGAAGCGATCGACTACTACCAGATGAAGGTTGCCGCCTCCGACAGTGGCTGACGGTCGCTCGTCTATCTTGATTCAGCCGATAATCGGCTGATGCTTAAAGCAGCATTGCTCGATGAAAGACGGGACATTCACTCAGACTTCCTCTTGATAACCCTGGCCGCGCGGTTCCAGCTGTACGGTGAGCCCAGGACAAACTAAATCCATCACCCGGCTCGACGGCCGCCTCGACTGCGAAGTGCCTTGGCAAGCACGTGCGAGAACGTGTACAGTACACTTGTGATGGCAAAGGGGCGCCCTCGCCTCGCCCTCGCCGCCGAAGCCAGGTCTCCTGCAGGAGAAAACTCGTCTGCGAAGCCCGCCTCCGCTCAGCAGGTTGGGGCAGTCACGTCGGCTGCCAAGAAGAGACGCCTCACTTGCGGTTCCGAGGCTGGCTCGCCACCGCAACTACAGACTGACCACAGCTTTCTGAGGCTCGTTGCCTTCGCCACAGTGCAACGCTTCGAATTCAGTACCCGGCAATTTCAATCGCTAAGCTTCTCGACATGTGAAGGCGGTGGCTGCAAGACCGTCAACTTCCAGCTGAGGTTGTGCAACCAGCAGCAGGTGGCTTCCGATTGATGCACATTCATATCAGAAGAGTGTCTGCAGGATCTCTGGCTGGATGCATGCATTCATGATTGTGATTGTGCAGGCAAATATGAAGGTGAACGCCAACAGCACGAATCAACTGCGTGCACGGACGGATCGATGGATCGGTGGGTGGATGGATGAATGGATGGCTGAATGGATGGACGGACGGAGGGATGGATGGATGGATGGATGGATGGTAGACGGATGGTTTAGGAGTTTTGGGGGTAGGGCTTTGGGGTGTGCAGTTTGTGGTTAAGTATACAGCAATGCGTAGGTGGATATATAGATTCGCAGTCATGTTTCTGTCTGCCTCTGTCTCTCAGGCACTCACGTGCCTCGTGCAGGTGTGACAGGTTCACCCGCCGGCGAGAGAGCTCCGGCTCCGGCTCCCTTCGAGAAGCGGATCCAAGAGGAGTCTCCGGAGCCGGAAGCTCCGGTGCCCGCAGGCCCGCACCAGTCTCAGACTCTACTCCTACTAGTAGCAAATTTGCTGCGCCCAGTTGTTCGTCGGCCTGCAAACCGTGAACTGTAACTTCATACTCCCGCAGCAACACAACTTACCCCTACCATTCCGACTGCACAGACCAGTGCATACTCATGGCTTGAATTGCGCTTCGCTCTCTTTGAGTCTCTGCCGCCAGATCTCGCACCACTGTCGCGGCATGCAATTGATGGTTCATGACTTGCATGTAGAGCAGACTGCAACTAGGAACGATCCCAACTACGCGAGATATTTGGAGACGGTGTCGGCCGGTCTTGAGTAGATCTGACAGGTCTAGCACCACCCATTCAGAGAAGCACTGCCGCGAGCACTGCAGCGAGCTACCAGCCGTTGAGGACTGAACCACTAAGCTTTTCACATTCGGCAGCATGCAGTTACAGCTGGTTCTAGGTCTGATGCCGGGGATGTCGACATCACACGGCTGCCACTCGACCATGGTCGAGTGCAAGTGCAAGGTGGGTGCAGACAAAAAAGTGCAATCAGCGTATCATGAAAGTTCCACTTAGACATTAGAGCATACTCTGTTGATGCCGCTTCAGATGTTACGCTCGATCAGGTGGTACTGCGGATCGGAGGCGGGAGCCGGACGTAGCCGAGTGGCATGCAAGATTGAAGATCAGTGACTTCACTGTTCAGGCCCGAGACCAATCCACCGTCTTGCCCAGACTTCAGGCCTTGTGGAGTGCTGAAGGCCTTTGTGGCGCGGAAAGCCTGCAAATCGTGGCAGGGTGCATGTCCGCGCGGACGGCACCTTCATTGGGGCCGCACGCTCGCAGTCCTTTGGAGGCTTGGAAGTCGGGGAGCTCGGGCCCGGGCTGCGGGCCAGAAGTTTCTCCGCTCAAGCTACCCTTTGCTTGCTTCCTACTGGCATTGCTGTCTTGTGGGCAGCGATGAGATTGGATATTGTGACCTACTTGCTGAGAGCAGAGAGAGTTGCAGCCTTTTTAGTGGCTCGTCTGTGCCCGGTTGTTGTGTCCAGTGTATGGTTTGTTGAGCAGCTCTTGTTTGCTTTCTGTTGGGTTTCCTCTGCGATTCGGTGCTTGTATCAGCAGGTTGCTTCGTGGTTCTCGGAGTGTTGCCCTCGAAGAGCTCAGAGTTGGCATGTGGATGCAAGGTCGCTCGTAGTCCTGGGTGCAAATCTTGTTGTCACAAGGCATTTGCTTCCTCCAAGAATGATGTCCGCTTTCTAACTTATGATTCATCCCCCAAGCAGGGTGAGGTCGTCGCATGACACGACTTCTCGTAGCTACCTGGGTGACTTGTGGGTTGAGCGGCTGTATGAAGACACTCAGACGTGAATTCTGAAATCCATTCCTTGGGATCTGAGTTTCCACGCCAACAGGAGTGGAGCGACGACAGACTCTTGCGTCGGGCCAGATACCTGGCCAGCTGCATGCTTAGATGCTGTGATGCTGTAGAGCATCTTCAAGCAATCATGTGGTCGCACTTTGTGGCATACCTCCAGTGGTGGCATTGTTTGCAGGGCAGACATGCCGCGGTCCGTGCGGCACTGCCAGGCATTTAGCCCGGTGTCCCGTCCGCTCGACATGGCTTTAGGTTTGGAAAGTTCTTCAATGCTTGGTTCCCTTTAGTCTTTGTATTACTTTGCACTTGTTTTGGTATGTTGGTTTGTTCAGGACGTGAGTGGTGCCAGGTGACGTTCGCGGCCAGCAGCTGCCGATGTCAATATCAATCGCGCCGCCTTCGCCTAGCGGCTCCTTCGCAAGCCAAGCAGGCGCCGGGGCATCGCGATGACAGTGGAGGTGTGTCCAAACAGCCCTTCAGCTCTGAGCTCTTCAGGCCTGTCAAGACCGGCAGATGCCTGGAGCTCAGGGCAGGGTCTGGTCCAAAGCTGATGATTTCATGAGTGATAGCCCCAAACTCATTGCAAGTGCGATGCTTCAGCTAGACTATGCTACATGTTTCTTGAGAATCATGAGAAGAGTAGCACAGAGGGTGCCAGTCGCTCAGAGTAGTTCGAAAGCCCAAGAGCTCAGGCCCTAACCACCGTCACCAGCCTGCCGCAAGCAGGAGGGACGGCATGGAAAACAGGCGTGGTCAGCATTATGGTGTTCCTACCTAATGGCTGTGTCCAGCCTCAGCTCCACCCACGGCGACAAGAGTAGGCTTGCTTGTCTAAGTGCTCTCTACTCTAAAGCATGTTGCTCACCTCAAGACGGTCTAAAGCAAGCTTCCAGGCCAGCCAATGGCGCAAGACCCCTTCCAGACAAGGCCTCTTCAGAGCCAGGCTCACATGCCGTGCAGCTTATTGTGTTCAGCTCTAAAAAAATTCCGCTCTCTCGTTTATGTAGTTGTACTGTCCTTCTTGCAGATTACGAGTCGTGTGATCTGTAGGGTCAGTCGGCCCTCCTGGCACCCTTCGGGGGCATGGGCTCCTCGGACGCGGCCAACTACCTGTTTGGACCGATCAACCCGAACCCTTTCGGTCTCTTGTCGCAACTTGAGCCGGTCTGTATCACTCCTGCGGCTGGGCTTGATGGCTTAGCCGTGAGAATTCCAGGAACGGGGGCCATCGGAACGACGCGCCCCTTCAATTTTTCTGGACTAGGTCAGACCTGCAGAACTAGTGGCGTCTGGCAGTTGCTGAGGAGTGTGCCTTGTCAAAGTTGTGCAGGAGGATCCGTCCGTGATGCACCGAGCGGCAACTTCTTTGCAAAGCCGAGCTCGACGCCAACCTCCTACATGAGTCGAGGCATCGAAGAGGCGCCAAGGGCTTCTAAAGAAGAGAGAGCGAACATGGAGAAGCAAGTCATGGCTGGATGATTCAGGAGCAATCCCGGCCTTTCGACCCTCCGCCGCCGCCGCGTAGCGCGCCGTCGCTGTGCCTCGGCATTCCGTGGCGTCAGCGTCACAACATGAGCAGATGCATTCAGTACGCAAGTCGCTACATCATCACAGCTGCGCACTGGAAGCTGAACAATTGACGCCGAGGTACGACAGCAGCGTGCAGTCAGCCCCCATGCAGCAAGCGCAGCTTCCACAGCAAAGCATTCCTTGGAACGAGCCGCGTCGAGGCATGGCGGCATCAGACTCTTCGGGGGCACGGGGCAAGGGGTTTGCGACTGTGTTGGACTGCCCCGGAGGTGCTGTCAGCGGAAGTGTCGGCGGTTTTGGAGCTGCGCAGAGTGGTCGAAGCGGTGCTGTCAGCGGCGGCGTCGGAGTCACGCAGAACCTGGGATCCTTGGATGCGCAGGGCCTGAACAGAGGCCACGCTATCGAAGCGGCTGTTGTGCGTCGTGTTTTTTGCGCAGTCCCAATCCTGAGCCTGGAAGCTTGAGCAGGCAGCCAAGCGAGATACGAATTGAGAGTTCGAATGTCAGACAGTCACTGGGAAAGCTTGAGATTCTCAGCCGGTCACTCGTCAGACTATGTCAGACTTCAGACCTTGATGCATCACCGGGAACAGGAGTATTAAGAGAATCCAGGATTTCTAGATCCAGGCGTCCTGGCTGCTGAGGTGACGATCTGGATTTTCAAGGAAGGCAGTTCATTCAAAGCTGCTCAGCCGATCAATGGAAGTGGACCTAAAACTTTTAGCTCGCTGGTCACTGCAGCGCTTTTTCGTGTTCCATTCTCTGTTCCTGGGCATGTTAGGGAGGGCCCTGCTTGCGTGGCGGGTCCGCATAAACGCGTATGGAAGTGCAAGGACTCGGTTTGAAGAGTGCCTTTCTTTCCGGCCTCGTGGCAAGATTGCGGCAGATGGCGTCGATTCAGCAGGATTATGCAGCTCAGTCGCAAGTCGTAGAACTTCAACGGAACTCGCCCTCCTCAAGTCCAAGATCTGCCTGTCATCGTCATCAGCCAAGGCCTGTGTGGATGTGGTTGATCTCATTTGATTTCACGCTCTGCTCCCGGATTGCGTCGTCTGACGAAAATAATTCGCATGGTGCCAGCGTACATGTATGTTTCAGTATAAGAGATTTCCCGACGAGCCAGCTGTCACTCCGTGTACAGCAACCGGCAATGACGGTGTTTGTGCGGCAGTTGTCCAGTGACGCGGTAGCGCTGAAGGTGCATTCTGGCCCATAAGTGGCAAGTACCTCGCTCCTCGCATCAAGTCAATGCTCGAAGCAATTCGGCCTTATACTGTTGTTGTGAAGATGACAGATGGCCATTGCGCTGATGACGATGATGCCTGCGATGACGATGATGACGATGATGGTGACGAAGACGATGACGGCGCCGTGCCCCTCACCTTCATAGTACTCGTTAGGCCAGGTTCAGTGGCATGAGTGAAGGACTTCGAATTGTGTGTTTCCAGCGCGCCATTTGCCCTTAGCCGCCCGTGAGCACTCCACCCACTCCATTCCTTCTGCCACGCCTATCCGCCGCCCACCATGCCTCCACTCAACTCGATCCTACCCCGCGATTTGCGGCGGTTTTCACCATGTCTTGCAGCCTCCACCCTGTGGCGGCAGGAAGGTTGCCAGAGGTACTTGTGCTCTTCAATGTCTATAGCCGGAAGCATCACTGGTTGAGAGTGTTTGGTGAATCTTCGGCTAGCAGAGGGATCATGCGGGCTCATGGCAGGTATGCACGCCCTTTGATGGAGAAGCTGGCAGACCGCCCAGCATGTTGCAACAGATGCTCAGGGTGGATTGCCGTATGGGCTGTATCGAGACGAGGTCATGAAATTGCAAAACTCGCAACATCGCGGTGCTTGGGTCCCAGCTTCAGCGAGTCGCCTACTCCTCAAGTTGTTGAAATGGTGGGCACACGAGGAAGTCAGTACTTGACGGCAGGTTCGGGAGGAGGCCATCACCTCCATCGCCGTCATAGCAGGTGTCATGGAGAAGGTGCCCATGGCAGCCGCAGTCAAGCTGACACCTAACAGCAAGACGAGTTCTTTGCCTGTCCAAGGACTTTGTCCAGTACTATGACAGCATCATGCCAATGTTGAAGAGTTTTGTGATGACCGCCACCAGCAAGAAGGCACTCTCGTCGTTGCCTGATAGTTTTTCGGACAAGAGGGCTGAGATTTGAAGCCTGAGGAGAACCGACTTCGTGGCAAGTCTTTCGAGTGCATGTCGCTGCACCAACCTCGGCTTTTTCTGTTGTCATCAAGTCATGTTATGCATGTCACACAGTTATCTAGTTTCTCGATATGAATAGATTCTGGCATAGCAGCCCCGCAGACACGACCCAGAAGTGTCTGCGCAAACAATGAGCAGTGTGCTGCGTGCCAAGACTTGGAATCGCAGTGGGAAAGGACTGCCTGATGCATGTTCATGTTTGCAAGCCTGGTCTGGCTCAGCATCGAATGCATGATGCGTTGCTTGCAGGAGAAGTTCCTCAATGATGCGCGGGAAGCCATTGGTGCAATGATGAACACCCAGGTCGAGGCCCCGTGCTCAGAGAGCAGAACCTGCAACAGTGAAGAGTCGATTACAGTAGTGCGGCCAGCGGCAACAACATGCAACAACCTTTACGGGAATCACCATGGGGCATGTATAGCACTGCACTCTGTTCTTGTTCTCCAATGAGGCTGACGATGTGCAGAGAGAGCCTGCCCAGCAGCAGTTGAGCTTCGAGCGCAAAGATGCCGTCTGTGCATTGCGTACCGCCAGGTACATTAAGGAGGCCTCCGAGCGAATCTGTACCTGCCTGAAGAAGGAGCCCCGCAATCACTTCTACTAGTACGATACTGAAGTGGGTAAGGGCCGACGAACCAAACTGGCCAATTTGTGCTCCGCCTTTCACTGAAGACACTGGACGACCGCGGAACTCTCCACTCGAGCTGTGTCTAGCCGAAGTCCTTCTGAAATTTTCAGATAAGCTGAACTGAAAAGGACTTCAAGCCTTTCTTGCAGCCGCTCCTGCCGGGAATCTTCAGGCAGCTTGCACGGCGGGATCTGTTAGTCCACGACTGCATGAACGCAAAACATGCCCTGTGCAGGAACCTTCGCCTGGACGACTTGCATGATCAGGCACACGGGGACCACCACCGGCTCCGACCGGCGTACGCAGTGCCGCTCGTTCCGTCACTTCGCTATCCCGTCGGATCGGTGCATCCGGCTCTGAACCTGCTTTCTCGATTTCGAGTGCTGTCGTTGGTGGTGGCCTGCTCTCACGCATCTTTGGACCTGCACCTTCGGCAAGTGGAGGAGATCTGGTCCAAACGGAGAATAGTCGAAGTATGCAAGGATGTTCACGCATGTCGCATCCGAAGTTGCTCGGAGGAGGGTTGACCTCTTGCGCATCGCAGTCACAAACAGTCACTGCCCCCGAGTCTCCTTCTCCCCTTGAACCCTGAACCATGCAAGCGATGTGCTAACGCAGTCAGACGTCCAAAGCCAGCCCAGAGAACTTTGCATGCCTTCGAGGGGCTCGCAACCCTCGCGGCCTCTGTTCAGCCTGCGATTGAAATGCGTGCTTAACTGAGTCATGAATTCATTAATGATTGCATTAATTAAATATTCAATGTTTTGCTAATTCAACAAATGTGTAATTTTCGACCGTTAGTAGTTATGCATGCATGCGTACACATACATATCTGTTTGCGCACCTGTCTAGCCCTTCCAGTAGCTGTGCTGAATAAGCACAATTGACCGCTAGTCTTGTTGCTTCATGTTGCTTCTGTTGCTGATACTGGTACGGCGGTTTTGCTCTTAGGTTTTCTGTCCATGATGCTTAAACATTCGACCCGCGCTTGCTTCTCAGGCAGTTGTCGATTATGTCTGTTGTTTGGCCATGAACTTGATGACCATTTCGAGCACGTCGTATGGCGGACCAGTGGTTTCAGGCATCTCTCTGTCTGTCTGTCCGTCTGTCTGTCTGTCTGTCTGTCTGTCTGTCTGTCTGTCTGTCTGTCTCTCTCTCTCTCTCTCTCTCTCTCCGTCTTCCCTTGTTATGCATCGGTTTTTTATAAGTAGTGCACTGGATCCTTCTTTGAATAAAGCTGCACGCCTGCCTTGCTGCAAAAAAGAGGCGCCAGCGTCGGGCGGAGCCGATGAGGACGAATATGTGAAGGCGGAACGAGAACACCAACAACAAACAGCTAAGCTGTGCGGGAAGAAGCACAGGTCAATACCGGCGACGGCAAGACCGTCCGAGTCCACACTGAGAAGTTCCACGACATGATGCAGTCCGTGCCATGTCTTTGATGATTTTTCGAAGCAATACCGAAGCCCTGCGCGCGTGTGGGCCGGTGCTCTAGTCAATGCTTACGGTCGCATCCCAGGTACAGCTTCTGCACACCTTTGTGACGGAGATGGAGTCAGGCCGGGCCTTCTGTTTGCGCATTCAGGAACCGTTCTGCCGTTATCCCATCTGCAGAATTTGAACTGTTATTCGGCCCGCCTGCACGATCAGGTTACTTCGAAGCCGTTCCTGACACGGCCCAGGTCCGTCCCCTTCGACCTCTTAGATAGTCGTGCCTACAAAGCTTCGCGCTCTATCTTGACCTTGAGAGGTGCTGTTGCCTCTATTGTCCGCCACGGATGATGCATCCATGCTTTGCGACGAGGCTCCACACTGCAGGGCTTGAGTTAAGTCTTGCAAGTACCCATAGCCGACTTCTGTAGTAAAGCCAGTAAAGCAAATCTGCGTAATACAGCAAAACTGAGTAGCGCCAGAACTCATCTGCGCCGCCTCTTCCACAATTGCACAATGAGTCCGATGTTCGGAAGCGTGGCTTAGGCGCACTCTAAATAACTGAGTGTTCCTACTACTACTACTACTAGTAGTCGTCGTCGTAGTAGTAGTAGTACTACTACTACTGCTACTACTGCTACTGCTACTGCTACCACTACCACTACCACTGCCACTACTAATTGCTACTACTACTACTACTACTACTACTACTACTACTACTACTACAACTACTATTACAACTACTACTATTGCTGCTGCTACTACTACTACTGCTACTGTTATTGTCTCCAGGGCTTTTCTACCGCTCAGGTGCGTGGAACTGCTTTGCAGGTTTGGTCCCTGCTGATCAAAGCGGCGAGGCTCGGAGCGCAGGACGGAGGGGACAGAGCCCTTTGGGACCTGTGCTGCAATGCGGAAGCCCCTTCGTTATTGCAGAAGATCATGTCGATTGTTAGGCTGGACTAGGTCAGCGCCGTTGCATCGCCATTTCTGTGCGAGGAGCGAGGCCAGCCAAATGCAGGCCACCGAGGACAAGACACGAACGGCAGCTCCTGTAAAACCGGCTCTGAAACAAGTGTTCATCTGAGGCCATGGCCAAGGAACTGCTGCAGAAGGGCCTAGAGGCAAAGCGGACCACGCAGAGTTCGGTTTCTCTTAGCGGAGCGGCCAAGAATTGGTGCACGGGCTGGCAGGCTGCCTTCCACCAGTTGCAGACGTACCAGGCCGTTTTGGTTTCTGCCACGGTCCATGCTCTGGAGATGCTTGAGCAGATTTCGAGTGAAAGGACGCTGAGCATCTGCAAGAGATCTCCTCTGGTGTGGCCGAGTGCATCAAGAATGCTTTCCTCTTACTGTTTGTGCAATCCAGTCAAGGCAAAACAGCTCAGCTGAAGTTTCAATCCTCGTGCGATCAGGTTGGCCCTGGTGTCCTCGGTAGCGACGAGGTCCAGAAGCTGACAGCCAGGCCTAGTATTCGGGCATCTGAGGTGAGGGCTTCCAGGCACGAGGTGTGACGAGGTGTCGGGTTGTGAACTGCGCAATTTGGCAGTGTCTTCACACTCCTGGACCAGTCTTTGCAGAGAAGCCAAAGGCCCAGTGGATCTCAGTGTTCTGCTGAGGGCCCCAACCGTCCCAGCCACTCTCACTGAGGTGCCCAACATGCCAAAGAGCAAGCCAAAGAGAAGCATGAGGCTGGGGCTTCGGCGAAACATCAAGTGGGTACAGTGGTGGCGCGGAGGCGAGTGCTTTGCCACAAGAGCTCCATGCCGGAGACGAAGACGAGGACGAGCACGACCTCACCGCGGAGGAGGCCTTGGTCGTTGCCCTTCGCTCTTCGCCTTTTTTCACAAGGTGTCAAATCTTGTTCTCACTGCGACTGCAAGCAAGGACCAGCTCCGAAGAAACTACGAGGAGGTCTTGGGAGCCATGATGAAGGCTTTGGTTGTGTGCTGCTCCGTTTCTCTGCTCCGTTTCTCCCTCCCTGCAGTGTAGACTGGTGGATTTTTGAAGGTCTCGCCCGAGCAGTTCCTGCCCTGCCTGTCCGGCTGCGCTGAGCGCATCCAGCAATGGGCATCTGCCTGAGCATCCATGCGCAAGCGGTCTGCGCGAATTCAGAACAAAACAGGAAACCGCACATACATTGACATGTGGGCTGACCAGGTAGCAACCAAGGAGAACAAGGCTCTGCTGCAGATCGGTGATCAGCTTCAGTGAGGGTGAACGTCGTTCAAACTTGCAGCTAGACGGGCGATGATGGGTAGGTGTTGGGCCTTTACCTGGTGTGCGATCTCCTCGATCACTTGCCGTTGCCTCAGTCAGGTTTGCATTTCAACCCAAGCAGGTGGTTGAGGTCGGACCAAGCCGAATGGCAGGAAAGAGCACTCACAGAGTGCTTGGCCCATCTTCATGCCGAAGATCTTCGAGTCGATCCATGACGAGGATCCAGATGCGAGGACACCGAAGGGTCTGGTCTCCGCAATTCTGATCTCTCCATTGTTGTCGGCAAGCAAGGACTGCAGCAGCATATGCTGTGAACCTTGCTGCGCCGCTCGCAAAGTTTGCAGAGGCTTTGGGATACGCTATTGACTTATAGGTCTCTTGCTCCTGATGCGGATCCTTTGCTAGCAGTAAGCTCCTAAGTTCTTATGCAGCTAAATGCAGACAAAGGCCATAACAGGAAAGAATGGAGATGGCAGTGGCATCTTTCACCCCTCAAATTTACTTGGTCCGAGTTGGCGGTTTGCAGAGCTTACAACTTAAACGCCAAGTGTAACTGTATGTCTAGCCTGACCAGATGTCTCCTAAGTCACGTGCCGAGGCCACCATAGGGCTATCACTGCAGCTTATCTGGCTTAGTGGTAAACCGAGCCTCGAAGTAGATCCACTGTGACTGGTTGCTTGGAAGTATGATCACTACGACCCTTTCCCGAGCACCCCTGCTGACAAATGCAAGATCGAGCTGTCAAAGTTTCCTAAAGTATAAAGCTGTAGATCATAGGGGGCTCAAGAACATCGCCTCGTCCGCAAGTAAGCTTAATCGAGGCGCCCTACCCCGAACAACCTGTCCAGAAAGATCAGTGTGTCAAACTTGCTGCTTCAGTTTGTTTCCACCCGCACTTACTATTGATAGCTGCTGTTTGAGAGGTCACGATCATGATTGTGACCCTGCCTTCCACTCCAACCAACATGGCACTCTCGTTCTAGAGCGTACTGCCACATTGGTTTGGGAGTGTTCCGTATTGTAGTGTCCATGGTTGTCTCCTTGTTTGCAGGCGGCGCCTGAGGCCTTCAAACGAGTGGCCATGGTAGTCGGGAAGCCAAAGCCTAAGAAGCGAGTGGGCGCCTCAGAAATACTGATGAAGAAAACCGGCTAAGCTGCTGAGCGCTGCCATGCATTTCTTCGCCAGGATGAGAAAGCAAAAATAGCCATGGACAATGCAGCCGGGAGCCCTTGAAAGCTGGCAGATTTGCTATGATTGGAATAGGATTGCACATCCACCATTTCAGGTAGCTGCACTTCTGTCCTTGCTGAAGGACGCTTGCAGTTTGTCGATGGCACTCTCGCACACTCCGACATGCTTGAACTTGGCCAGGACAAGGGCCAGCTCTGCCCTCCGGATGTGCAGGTGTTCTGCTTAGTCGTCTGGTTACCCTCGGTCCCAATTCCCCAGCCGCCTCAGGCAGGGGACTTGATCCTCTCAAAGCTACCCCTCCGAGATGATTGCGACGAGGCATGCGCAGTTCTGCAAACGGTGATGACTTGTGGGTAGCAATGCAGTCACATCTGGCACTGTCAGCGCGTTGGACATGGCGGTGTTGTTTCCACATAGCGTGCAGCAGCCGTTAGTCCACGTAGACACTGAGAAGGTCGACACTCTCGGGGTGACTCCTGCGAGCAAACGAACGTGCAAGAGTGGATCAGGATAGTCTTGAACATGCCCTGAATCAAAACCGATCTTGTGCTGCCGGGACTTGCCAGGCCAAAAAGGTTCACGACAAACTCATCGATATGGTCCTTGCTCAGAACCAGGTCATGCTCCTGCACCTCTTTCAAGCTTGTTGAACTCGCCGGCTTGGGCAGGGAATTCTGGGGCAAGACAACCGAAATCTGGGGTCCAAGCCCCAATAACGTCATGCAAGCACAAGGCGAGACCATGCTGTTACGTGTGCGTCGCCAAGGAAAGTTCTGGCGTTCTTGGCTGAGATCTACAAGCAGGAAGGCCAATGTGCAAGAATGGAAGACGATGTGAGCTCTTTGCTTCTTTCATTCCATGTTGATGAGCCCTTGCCAGAAATCTGCACCAAAGAGAGCGATGAGAAGGTCCTGAGAGTGGGGGCCCGAGCAGAGCTGCGAACTAGTCACGGACTTGCCGTCGTGGAATCTGCATCCTGCCTGCATCTCGGACATGGCAGATCTTCAAATCGCTCCCACAGAACGTCCTCGTAGGCACCTGCCTCAGCACTGGTGTACTTTCCTGGATGACTTGCCTGCTTTTTCGCACAGTGCCCAGGAAGGGATAGAAAGGTAGGCAGATGGATGCATGCGCAAGTATCAAGCCAGAAACACGAATGGAGGGCCTGGACGCGTCAAATGTGAGCGCAAGCAACCACATCACGCATGCATGGTGTTGAGGTACATACCGAACGGAACACAAAAGACCGTAGTTTGTAGCTGCAATATTCTTATATCATATTGTCACCTTCTGTTTCAATTCCCCATCTAATTATTCCTCTATCGTCATTCTGTCGGGCTTTCTTTCCTCTCTTTTACCTTCATGTCTTTCCGTAGGTCTCTTTTGCTCAAGAGAATAGTATGAAGTGAACTTTGATGTTTTACAGTGAAACCGAATGAACAAAATGAAAGAAGTGAGCGCGTGCAGACACCAAATCAAACAATGGTAACCTAATTATAGTTACACCATTGTATGTTGCACCTTCTATTTCCTGATCGGTTTCAGGTGATAGAATCTGGCATGGGATACGCAGAGGATGTTGTTTAAATTGAATGAAAGAAACACAAAGGAACGTAGTGCATGTGCGGTTTCTATTCAGACATGCGAGCTTGGATCCACTCGAAATGCAGGTGCTGCCTCAAGCTTCAGCGAGAAGCAGCAGAAAAAGATTGCTGCTTGATGGCAGACAGTTCTGTATCGCCTGTGCCTGTGTGATGAATCCCACCTCTCCATCGCGAGCACTTTCTGAGTCACACTGCTTGCAATGGTCCGGGAATCTAGTCGACTGCCTTGCTTGTAGTCTAGTACGTGATCGAGTCATGAGCCCATGGAGTGCTGTTGATGCCGCATTCCCCACCAAGGAAAAAATGTTGAGCTCTTGAGCTCGTCTCGGCTGTGCACACGGTGTTCACGCCACCCTGGGCTCTAAACCTACCAAGGGCCTACCTAACCCAACCAGACTCCACCCCGACAAGTCTGCAGTCTGCATGACTGCGTGGACCCTGTAGCAGTGCTCAGTGGAATTGTCATGTCAACTGCTGGGTCGGTCCCGGGGTCCGTTCAAGGCAGTGTTCAGCCAATGATTATTTTACATGCACGCATGTTCTCGTGACCCTGTCGGACCCGCGGAATGCTTATGCATCCGATGGGCAGCAACAGTGGTGCTTGGAACAACAGTAAATCAGTGCTGTACAATGGCGGATTCATCAAGCGGCGTTCGGATGTCAGAAAGCTGCCCATCAGGTGTGTTTCGCTCTTTAGCTCACGTCAGCGACGTGCCCTGCTCCTCAAACAAGGGAGCTTTAAGAGGCGCGCAGCTGCCCTTTTTGCGGCCTCACCAACGGCGAGGATTGTTTCAGGAAGCTTGGCTTGCAAGAAGTTGTCCAAGAAGTGTTTTCACACGCGTGGGTCTTTCCTCGTCTCTCAGTATTGCTCTACACCGAGGAACATGGGGGACAGTGCGCTTCCGGGCTTACGCTGCAGTCACTCATTGCAAACGCCGTAACAGTTCACGACACAGGGGCTGAAAGAGACTCGTGTGGCAAAGTGGAATTTACTGGGTGCAGCAAGCGAAGGCAGACACATGTCCATCTTGAGTCGCCTCTCTCAACCGCTGCCAGCCGTGAAATGCACCCACTGCGCTGCATGATGATCGGATTGCCGGGCCTAAGTTGCTTCAAGAGCAGTGAGCTTTGGCGTCCCAACTCGGCTCATGGAAGAGACCTCGAAAGAATGAGGTGGCATATCTCTGCATATCATATCATATCGCGAGCATGTCGACCAGCGGCATCCTCAAGCACAGCAAGCACCTCCGCCACCTTCCAGTCGGACCATTTGCAGCATCCTTGCCAGTTAAGATGCGCCCTGATCGGGAGTGATGGGTATGCGCATGAGTGTCTCGATGCGCTCCCGTCAGGCATGCGCGCGGACCTCGTCGTGCGTGAAAGCAGCCAGCATGTTAGGTCCATCATCTCGACGCTGCAGGTCGCACAACCTGATCTTTTTTTGAGATTTTGAGGTGTTGAACAGCTTCGCGGAAGCCGTCACGGATTGACAGCCGAGGACGGGTGAAAAGTTTCGTTTCGGTGCATTGATGCAAGCATGCTTCAACGCTTGAGGGCAAGCTGCCGTTGTCAAGATTATGCGGTTCTTGCTCTTTGGGTTTGCTTGGAGCGTCGTCAGTTCAAGCCTGTTGTTGGAAGCCCGCCTGTGTCTTCCGACAAGCTCTTGCCAGAGGAGCGGCGCGCCCGGCGCCTCAATGATTTGCTGGTGTCGAAGGAAAGAGTTATCCTTTCTGCAGCCGGGGACGCGGGCGGTGAATCCATCCGCCGAGCTCAGATCAGGATTCCGTGCCGGAGCTGCTCTTGGCACTGCGGCGTCATGCCCCAGAGCTGGGTGCCGTGCACCGCGGAACGGCCTTGCACCGCCTTGCCAAGGCCGAATGCCGAAGACAGAGGGCGCGAGAGAGAGATTGGAGACAGAGGTTTGAAACCTCCGTCCGCTGCAGTTGCTTGAGGGACCCGAGGGAGGCTTTCCATCCTCCCCGGCAAGGCTTTCCGCGAGTTCGATAGTAGTAGGTCTTCTGATCGAGGAACCGGCTCAGACGTAGTTGGATGGGGAGCGCACGTCCTGTATAGGCCCTGCGCGAAACCTTTGGGGAGACCCGTCCCAGCCGAGCCAACACCTGACTCAGCTGCGCGCTGCACCTTAACCGAGGGCTGCCTCAGACCCAACCCTCGTCGAAAGCGAACGAGCGAGAAGAGCAGGGTCTCAGAGTGGTCTGTCGGCGAATGCCAGGCGGAGGATGGAGCGACCTGGCTCCACTCCCCCGGCGTTGTGCAACTTATCGAGGAGGTCGCAGCAGAGGTCTACACTTAGGCCTGGCCTGTCCGAATCCTAGAACCCTATATGGAACACCCCTGCCAGTTTCTTCAAATCCAGGCGTCTCCGCGGTACTTGGCGAATGCGGCTCGGGCCTTGGGCGCCTCGGCGCTGCAGCACGAACCGCTGGCCGCGGCCACCCAATGAGGCTGCCACGCACAGGCCTGGCATGGCCTGGCAAACCACGTCGTGAACCATCCCTGCAAGACTACGTTGTGTCCAGGTGACGGAGCTGGATGTGCAGAACTCGTCCAACACGGTTCGGAGATCTGCGACGCCACAGGCAGTTGACGCGCCTTCCTACCACATGATCGCAGCAGAGGCGCCCTGCCTTACTGCATGCTGCTCATGCGTGGTCGATCAATCATTCATTAAGCCGAGGCGATCTGCCGCATCCATCACTTCAGCGCGCAGCCACCCTCAAACACAGCCCAAACCCTTGTCCGAGCCTTGCGTGAAGTCTGAAGAGAGAGCCAAACGGATCTCTTGTGCTCCGTCTCGCCAGGCGTCGATCGAGTTGCTCCACCTTCCGCAGGGCGCTTGGCGCATGAAGTGACGGGCTGGCTGGTTTCCAGCCCTGCCAAGGCTGATGCGAGCAGCCGTTAAGTCCGCGATGAGAGGCTTGCCCAGGTGGCCGACCCAGGACTGATGCCAACTCGATGCTCTTCGGTCTGAGATTTTCAGCCTTGGTGACTTGCGCAGGAGCTAGTGAACACTGTTCGAGCAGCAGGTTTCTTCTGCTCTTATACGGCTACAGCGGCCACAGGGGTGCCGCAGCAACCTGTCTGGCCTGGCAGGGCGGCTTCAGCTTTGCCACGAAGCCCTCGTCAGCGCTCTCTCGGCAGCTGCCAAGCTCCCAGAGACGGCGAACGGCCGCAAGCTCTTAATCTTACTTACAATCTCTTACACGTCACTTCAAATCGTCCTCACAGGCCCTGAAGCGTTTGCCCGGGCACGCAGCGCGTGATCTCTCCAACACCTGCTGGAGGCGAGTCGTCGTTCGCCTCGGTGCGATGTTCATTCCTCGTCCTCGTTGTTACGTCGTTGCGTGAAGCGAAGGTCGGCTGTCCTGGCTCTCCAAGACCTGCCACCACTGGGAAGGGCTGCTGAAGAGGACCAGTTTTTCGTGACCTGCTTGTCTCCCTGAAGAAGAGACCGTCATTGGCTAACTGTTTCACATCTTTTCAATTCTCTGGCAGGCGGTGAACAAGTTGCATCGCGGAGACACGCAGGCACGTGTTGAGCAGCTCCAGTTGTTTGCTCCCTCCGGCAGTGTGCAGTTGCAGTTGTCAAAAGCTGTCTTTGTAACACGAGTCTGTGTCATTTCTGCCGAAGTTGGGCGAGACCGCAGCAACTTTATCCAGGCCTTGTCCAACACGCTATGGGCTTCCGGCACCATGCAGGACAGCAAGCATGCTTGACTGTTTTGTTCGGTCATCTGGACGAAGCCACTTGCCTTTTGCTGGCCCCTTGTTGGAGATGCTGCGCGAGCCGTCGACAGCTGCAGCAAGCCAGGAGGCTTTCCGGAGGCGCACTGGAGATGGGTTTTTAGGACAGACAACGACGGTCTCCGTCTGCGGCGTCACGTCAACACCAAGACATTGAAATTGCTTAGGGTCTCGCGCTGGACATTGCCAGCGTGCGCCATGCTTCAGTTGCCTCCGTGAGATGCTATGGCTCTGACACGCTCCTCGAAACATTTCTTGTGGTGGAGATCCGAGAAGCACTCGGCCACTGATGCACGAAGCTAGTCCGGCGACGAAACCCCATGCTCGTTTTCACATGTTCGTCCGAAGTCGGCAGCATTTTCGCGATAATATGGATGTCGTGCCCGCCAAGAAAATGCAAGTAAGCCGCCAAATACAGCTCATGTCGTGACCCGCGACCAATCGCCAGTGCACGTGGCACTCAGCCTCAGAAACCCCTTGCCTCAACGAAAGTCCTGCTCAACGAAAGCAAGTCAAGGACTGGGAGGGACGGAGAGCTGAAAGAGCGGAGCTGCGAGGCAAGACGAGCCAACAGCGCAAGACACTTCGATTTTGATGTGGTGCTCAGCGACTCCTTTCGTCAAAGAGGCCTCTGCTCGGGGTTTCTTTGGATTCTTGTCTTGCAAATGTTGCTGTGTCAATGCTGGGTTCGTCAGCAAGATGGGACTGCGAGCAGGAAGCTCCAACTAGGCTGCCGGCATCTTGTGCGGAGAGGCAGACGCAGAAGTGGTTGCCTGCCAAATAGTCCACTTCTTGCACTTGTGCAGGTGCACTAAAGTGAATGCAAGCGGCCTCTGTCAGGAGAATCGAAGGCCTCAGTCCACAGCATCTGCCTGGAGCTCAGGGCAACGAAAGCTCGTCGTCAACCGGGGAGTCGCTGGCATGAGCCCCGTCGAGGTCCAACGCTGCGCGGGCTGCGACCATTCTGAGCTCCGCCGACGAGAGGCCGCCCAGCTTCTGGCTTCTGGTCTTCCTGCGGCTACGAACGCACATAAACACTAGCACTAGCCAGGCCAATGGGCGTCTTCGCGACGGCCTGCATGCACAGCATCCGAGGCAGAATGAGCAGTTGCTGCAGCGTGAGGGGCGCGCTTTGTGACCTCTCCCACGGCCAGGACTGGATGCACAAAACCTGGCGAACAGCATGCGGGCTCTTGGCAAGTCCCAGCATGAAGCTTGGATCCATCTCGGATGCCAGTGTATGGTGCAAGAGTAGATATTGCATGAGTGAGGGGCTCCGCCGCATCACTCCTCGAAGGTTGGGACCTGCGCCGTTCTCATGGGCGACGGGACAGCGAGCCTTTGACGGCATCACCGAGTTTGGGGCGCAGGCTTTTCGTGCGTCCAAACTCTCTCGCTTCTGATGCTCCCTTCATTTTGAGCTTCAAATTGCTCTGAGAAGCTGACGTTTTTCGGGAGGAGTTGGCGAATGCAGCATGGTGGCTCAGCAGAGCAGCCTCCCTGCATGAGGCCGAGACGGAGTCCAGTCTCCTCTAAGATCAACTGAGCGACTCTACGAAGTTGAGTATTAGACTGCTTAGACTTAGACCGCGGAGCAGTCTCTGTGCGGACCCACATGGCAGGTGCTGATGGATGCTGTTGCTTCTGCGAGCAGCCAGAAGCGACGGCAACCGAGCGTTCAGGAGCAACTTCGGCTGGAGCGTCAAGTGCTTCTTGAAAGAGCACGTGAGTTTCAGCGGTTTCCTGCTTGGTTTCAACTCGACTCTTTGCGGGAATCCTGGCACAGGTTGCTGCCTGCACGGGCAATGACATTGCACCTGTACTCCCAACTCCGTTCACCGGTGTTGGAGGTCAACTGAAATCCGGGACCAACATGTTGGCGCACAGCCATGTTCAAACCACATGCGATGATGGGGCCAGGATGTCGCAGTTCTCGAGCTGCATGGAGAGATGCTCATGTATAGTGTCGTGTCAAATGCTATCACAGCGCCCAAGTGCAGACAGACTAGCGTGGCAGGGCCGTTTGGCAGAGTTTGCGTGGTTGTTTGCCTTTTCAACACTTCGCTCTAGTAGACTTAGTAGACCTCGGTCGACCCAATCCCTTGCACAGCGCATTCTTTGCCAACGAGTGCCAAAGCTCGAAATCTTGTCTGCGGTGTCCGGTGAGTTCAGATGACGGCAAGGCCAAGCCACGCTTGACAAGTGTTGACAGAAGTTGCGAGGACACGACGAACATACCGTGGAGGCCAGCGACATTGTCGCCGCATCATGATCAGGCTGGGAAGGGAGACCGCTGGGACTGTATCCTCCAGCCACGCTTTGTACTTTCTGGAAAGCTTATGTCATCTTCCATCACGTAATGCAGTGGGAGGTAGTCCTCTTTGTCGATGCAGAGGCAGCACCTGGGATTATCCTGGGTCGGTCTGCGTGCAACGGGGGTACAGGGACGACGGGCAGTGTCTCCCTGGCCAGTCTTTCTCATCGGCGAGTTGCAACCAGCGCACGAGTCTTGAATTAGTTACCCTGCTGCTTCCTCTTCGGTGCAGTGTTGCATTCAACCTGCATCCACAAAAGACATAGGGCAAGGAAACAGTGCGATGCTCTCCGAATGCAATGGAGAGGACAGGTGCACGGACAAGGTCAAGGGTGAAGGCTGCGCCAGTTTATGTGGTTTGACCAAGTCAGCATGTGCTGCACGTGCTTTTAGCATTGCTTGTCTCGTTTAGCCTGTAGCAGTCCATGCAGAGGCAGGACGGGAAGCAAGAGAAGAGATGTCGCTGCATGCTGGAACAGACCACCAGACGATGGGGCGCATGTGGATCCATCGAGCGTTCTGCGAGCAGCCGAAGAGTGAACCAACTGGACTTAACGCTGGTAGTGGAGAGGGTTGAGTCAGAAAGCACAAGGACTGCCTGACAGGGAGCCTTTGTCTCTGTGTTTCAAGTACTATGTAGGGATAGTGAGTTTGTTGTCAAGGCGGCCAGATGTAACTTACTCGTGTTGTAATACCTTTTCGGTGCGTGGTATTTTGGGACTACAGCGTTACGATACATTGTGCTTATGAGCTGAATCGAACTCCTAAGCGATGCTCGAAGTAACGCATCATTCAGCGCGCAGGTGGCCAGGCGGCCGGATGCCTTTTCAGATGACGCCAGTGTACGCAACTTAGATCATTCTGTCAGATTGCTGCACCAGCATTCAGTCTGACGAGCAGATCTACTTCAGTGGATGCCACTGGCTTTCACTCGACCATCCTCTTGACCAGAGACGTCCAAGCATGCTTGCTTGCACTTCGAGTCCTGTTGTTCCGGCCTGCAGGTCCAAACATCAGGTGCCTTAGTGCTTCGGGCTTCTTCTCACTTCCGCGTATTTACAGCTTGAGGCCCCGATGCTCGTGTGGACCATGTGGAAGGCCAGCCCACCATGCGGGTCATCAGCTGGAAGAAATTCGAGTAACAGGACAAGACTTGTTAATTTTTTGTTGCTGGGCAGGCTGGCTTTCGCCAAGGACTCTGGCGCCTGTTCGAGTACTGGGCTGAGGCCGGCGCAGGGCTTCGCATGTCAGAGCATCATGCAAGCTGAAGCGACGCAATGTTACTTGTCACAGGGATCATTTGAGCAAGTTGAACCATACGGTGTCTTCCTGATGGACACCATCTGGTGCAAGGACCTGCAACGCGCATCCTTCGGATTGTAAGATGAGCTTATCGCCGGCCTTGCTTGCTGTCCACGCGGAGCGCGTCTCCCTCCTGCTCCCACGCGAACCGAGGACGTTGAAGCAGAAGCGTCTGTGCTACGCAGACTATGCTCCTGGTTTCCTCTCCGCTGCCTGCAGGCACGTCGAAAGCCCTCAGGTGGACCTTAAAGCCTTGGCTGCCCTGGCAGATGGAAGTGGCGCTTCTAGGCGAGCCGATTGCAGTGCGGCGAGCACTCCATCCAGCGTCTTGACCTCAGCAGGCAGCAGAGTGGCGTAAGCCCGTGCCATCCGTGCCTGCCGCGGCAGGCATCAGAAGGTGGCCAAGCTTGTCGACTTCTTGGAGGCCTTCGCTGTCTGGAGTGAGCTGTGCCTCTCCGCAAGCAACGCGCTTTTTGAAGGCTTCCGTGCTCGAGGGGGAGCCGGAGGAGGTTCTGGCAGCTTGCGCCAAGACGGCAAAACTAGAGAGTTGTCCGCACGGAGTTTGTCGATCGTCGACACGACGGACGGGCTGAGCCTTCTGTGTACGTGTGTTCGTTTATGAAGCCACGTCTTTTGTCTTGAAAAATTTGCAGTGCTGTGTCATGACGGTATCTCCGTCGCATGTGTTCTACTTGCCCCTGCCTTGGACGGTCTTCCGAGGCGAAGACTTTGCCAAACACAAGGGGCAATGGCTGAAGGTGGCCGGTGGAGACAAGGCTGGAAATGAATCCTGCATTTGTGCTACGATACCGTCATTTGCTCCGATGAGGCCGACCTCTTGCATGCCACACTGCAGCGTCCCTTGCAGAGTGGTCAGGTCTGTGGCTCTGCCGTGATTGCATCTCAATTTCTTCTTGGAGGATGCTTCGTTCACGTATTTGGCTCTAGGCTGGATCCATATTTCGCATGACCGGCACACTGTCTTCAGCTTTCATTCTGTTCTGTGTTCGATTTTGGTTTTGCTATAGTTTGCTCAGCAGAACACGCTAGTCGTCGAGACCTTGCTGGCTCGGAGCAGTACAGCAGGCCACAGTTCACAATGAATTCCAAAGAAGCCGTAAAGGGTAGCTGGGGCTTTGAGCTTACTCGGCATGCCGATGCAGGGCTTGAGGCCCAGGACTGCATTGCGTTGCGCACCGGATCGGCACGATCGTCAGCCTTAGATTCAACCTGGTATGGCCGCTTTAGAACTTCTGTAGACTTGGCAGTCCAGCTAAGGTTTTCGTGTGGCTGCCGTTTCTGTAACAGCGGTGTTGCCATGACCGATATTCCGTGAGAGGCTCCACTCGTTCCTCCTTATCTCGCCCGGGAGGATACGTTCTATCTCAGGGGACAATGAGGCGGACCTCGTCGCCCTTGGGGAATCACAGACGGTTACACCGACAAGAGCCTCCAAGCTGCCGGGTGGCAAGCCTTTCCACGCTTTCCTTAGGCTCCAGATCTTTCGCAAAGGACATTATGATATGATTGTTTGTGTGCATGTGGGTGTCGGTCTCTCGTTGCGGCTGTTTGCGTTTTGATTGGGCCAGCACGATTTCTGCCCTTCGTCTGCTTCCAGTCTCATGGACCTTTGGACCAAGGTCGAGAGATTTGCTGTCCTCACCACTCTCCGAGGTGGACTTAGGCGTGAAGGGCTGGGGATCTGACGGTTGTAGTCTGTCCTATAGTCTTCGTCGAGGTTAGCGACCTTCAGATTGCATGTTCGATGCCGTCTGTTCGCTTCACATTCGAGAGCGGCGTGCCATCATTGCATGGAATGTGCGGTCATGTTTACACGCCAAGTAAACTCCGATTCTGGTCAAAGGCCACGTACGTATTGAAGCTGGCTATGATGAGCGCGAGTTGAACGAGGTACTGAGTTTCAATGCAAGCATATACGTGCCACAGCTGCAGTTCAGATTGTGCCAGCGTCATCGACTCTGGCAGCTCATCTGAGCCATGCTTACGACGAGGATCTTACAATACAGTACTCCTGCCTGGCCTGCACAGGCCGGGTCATGAGCTTCTGCGTTGAGAAACTGTTGCAAACTCGAAGACTTGGCCGTCAGGGAAACACGGGTTTGCATCCATGCGCTTCGGCCAGGTTGTGGCGAGGGGCAGGATGCCACCGTTTTGCTGAACCTCGTGTTGTTCTTGGGCCTGCAAGTGGGCAATGCAGGGCCCTTACCGAGCACGAACAACTGCGCTCCGACCACAAACGGAAAATTTTTGGTGAGTCCTTATGCTTTGCTAAGACGGCTTCCGTTCGAGGTCTTCTTGCAGATGTTCCTGCTCTTCGAAATCGAGTTCCTAATTGTGGCAGGGCAGCACAGGTTCAGTTGACCCGGGATAGGCATGCAAAGGAAGCCGCAAACTCCAAGTCCAAGGCTGCTATTGACAAGCAGACCTTACATACTATGGAGTATCTACTTACCCCGGCAATGCCGTTGCAGTTCTGACTCGTATGTTGGCGTCACCAACACCATTAGCAACAGCAGCAACAGCAGCAGCAGAAGGAGCAGCATCTGCAAGAACACGGAAAAATGGCAACATCATCAGCAACAACACCAGAAACAACAACAGCAAGAGCGGCAGCAACGGAGACAGGAGCAACAGCAACGTCGGCAGCAGGAGCGGCAGCGGCAGCATCATTTCCTGGTCAAGGAGTCTAGCTGCTGACTTCTGCTGTATTTTGGTGATTTCTTGGGAACTGCTGCGAACACACGGCATTGTTTTGCCATTCAGTTGTGAAAAGCGTCCTTCCTTCTCAAGTCGAGGCGTTTCCAGCCATGGAGCATGCGCGGGACCTCTACGACCGTTTCACGGATCACTGCTACGCGGAGGGCCTCATGGATTCCAGCAGCTGGGCGCTCTCCGTTTTGTTCATCTTAGTAACCACTAATTAACTCAGGGGAGTGGATTGGGCGGTCTTGTACGCTGGCACACCGTTTCATGAACTACACCGGCTACAAGACTTCTGGGCTACGACGGACAGGTTCGTAATTGGTATGTAACTTGACTCGGGTGTGATTGTAAGGTGAGGACGTCGGCATCCTCTTTCAGTCTTGGGATGGCACAGCCAAAGCGGAGCTTTGCCAGTTTCCGCTGACGAACCCCACGTTTTTCTTCATGGCCCCTAGATCGCATGTTGATGCGTTGGAGGGTCGTGTGAGGCTGCCCGTTCATGTGTTCTTGCCGCTTTGGACTTTCGACTTGTCTTTGCGAGGTGATTCTGATTTGGACCTTCTTCTTAGGGCACGAGCTCAAGCAGACGGACGCTCGGCAGCCACATCAGCAGCTCCTACACGTGAATGGAGCATCGACCCTGCAACTCTGAACCCCAACAGGTCTATTTCTTCTGGCACACTCTTCGGCTTCATCGGCCGACTGAGGGCTGTGTGCATCTCTGCCCGCAACCGACTGTTAGTATTGTTCTTGCCAAGCTTGATCGGTGTGAATAGACCGAATAGATGTTCGAATGCAGATCGGCGATCGGTGATCAGCATGTGAAGAGTTTGTTAATTTCGAGTACTTGGCTACTTGAATACTTGTAGTGGGTTCGACTCAGGTGCATTGTCGATCATCAGGACCAGAGCCAGTTTGTTATCACGCACATGCACCTGAGACTGAATTTGACTTCATGCCGTGTACCGGACAAAGCTGGAGCGCAAGCCTTCCTAGCCACTTAAGGAGTGGACTTCTGAAGTTCTGGATAGCACTCATCGTGTTCCTCCCCAAGTTCATCATCGCGATTGTGCTGTGGTACATAGGCCGGCTAGATTGGCCTTGTCAAAGAGCAGCATGCTTATGATTATGCCTTGAAGCAGTCTTTTCACTGAAAGTGCCCAGGTAACCGCTGTGTTGGGTTTCGGCTGTGCACCATGTTGTGTCTTGCAGGTGCGCGTTGGTTGACAGCCACCCCTGGTGTAGACAACCTCATGCTGAACTCGTTGGCGCTCACGTTCATTTGTGAGCTGCTGGGCTCGTTGCGATGCATCAAGTCTGTGGACTCTCTCTAGTCACTCTAGTCACTAGTCACTTTGGTTTTCGCTTGGCCTGCTGCTTCGAGGCTGGACGAGCTGATCTTTCGTACGTGCACCTCCGAGAACATCAAGGCACACTGCCAGTTTTTGCATTTCTCGGCTGTCAGGCAGGCTGCTTGTCATTGACAAATCATTGTGGAGATCTCTAGAAGAATTGAATTACCCTCCAAACAGCGGCTCGTCGCAGCATCATGTCTGTTCGGTAGGCTTGCCTGGAGCGGACGAAGCTTCCAATGGCCCCACTGCCAGCGGGACCTTCAAAGGCAGGTGCGATTGAGAGCCTTGGCTAATTACTCGGCCGATTCAGGCGTGATTTCTCAAACTGAAATCAATCCGCACGGCATGGCTTGGCTTCTACAAGTCTGCAGCAAGGACAGCAGTCACGGTCGTCGGCTGCTTTGCCTTGGCCTTCCTGCCACGCGGTAAATTGGGAGGGAGAGGTACAGGTCTGAGGGTTTCCCCTTGAACTTTCGAGGCTCTCGTAACTCTGGTAAAGTAATTTGCTGTGTGCCTTGCTCTGCTCCTTGGACTGATATGGCCTGCAGCCAAGGTATCTGACGCACTTCCAGACTGCAGCCTTTATGCAACGGGTCAGATCGCGTTCACAACCGCGCAACTGCAAGAGATAAACGGAACATGGCCACCACTGCTTTCTTAAGCCAGAAAGCCGCTACTGAAAGCCAGAGTCTGCCACCGACACCGGACCGACACCATGACTTTTCAGCCCCAGTCCCTTGCTATTCCTCTTGCCTTGCAACTTCCGTGCGTGTCCAGAGTCCAGGTCGGAATAACAGGCTCGCACCATGGTCCTAGAATGCACGTCGTGAAACTGAGGCAATTCCAGAGTATCGCTGGGATCTTGCTGGTCTTTGCCGCATCTCGGCTATTAGGGCTGCAGAAGCTTTCGATCGCAGCTACAGTGCTACCTTGAGATGAAGATCTTTCAGGTGGTCACCACCGAACCGTCCTGAATCTGATGACAGGGCACCACGGAAAGCGGTGACTCAGACACCAGACTACAAGCAAAGATGACAGCGCACAGCCAAAGATGTTTCGTGCTAAAGGCACTGCATGTTCTTGCAGCGACGGTCGCGCACCAGCTGTGGCCGACCTGTAAATACCAGTAGAACTGGACAAGACAACCCTTTTCTTTGCATGTGGGTAACAGCTTGCGAGGCTTGTGAAACATGCGCAAGCTCGCAGTGCAGCGCACTCGATATTGGAGGAGCTGATCCTTGATGCCGTTCCGCTCTGCGAAGATTCATGTAGGCGTAGTTCTGCTGCATGCACATCGACTGTATATGAGCGCAGCCGAACAGATACATGTGAACAAGCACAGAAGGACTACATAGAGGAGTTTCAGGAGCTGTTCTTCGTTTATGCTCTCCAAGAGCAGTTCATCCGGTTACATGAAACCAGAACACTCCAAGGCCAGGCCTTTGCGTACATCATTGCGCCAAGTTGTGGGCCTTGTCAAATGTGCATGATGCAAGATTCAAGAGGACTCCATGCAAACTCGATTGACTAACATTTGGCTTTTTTGCCCACTTCAAATCTTTTGAGCTTGTGCATCCTGCGTCGCAGCCGGTAGACATGTCCGGCTGTGCCTCAGGGCAGGTTGTCATAACTGTTTGTATCTGGGTGCAGAGATTCTGGAGCCCAGATTCCTGCAGCCACATGAGCTGCCGCGGGGCGAGTGTGAATGCAACATCTTCAACACACGGTTGTTGCATCCCATGCCTGCCATAGAGGTTTTGCCTGCAGAGTCCAGTTGCCAAGCTCCTCAGGTTGTCACAGAACTTGGGGCCTTCGTGGGCTATTCTGCCGTGCGATTCAGCAGCGCGTTGCGGAGGCAGCCGGGTTGCACAGTTTCGTGCTTTGTGAGATCATGTGAATCTTGGGAGCTGGGTGTAGTGCGAACCCTGGAGCAGTTGTAAGGATGTACACGGTTGCCAACCGAGGCGCCCGGGACAGAGCTCCTTGCGTCTAACCTCTTTGGAGGTCCCAGCCCATGCGATGCCATGTCAGCCCAGCAGCGGCGCGGTCCATTGCAGGTGAACCCGCTGCACGTCTCTGTGGCCCGCTTTCTGCTGGACATGGCAGGCCTCTCCCAGGTCGCAGAGGTCTGTCCCCTGAAGTGAAGCCTAAGTAGCCTAAGTAGCCTAAGCCGGCTTAGCCGCGCTCTGAACGTTTGTGAAGGTCCGACCAGGCCAAGTCAAGGTCGGAGCCCTGCGTGATCCTTGCTACGCCTTGTGTGTGGCGATCGCGCATCTCGTTATCACACAGGATCTGGTGCCGCAGCTGGTGGAAGAGCTTGGCTTCCACAGCACAGGCCTACTCAAAGACTGGAGCCTTCCCATCTGTGAGGAATTTTTGGATCAAAGCAAAGATCCTGGAGCTGTGGACGACAGGAGTTTGCTTCATGGACCACCGTGGGACGATCTTCCATCAGGCTCCCAAGAAGTGGCCGCACTGACTGGATCTCAGCCTGTGCTGCGGCAGGACTTCAAGCTGCTCCTGAGTCACAAGGTCTTGGGTGCTGAGGCTCTTAAAGTCGGTTGGGCCTCTGAAAATCCGCTGGACTTGGGCTCCTTCAAGGCACAGCTCGTGGCCGACAACACCCTAAATCCTGGGGCGCCTCTCTTCCTCTGGGACCATGCTCCTGAATGCTTGCTTTTTGTCTGCCATCCTGAGCCGCAGCAGGCATCGGTGACACCCCAGTTTCTCGCACGCCCTCGCACCGCTGCAGGCCTACAGGGGGCAACATTGGCATTGACGTGTTTCTGCAGGAGCGCTTCCATGGACATCACCACGGGCGAGTGCTTTCAACCACATGCTGGTCTCTGACAGAGCCGTGTGCTTTCTATGATGACACCTGCATGTACACTTGATACTGACAGCTCTCTATCAACAAGCACATTTGCTTTTTTGAGGTTCCTCGCTGAGCACGAAGATTGGACGTCTACTTCTGTTTGCACCTCGGGAGTTTGTCCAGTCGAGTCAACACCATTCCCTCATGCTCCCTTTGTTGTTGTCCTTTGCTGATCCTTCCGTCCGAAGGATCCTATAAATGCCGCACATGGTCTATGTCAGTCCTCATGTGCGCCTGAGGAATGGAGACCTGCCCCGACAGAAAGACAACTTGGATAGCTCAGCAAACCGTAAAAGTGGCTATGCCTGCCAGCTGCTGCAAGACCTAATTCTGAAAGGCAACGGTTGTTCCAACTTTGCCATGCCGCAGGACTCACACTGCTACACCCCGTATCTCATGCTGCTCAATCTGCGAAGACTCCAAGCCAGCAGCAACTACTTCGACACCTTTGGAATCCACTTTCCCAAACACAGGGCAGCACATGCTGGCAATCCTTTCTGCAATTATGATAATTATGATGATGGCTGACAGATTTGTGAACTGACGTAAAGGCATGACCAGGCAGTCCGAGCACCCCTGTGTGGTTGGACGAGGGTCCTACTGTAGGAGCACTTAGGCCTAGGCTTAGGCCCTCAGAGGGCTGGATACCAGAGATCGCTGAGCTCGGATCTGGAGTGCAGCGATGGCGGGCTCCGGTGGGTCCTACTGGTCCACGCTTAGTCAGGACTTCCTCTGGGCAGTGTGAGTCAACTGAGCTGCATGGATCTTCTGGAGTGCACGCCCGGTGCGGTGCTGGCGATATCTTTTGTTTGATTGCTGATGCTTGTTCGGTGCTTGGGGCAGCCTGATGTGATCATGCCTTCACAGGATCCGTCGTGGGCGTGGCTGAGTCGCGAGGATGAGCAGGGTCCTGCACAGGGATGGTGGTTCTTGTGCTGTTCGGTAATTGTGCGCATTGCCATCATGCCGCCACTCGTCGTTAGCGAACTGCCACCTGCACCGAGATATCAGGATTCTCGACCAGTGCAGGGAACCGAAGATGAGACTCAGGCGCGCAGAATCCATTTCAAAGACTATTTCAGGCTGATTTGTTAAGTTGGGATGAGTTGGGCGCTTCTTTGACAGGTGCATGTCGCATCCAAAACAGCAAGCTCTCTCTCCAGTTTTGCCGCATCTGCCATCCACGGGCTCAAGCAAAGGTTTACATCCGAGGCTCTAAAGAGGTCCCGGTTTGCCACTGAGCAATGAGCATGACCGCGGCACACGAGGAGGCCTCCTCGTGCGATTTCCCGAAACCCTTGAAAGCAAGCTGGACTTGCAGGACACTAGCCGATAGCTTGCATGACAGCATGGGACGCAGTCCAAGGTTGTGCAGGAGAAGCTGGGCATGGGCAGCCGGCCGGAGGATCCCAATGTCTGCACTTTAACAAAGAGCAGTAGCTCTACGTATCGATGCGGAGGAATCTACTGACGACAGCGACAATGACCTTCCTGAGCTCTACGATGCGACCAGTGACAGCGGCAGTGGAAGTCCAACCGTGAAGGACTGTAGTGAAGCTTAAACCCCACTACTACTCCTACACTCCACACTAGGCCACCAAGCACCATGCATTCCTCAGGGCGGTGTGCTGCATAGGCGTAGACTTCCTTGTGCCAGGAGCCAGAGCTGCAAAAGCCAGAGCCGGCAGAGGCAGGACGTCGAGAGCCCCTTGTTCCATTTGAACGAAGCCCTAGCGCCATCCTCAAAGTCAGTGAAGGCACAGGAGATCCTCAGACGCTACGCAGCAAAGTTTGGCGAATCTCGGGACGGCGAAGCTCAGGGCTTCTCGAAAAGATGAGCAGTCAATCGCGGCAAAAGAGCCATGACCAAGACAGCATACGGTAGCTCGTAGACGTCTCTGCTGCACTCCAAGGCTTCAACCGCCGGGCCTTCCCGTGGTACTCTGGCGAGTCCTACAACGAGAAGGGCGAGGTGGCAATGGAGGAGCTTGAGGCACCAGCGTTGTCTTTCACTTCGCGTTCGTGTGAATGGCGTCCCTTCGGCGGCCCCTTGCGCGGTTTCAGCGAGGCCGCACTCAAGAAGCGCGCGCAAAAGGCGAAGCGCCAGGCCGGCCTGCAGCAGCCTACATTGCAAGATTAGCTTGATGCGACGCAGCGCACGCCGTTTGCACTCGAGGCCAAGCTGTGGGACGTGGACTCTGAGGGCGAGCAAGTTACGCTCTGCGCCCACTGCTTGTTGCCGGTTGGTGAGGCCGGGGTTTGGGGATGGGACAGACCTGCTTATCGCTGATCTTGCACGTTGGCCGCAGGTTTCCTATAGCGGCCAGCAAGGTAAATCCACACCTTTGCATGGAGAATGTGCAGCTCAACTTATGCTGCAAGAGATGAAAGAGAAGGACGTAAAACGCACGCAAGACTCTCGGTCAGCAGAAGTTCGCCGTCAATGTTCTTTTTGGCGAGTGCTTTTTCAAAAGCGGTGGAGTCATTCAAGAACTACCGAGAACATGATCTGTTCTTCGACGAACCCCGACAAGACAAGCTCTCGAGCTCTCCCTATCTCGATCATGTAAGGACGAGGCCGAGAAGAAAAGAGAGAATCGCTCCGAACATGGCATCGGCTGGACGGTGCAGCAGGTCCCGAAGAACACTCTGACAGTGACCTGCTTGGAAGCTTGCATGGGCCGTAGGGCTTCGGAGGCAAGGGCTGGTGCATAAGCCTTCTGAGGCTGCAAAGCTGGGATGCAGCCCACCACAAGGCCTGCAGGGTGCGTTAGTCTCGACACAGCACTTAAACAAGCCTCTCTGAGCACCCTGCGAGTACCGTCGAGGCCTTTGCTGCCTTGTCTGGGACGAGGCGAGGGCGCGACAGAGATTCGTGATTCATTTGAGTCATTCATGGAAATGGATGTTCTTCCCTCCGACTGAGGCTGCTCGGTCACTGCGCCTTGCTGCCACCGCGGAACCTGCAGCCGCGGTGAACTTGGAGTACCTCCTCTTGGCCCTGAAGGCCAGGACTGGTCTTGCGAGCATATATGCCAGACATGTCCAACGCCGATCTCCGCCCCCGACATGAAGAGATCTGTGCAAATTGATCTTCAGGTTCGCTTCCATGCCTGCCGCGAGCCCCTCTTCTCCCTGGACCCGCTGAATCCCGAGACTTGGAGAAAGAGAGCATCACAGGGCAGTTTGCTCCTGCCGTCTGTTCAAGCAAAGAAGCGGGAAACAGAATACTTATGGAGCTTGACGACACACCATGCGTTGCAGGTAATTGGCTCATGATGTCCAAGAAGAGTGATGTCAAACTCAGGAAAACCTCGAGAAAACCATGCTTGAGAAGCGCTTCACCCCATCCTGGCTTGCCGGCACAAGCATCGGAGAGCTCATGTTTCAGGCAGACTACTACCTGAAGGAATTGTCGATGGGCGAGTCCCCTTGCCGCATCTGAGTCAAAACTCGTCTTGTGCACGTCGTCTCGTCGCGACCTGATGTGATCTGTACGCCAGGCACGACATGCCCATGATGGGAATGATGAGTGTCTTCGATTGGTCGGAGGCTGACAACGTGAAGGGTGGATGGACCGGACGCGAGTGGTTCGTGGTGAACCAGGCGGAGGTTCGACTGGCCGGCGACAACACGCTGGTGCCACACGTGAAGATGGGGGTCGAGGCCCGGACTCAGGTGGTCGGAGCAAAAGGCCTCCAGGACACTCCCATCACCAGCAAGAATCATCCTTTGAGGACGGATGTCCAAACTCAGTTCGGGTTTTAGGTCGTCATGGTAACATATGGTAACCATAGTAATAGTTCAGTGCATGAAAGATACGGAAGAGCTGCCGGGCAGGAAGTTTGCCGACAACTTCACAAAGCACTTCGATCTCATTGCTGAGCGCCAAAGTGTGATCTTCCACTTGCGAGAGCTTGCCAAGGCATCGGTAATTGCCAAATTCATTGTGGATTCGGGCACTACTGTCCCACCCGAGTGGTGGAGACTGGCTGATGAACTTGTCAGTGCTGCGAGTGCAAAGACGACTGCCAAGCAAATTCCACAACTCTGGAACATGCGGGGCCAATCACGCATTCAAGTCCGGGACGGAAAGATGCTGAATTCGACCACCGGGCAGTGGAGCTACTTGACCAGCATCTATGGGGGCATCGAGTTCCAGCTGGACCGCTTTGAGTTGGCACAGCGGCACACCTTGCGACCTGTCGGGCCGGGGGCCTCCACAATGGTGGGCGGCTTGCAGGGAATGCAGCTTGGACCAAGTGCCGGCCGACCGGGCTTCGCCCCTGCGCGCTTCCAGCTGACACAGCGAGCCCCGGCGCCGGCGCCGGCAGCGGAGCAGCCGCAGGGCGTAGACCTGAACCTGGATGGCTTCGACCTGACGAATCCGGACCGGTTCCGTTTGGGTGTGGCCAGCTGCAGCGCCTCTCCGGACTCCTTGGAGGCAAGGGTCCCACTCGGCCAAGCCTTCCTGGATGGCGTGAGGCAGTCTGCTGCGTCTGCACCCTTCAAGCCGGAAGATCGACACTTCCTCCGCAACCTCTACAAGGACCAGCTCACAGACCGGACTCAGGAGGGCGACGCCTTCGTTCCGCCGGATCCAGACATGAAGTATGTGAACAAGATCCGGGCTCTGGTCTCAGAGGAGGAGATCCTCCGAGGAAAGCGAGTGTCCCTCTTCTCTGATGCGGCCTTCATCCCTGAGAATCCTGGCCCTGCTTTCCCAAGATCTTGGACATCCAACTTCCAAGTAGAGCAGCAGGGCATGTCCACGGGACTTGTGAAGAAGGCTCTCAGGTCGGGCATGGTGCAGCTGGCCCTGAACCCAACCTTCAAGAAGCTCATCACAACAGAGATGCTGCCCAGCACTGCCCCGGTCTTCGAGAAGAGCTCCGAAGATGGCGCGGTTTTCCGCATCTACCGCATCGGCTCCTTGGAGATCCGCACCCTCCAGGACGAAAGAGGGATCTCTCTGCACGTGGGTGGGAGGCATCACAGACTAGAGGTGGTAGGACGTCCTGAAGCAACGACGCGAGGAGCCCGAATCACCGGAGATTGTAAAGGTGGTGTTCTCCTTCCGCGGAACCAAGTGGACGGCACTGCCCGGAAAGGCTCAGGTGCATCGTGCTGTGGACATGAACTGAGGGTGTTCGTGTGTGCTGCTTGACCGCAGCGGGTTTGCGGTCGGTGTGCAGGTCGAAGACTCCGAAAAGATCGTACGGGCGAGGATGCCTGCCGGCTGCACATACGCGATCCGATATCCGCCAAAAGATTCGCCAAGAATCGCTGTGCATAGGTTCGTGGAGTCAGTGGATACGGTTGGCGACCTGGCAAGGCCACGGTAGTGAGGTAAGCAAATGAGCACTTGCGGTTTGCCGATCGTTTGTAACGCGTGCAGGTCGATCCACGGCAAGGCTGCCGAGCCCACTCAGCTTCTGGATGCACCATGGCGCAGCCAGAAGTTGGCTCGGGACTTGGCGAACGTGCATTTGGGGTGACGGAGAGTTGCAGGACACTACTTCCTCGGGCTCGGCACTGCTCCGTGACTTGCTCAGGATCATTGTCACTACTTCATGGTGCTCGAAACGGACAAGGAGAACATGCTGGTGACGGAGAAGTGCTTGGACGGAACTGTTTCATTGGTCGTGAACCCAGCCTCTGGGCGAAACGTTATGCTATCTGTGTAGGCTTAGGCTTACAGGAACGCGGCATCAACAAAAAAGAGCCGTGTACTTTGTCGCCTCCAATTCCAAGGAGAATGCTGAAGATCGCATGTCCCTGGCCAGACTTCTTTACACTCACGAGAGCAAGGACAGGCTTCGCTTAGCCGGCCTTGAAGGCATTTCATGGCAGCCTGAGTCCACTGAGAGAGTGTGCTAAGCCAGTCAGTCTCAGCAAGACAGAGAGACAGTCTGGTGTTCCTGCAGCTTTGGAGATTCCCCCCGTGCCAGGAGGGATCTGCCTCCGTGCGAGAGGTGAAGGTTTTCCAGGCTTCCAGTGCAAAGCAGACACCTGACGGGGCTACAGCTTCAGACAACAAGCTGTACGCTGCTCGATTGCAAGTCGACGGCGGCATTGCATGTGAACTCAAACCAGGATTGTCGTTTGCATTTAGTTTCTGCTTTTCTGTTGCCTTTCCTTGAAAGCTTCAGGCCAGAAATTTGTACAAGCTGGCCTCCGGCAAGGCTGGTTGGCTGCAAGATGCCGGCTTCTCGAAGGCATCAACACGAAATAGCTGGCCTTTGCAAGGCGTGGCTGGTGCGAAAGGCCAAAGGTGCCGGAACCGTGACTGCATTTGTCAGTTTGGATCGAGGCAGCCTCTTTGAGCACCGTCATCTTACCAGAGTAAGAGCGTTTTTCGAAGACTAGCAACACCCAGAAAAGAAACGACCTGCTGTGCGAAGCGCAGCGAAAGCTGCAGGAAAGGGTCGCAAGCCAGTGGCCAACAGCGAATCTGTGCCCCGACTGCTCTTTAGAAGTTCTTTTGGTTCGAACGAAGTGCCTGGGGACGACAAAGCGAGTCGTGCTGGGCCGTTCCGAGCTTTCAGGTGCCGCCAGCTGCCGTGCCGAGCTCTGAGAGGCGGTACTCGGAGAGTCGTAGAATGCCGGAGAGAGTTGTGGCCGTTGTGGGACTGTGGGACTGTCGAATGTTTTTGTTCAGGCGGACGTACAGCAGCAAGGTAAAGTATGACGTCCAGGGCTAAGGCTAAGGCCGGCGGGGCCTCGAGCCCAGAGCAGCGTTGAGGGGTTTGCCAGACTCTTGAAGCCAGCGGCAGGTTGCAGATGCGAAATGAGCTGCATGGCTGAGTAGACAGGTGCGGGAAGCTTTCACGAATGCTGGCCCAAACGGGATTTGCCAGCGCTTACACAGCTGCTGGATCTTCTGAGCATCTTCCATTTCATGACGCAGGGATCTCGTGCGTCCACAAAAGGCAAAAGAGGGGCTCAACCAGGAGCTGTTGTTCACCTCTGCCAACTGGCATAGTTGCCCGCAAAGAAGTCGGTTGATCGGAGCCTTTCAGGGTCTCCTTGCCTATGCGAACTACGCGAAGCAGAGTCGTTCTCTCAGATGCAATCGCACGAGCGCTTGTGCTGTTGAAGCCCCTCTACCTCCCAGGCATGAAGGGAGTCGCAGAGCGAGCGGGAGGTGCCGTCGGCGGCCATGTAGGATTCGCCATGCAGGTGCGAGAGCAGCGAGAGCAGCCCATGAGAAGCTGCAGACCCAGCTCGCGCAAGTTGTCAGCTCGCAGGCCGCCACCATCAGCACTCAGGCGCAGCTTGGCTTCACAAGGTAAGGTTTTCTAAAGCAGCTTTTTAATCTTGGAGCCTCTGACTCGTTCAGAGGCTGGGCTCAACTGCATCCTTGCTTCCGCCACCATCCTGCATAGCGAGCGAAGACGATTACTATGCATACTGAATACCAAGAAGGAACATGCTTGTTGGGACCGCGATGATCATATGATTTGCACTCCGAGCTCCGATTGATTGATCGCCCAGGTGGGTCAGCTTCTTTGTGCTGCTGGCACTTGGCAGCCTTCTCATGGCCCTCTGCTCACTTCAGAAGCCTGTGTGCCTGGCTCCATGATTGTGTGCACTTGAGGCTGCCTCCTTCGCTTCGTTGCCCATGCTAGTTCTGGCCCCACAGAAGCCTCTTCCCGAGTAGCTCCCATGCAGTGCAGTCCCGGGCCCGGGCCCCCACCGGCGGACCCCCCACCGGCCCCCCTTTGCTGAGGTTTGCGACGGTTTTCACTACGGGCTCCGCCTGCATTCTCGGGGCTTTGTGCTCTCTCAAGGCATCTCGCGGAGATCTCTCAGAGTTTCAAAAACTGCAGCCTCTCAGAGAATACACGTAGCCTCCTCTGCAGGGTGTGCAGAGCTTTGTCACACACCTCACCTCCAGAGAGAGGTTGCCGCTCTCTGTGGGGCCTGGGCCTCGTGCTAAGGAGGCAGCAGGACTCATGCCAAAGGTGACTTCCGGCCTTTGTGCGCAACAAGTATCCCCTTCGTCTGAAACTCCGTGAACAGGTATCTGGGCTCAATGGTTGGGACAATTTGGGCGTCGATGTGGTACAGGCCCACGGATGTTTCAGCACTTCTGGAGTTGGCCTGGTGCATTGCGCCAACAGGTCCGCTATCCTGACTATGGCCGGAGCCTCGTGTTCTGCAATCTGCAATGCAGTCGAGCACATTCCTCAACTTTTTTCGGAATTCTGTGGCGGAGGCTTTCTCTGTTGCACAGATCAGCGGACTGCTCTGGTGGCGCCCCCAGATTGGGAAGCTGCTGTTGAAATAACCCTTAATTATGAGATCCGGCTGAGATCCGGCAGGGCAGATTCAGATGAGTCCACAGAGGGGTTTGCGGTGTGCAGTCCGTGGCAAGGGTATGTCTTTGAGCAGTTACTCCGGGTCCACTCGGCTAGTCAGGGTCTGTAAAGTTTTGGTACGGAGCTTCGTGTGGACTTAATCTTCTTACAGCTACATTTTTCGGTAATCGTCGCTTCTGGGACAAAGACGATAGGCGAGGGCTGCAAGATAGCGGCAAGCTGCGGAATCCCGAGCCACGACATCACCCTATTTATGGCAGGGCCCTGACGACCTACAAAGTCTGCATAGTAACTCCTGTAGTAACCGACGAGTTCTGCAAGCAGGGCCCGAGAGTGGGAACGGAAGCCTTGAACCCCAAACTCAAAGAACTCTCGGAGCAAACAAACCTGCTCGAATGGCAGGTTCTTTGTTTCCTACATACCGGGCGGTTCTTATTCGAGCCTTGGCTGTCGCGGTGCTGCCTGGGTGGGCCGGGCTTTGTCAGAACTGGCTTTCGCTTGATTGAACATCTGAGGATGGGACTCGTCTGTGACTTCCTGAAGGGTGCTCTAAGGCAGGTTGCTGGACGATTGCAAGATTGTGCCTGCAGCCGAAGCCCCGTGACCTACAACTCACATTGGCTTGCTGGAGGCATGTTTGCTGTGGTCAGTGCGCAAACAAAGGAAGCCATGGTCTCAGCCTAGTGGTCTGCACGCTTTTGACTGGACATCAACGTGGAAAAGCTGTTCCTGCAACTAAGCTTTCAGTCGGTTCCGGAGATGCTCACTCAGGCTTGCCGCTTTAAAGTCGGATGATGCCTGCCTGCATCCGAAAAGGCTGCTTGCGGTCAGTAAGACAGGACGCGATGCATGTCTGGCTTAATCAAATAAGTAGGACCGAGTGCCCAGGGAAACAGAGAGAGATTCACATTGACGCGTGTCTGTAGTGTATGCCTTTACCGAATAACGCCAAATCACGATCACATGGCAGTTTTGCCCAGAGACCGCATGGCGCATGGTTCTTTCGTGCGCTTCCTTCTTTGCTTCACTTTGCGCAGCTGTCCCCAAAGCAGAGAGCCGCATGATGGCAGATGTTAAAGAGGAACATCGACCACAGTGTGCACATAGGTGAACTCGAGAAGGGTTTGCATCGACCGCAACACGCATAGACCGCATAGGTCAACTCATGACATCCCCTGCTGATTCTCGACTCAAGTCATGGCTGGCCATGGCTACTTGGCTGCTGGCCTTCTTTCGTGACTCGGCTGCTCCATGTATACTGCTGTTGCAGGCGGATTCGATCTCTCTGTATCGAACGACACGTTTTGTGGTCAAGTTGAAATGGCGTGATCTGCACATGGAATCCCCAGTCTGCTTGGTTTTGGGTTCTTGGCCTACGTATGTTTTAGTTGCTTCTACTGTAGCATTCATTCCTGAACACGAGGCTTTTGCCGGGCGTGATGCTGGCAGCTTATGTTGCTGCAGCTGCAAGAAGGCACATTTTCCAGGCCGGATCCAGGTGGAGGACTTTCGGTTTCGTTGCAAAGGTCAAAAGCCTCTGGATAACAATCTGATGGACCGTTGATCAACAACTGAGTCTTGCTTTTCTTGAGCTGCCGGAGAATGCACTCCGAAGCACCAAGCTTTAAGTTCACAAGTGTGTGACGATACAAGCATATTCGTGACCAGCCAAGGTTGGAACGAGCAAAGTCTTCCGCAAGGCGTCTCTGTTGACTGTGTAGTGTAGTGTAGCCACTGTCACTGTCCAAGTCTTACGAACGGTACTAGTGTTTGTTGAAGCTGTTGCTACGGTATGTCGCTACGAACGGTAGGCAGTACAACCCAGTCGTCTTGTCAGATTCACGTATTTCACGCTGGTGTCTTTTGGGCAGAATATGCTGCCAACAGCTTCCCAGGCCAGTATCAGCATGGCAGTTGCAGGTGTTTTGACAACTAGCGGCCGGACAGGCTTGCTTCTGGAGCGTCAACTTTCATTGCACGCAGGGAATGTCTCCAAGTGAAGCTTGGTTGTGTTGGAGCGCCATGGTGCGGCACTTAGCGAAGATCCAGCCATCGACACTCCTGAGTGCAGTAGGACCCCATCGGGCTGGGGAATGGCAATGTCAATTATCATTCGCCACTCGTTCACTGTCATGCCTCACACCTCGCTCAGTTGGCTTCCGTCTCCCTGCCGCTGACTTGCGGTTTCGTGGGTCGTCACAAAAGGAGGCCAGTTTTCGTCCACGCACTGAAGCTACCATGACAGCTTTCGTCCCGGGCATCTTGCTGCACTCTGATTTAAGTACCTGCTGCAAAGCGCATGAAGGCCGTCACTCCCGACTTCTTGTTTCGTGCAGGCTGACACAGGAAGACCGACCCATATGCTGTGGTGTACTGTGCAGGTCGTCGCTGCTGGCCGAGTTTGACACCACTAACTTGCTGGACGCAAGCAGCAGGACATTGGGAGCCAAATCTGTGATCCGGGCATGCACGCGCGAGCCCAAGAGAGACCACCCGCACGCTGCTGGTTGTTTTCATTCTCGTCTGGGGGTCGTCAAAGTGGAGCAGCAATGATCTGGGCTCGTTTACGATGGATCTGTTGCAGTCTGCCGATGCAGGAGTGACTGGGGCTTTTGGATTGTGCAACTCCATATGCCGCGGCCCACAGGTCTTAAGGAGTTCCTCATCGTTCCTCGAAGCTTTCAGGGTTGCAAGGCAATAAGCAGCAATTTGCATGTCGCACTTTGACACGTTCTTCTGCTCGCAGATTTACGCTGGCTGCAGTGCACGAGTCGGGTGTGCCTGATCGTGGGTGTACCTGATGTTGCTGTTTTGCAGTGTACGGATTGACACGTCAGCCCCTTTTGACCACGGACATACTTCCTCTTTGCCTGTGGGCACTGAGCCACAAGATTCGCGCTCCTGCCCTGCCGCCTTCTGTCAAGCCGTTCCGGGATTGAAGCACACCAGAAGAATGATGTCCCTGGAGACTAGCAGGCATTGTGACCTGAAGCCTGCCAAACATGGGTTAAGCAACCAATGAAGGCACTCTGCCACTACCGATTCACACCCCGATTTGCTCATCCCAGACATGTTGAATTTTGAAACCCCTCCCAACTTCAGATGTCCACAAACTGAACTCGTTTTCCAATAGTGAAGGTCTATTTGCATCTTAGGCACCCAAAATGCCTTGAAGCGGATACAGCGCGGCGAGAAGCAGACGGCTGCGGTCGGCCGTTCAAGGATGGCCGAGCAGCATCCTCGGAACGGGAGCTCAGAGCTCCCTCGACCAGGGCTGCTTCATATCAGATGCGAGTCTAGCAGGTTACCGATCGGAATCTGCACAGTTTGAGGAAGCTTGTCGCGCAGAAGCGTGGATAGTCGGATCGTGGTCATACCAGAAGCTTGCATCTTCACTCGACAAGCGTCTCGGCGGCTCCCTAGGACCGATGAGAAACAGCGGCTAAAAGCAGAGATCCGCAAGCTGGAGGTCTCGTGCCCCTGCTTCTGCGCACGAAAGACATGCCAACTTCTAGCACACGGTTACTGCAGCACTTCTTTGCTTCCCCTGCACAGGAGGCTCTGGCAAAGCTGGACGGTGAGAACCGCCGCCTGCTCGAGCGAAATGATGCTTGGCAGCAGACTGCTCGGAGTCGGAGCCGTCAGCAGTCGCCTTCCATTCACCTGCAGTGTGTTCCTCCGCTCCCTCCTTCAGGGTGCTATGAAGTATCCGGGGTCTGCGCAGACATCACGTCGGATGAGCTAAGGAAGAGCTACAACTCGCCTACGACGAGGCAGACCGTGATGCCCGTGAGGCAGAGGCGAGTTGCGGGCAGAATGCGACTCGCGTCTTTGTCTTGCTAAGCTACCGCCGGCAATCCCAAACCGTCCAAGACTTCCTTGCAAATGCAGGCATTGCCAAACTTGCTAAGGGATCAGCGAAGCTGGAGTACACGCGTTGCAGCATTGATTAATGCGCCAATCGCTTGACCCTTTAGATGTATCTCGCTCCCGATCCAGCACCTTGCATGGTCTGACTTCAGCCAGTTGCTTCGTACTTTCGATGGCACATTGTTGACCTTTCAATCTGTGCGATAGAACTGAAAACACAGATGTGGCTGTCCCAGCGCCTCGGTCCATGTGGCTTCCGCGTAGCTCGCCGGAAAGGCCATGAATGGGCACCTTCTGCGGCGAGTCGAAGAAATGGAGGCAGATGCCTGGTTTGAGTTCCGTCTTCCAAGCCCAAGTTTGAGAGTTACAAGATGCTGCCAACGCGGGTTGGTCGGCTGTAGGCTTACAAACTCGAGAGCCCGCACAGGTGCAGATCGCCGCGTTGAGACAGTACGAGGCACGTGCTGCCAAATCCATGGGCAGGTTTTAGGCTTGATGAGCGCGGCGAGCCCGGGCGGTCAGCTTCATACTCATGTTCTTATCAAGTTGCCAGGCGGAATTTGACAAGCGGGTCACCTCCATGCTGGATGAGAGAGACGAGGCCGAGCCAGCATACACCGGCGTTCTGTGCAGAATTCATGCAGCTCTGCGTCTGGAGTCACTAAGTGTCAGCTGGAGCACGTTTCAGCTTCTGAAACGAAGGGAAACGATGCCTCCTGACCCTGCAGACCCTCGTTAAACGTCATACTTTGCTGGAAGCGTCCTACGTCAGCCTCACGAATCGTGAACACATCGCGCAGCGGGAGTCTGAATCAAAAGCTCAGGCGCTGGCTGCTGCCACGCGCGACAAGGAGGCGATCCTATTGAAGGCCTGCAACTCTGGGCCAAGGGCGTGCCTCACAATTCGTTGAGCACCGCGAGCAAAGCAACATTCTGTAGCAATTAACTCGTGCATGGAATCTGTGGCATGCCTCCGAGCATTCGAGATCACATTGACATGCTGCCAAATGACAACACTAGGGCACTAGGGTAAGTGAAATAGCATATGCTTGCTTAGAATAGCATGGACTGGAATGAGCTCGTGCTTTCTGCGAAATCTGTGAGGCACAAGTTTTCGCACATGCCGTCTGTTGAGTGTACTTGAAATAACCCTTGCCTGTTCCATAATCTGCACCTCATGGCTCATGGGCGCTGTGGAGTGTATGGCGTTGACTGTCAACTGTCTGTCCCTCCGTGTCTTTGTCTCCGTCAGAAGGCTCCTGCCACGACCACTGTGTTCTGCTCGCACGATCCTCGAGGTCAAGGAGCTGCAGGAGGAGCTCGCACTCGCGAGGCGCAGCGTCCCCGGCGAAGCGGCAGATGCGGCGGAGTTGGCGCTGATGCTCAAGGCCAGGGCCAGGACTTGGGATCCTGGAAACTTGGAGCCTGGCCTGCCTGGCCTGAGTCGGTACAACAGGGCTTTGAATTTCAAGGTATTGGCAGGGATCGTGTTGTCACTGCTGTCGGGGAGTTAGCATTGCCATCGACAGGACAGGGAAAAGTACACGCCCCGGGTCTAATGACCTTACATTCTAGCGGTCTAGCGATTTCAGAATATTGGCCAAGGTCCGCTCCCTGTTTGTCAAGCCAACAGTCATCACCTGGATCTCTTCGTTCCTTATCGGAAGGGAGTACCTGAACAGCTCAGACGACGGCACGTCCCTGGCCAGGAGCGGCAGCTGGAAATCGAAGACCTCCTGGATCCTTGGATGGGCTACTGTAGCATCTCGGGTGTAGTACGTACAGCACCTACATAGACTCAGATGCCACCGTGATGTATATACCCCGATGTACTCCAGAGCAGCTCCCTGACAGTTTCCTGACATTCAGACCGTCAAGCCCAGGTGTGTCCAAGACTGCAAGCTCTTAAAAAGCAACAGGGTGGTTTGTTGGTTACTTGAGATGGATCTGGCGGCGGAATTGCATGTGTCTGTTGCATTTGTGGCATGGGTGCATGTGAAGCTCATCATATGTATACATCTTAGAAGTTTAGAAATCAAGCGCGGGCTTGAACATAAATAGACACAGCTGGCTTGGCATGGATCGGGATACTAAGGACGCAAGACCACAGACACACACACACACAGGCATATTTATCAACAAGAACAAACAAATCACGAACATGAACACACGTGCTTGTGTGTAATGGAACTTTATAACTAAATAGGTATGTATCGCACACATTGTTGTATGCTCTCCACACACAGTCAGCTTACATGGTCGTGTCTGCACACGCACAGACAAAGACTTCGAGCACATCCAAGGATCGGAACGAGGAGCTGGAGCACGACCTGGCCAAAGCTCGCGAGGCCTGCAAGCAGCGATGGCAAGTCGAGGGTTTCTTGGTGCGGGCGCAAGGAAGCAATGCCCTTAGCCGCAAGCCCTAATGGAATCCCCAACCAGCTCCAGCCTTCGGCCAGTTTCTGAAAGCAGGAGCTCCAGCGAGCACCTCGTCAGGCGCCCACTAGCGCTGGCTCGGAGCTCAGCCATGGAGATTGAAACCTGTAAGTGCACCGGAGAGTGATGCTCGAAGTGGATCTCGAGGCACTCAGCCCTCGGGTGGCTTAGACCAAACTTCACAAGACCAGTACGAGGAGCTGATGGGTCGCTCTGATTTCTGAAGCTCAGCATTTTCAATGTGTGTTTTCAGCACAAAGCCCCGAACTCCGGTTTCTTGTGTCTTAGAAGTACCCACCACCACTCGAAGCCTGGCCATGGGGGCTTGGGCATCAACCAGGGCCGCGCAGTCTGCCATCCTGACCCCGAACCAGTGGGTTCAGGGAGCACTTGGGGCAGGAGCGGCTCCGACATTTCAAGGCGGACGCCCTGGAGAAGGTGCGGGCATGAAGGGACACATTGCAGGTTACTCGGTTGAGCGCGTCCCGGAGTAAGGGACCTTGAATGCGGACCCTGAGGCTAAGCAGCGCGACTTGCAAGGGCTTGGCTGAGGCGTTGCCTTGCGTTGCGTTGCGTGTGCATTGCAGGACCAGCGTGTGCTGGATGCCGAGAAGAAGCTGGAGCAGCTGGCCAGGAGCCTCGGAGCGGAGGCCGCGGCAGCGAGTCGAAGCTGCGGGAGTCGACTAAGCTCGTGCTAGGGACGCAGCACAGCTCCGGATGTCCAAGTTACGGTCCTTGTGGTGCGAGGGCGTTGTTGCGGAGAACCGGGAGCTCTCCCGGCAGAACGCAGAGATGAAGCGCCAGGTTGGGAGAGCGAGCCATCGAATTGCTGTTGGGGCGGGGTTTAGGGACGCAACCCGGGCGCTTGTGTTGACATGCGCTTTGAAGGCCCAGCACCAGAGGGAGAGGCTGTAGGGGTTTGCATGCTTGGCAGGTTGGCGAGGCCAAGCGAGACCTTGCCAACTACCTCTCAGAGGCCTCGTCTTGTCTACTTTTTGCCGGAGGAATGCAGGGGGGTCGCTACATCGATGGATACATAGGGTTCACGGTGTTGGCCAACTTGAGAGTACATGAGGTGGCTCTCTGTTTCTGCAACAACCAGACCCATCACTGCAAAACCACAGTCCGACCGCCGAGGTTCAGTTCAGGCGTTCGCATCTCTGTAGCCGGATGCAGTGGTTAGCAGAGATAGCAGAGTCGCAAGGCAGCCAACATCGTGTACGAGAACGACCTTCTACGCAGCATCGCCAATGTGCACTTTGGTCATGTTGAATCCCAAACATGTGCACGAAGTCCGAAGTGCATGTCTTCTTGACAGTGCTTGTAATATTAATATGATCCAAAGGAGGAAATCTTTCGTAGCTCTCCAGAGCGAAACAAGCAGCAGAAAGGGTCCTCGAATTCACTTTGAGGGAGACTGGCCGTTCGTCAGTGGCCTCATCTGAGGAAGCCAGAGCAGCTCAAGTTAAAGGACTTCAAGCTGAAGGACCGACCGTGAAGCCAGGCGTGTGCTTGGAGGTTTATATAGGGCCCAGAAGGTTTAAGCGCATCAGGCGGAAGGTTTTCAACTCGACTGTCGCGCGCACTCGAGGACAAGGTGACCTCAGCCAAGGCAGTGGCCGCCGCATCTTGCCCTAGAAAGGAAGCATATCCAATGCTGGGACTCGCAGCGATGTCAGCACGTAGAAAGTGCAGCAGCCCAAAATCTGCTAGCTTTACTAGCTGCTAGCTCTGAGCAACGGTTGGGACTTACGGTCAGGAGCTTTTTCAGTTGAGCTCTGAGGCGAAACAGATGGAGAAGGAAGTGGCAGAGCTGGAAGCCGAACGTGGCAAGCTGAAGGCCTCGAGTTACAGACAGCACAGAGGGAAGCACGAACCAAAGAACGGAAGGGAGCTCGAGTCTTGGCCTGACCGACCTGAAGTATTCAATGTGAGCCTGGTTCGCGATCCCCTCTAGGCTTGCGCTATCAAAATTTGCCATGTTGCAAAGAAGCAGACATCGACAGAAGGGGATCAGTTCACCGTGCCATACCGCTTGGACATGCTATAGGCCCATAGGCCCGAAAGCTTGGCCGCTAAGAGCAGCCTCTTCACCAGGCTCGGCTGCGGCAGCTGTCCGAGCTGGCAGCAGAGCTCCTCGTCTGAAGTAAGAGAAGCATCAGCTGTCGAGCGTCAATGCTTCAAGCTTCGGGTGTCTTAGCATCGGAAGACAAGTCTGAGCAGGAAGGTTTCACTGCTCCACAACCTGCAGCCGGAGCAGATGCTGCAGTTGGAGGATGGGAGTCTGGGTTGGGTCACGAGCCGAAAGCGAAGCAGGAAACGAGCATTCAACAAGAAGGCTAGCGTGACAGTGAAGAAGCCGCGCATCACTCTCACGCCGTTTCCGTCCAGGAGATCGCAGCTAGGATGCGAAAGGGAAAGCTGGAGTTGCCCTTGGACGACGCTCAGTCGCATCTTTTGAAACCTGGTGCCAGAAGTTCGGTTCGTCCTCCCGTCTTTGCTTCTCTGCAACGGCACCGCCCTTTTATGGCAGGATCAGAGCCGACAACTCAAAGAGGCCCTGGGCGAAACTTTGGTGGAGCCTCCAGATGACACGCGCCTTTTTGCTGGGAGCAGGAAAGGGACGAGCTCTCAAAGCGGCTCGCTGCAAAGGACCGCGAGGTGGCGGAGCACGTGGACAGGCCTGACCCCGCTTTTTTTTCAAAACAGCAGCGTTCTGCTATGTTACAGCTTCATTCGCCGGAAGGAGGGCTGCCCATGCATAGCTGTAGCTGTTTGAAACGGACTTTGCCACGCAGGAAGGTGGAGGAGGTCCTGAAGAAGCAAGGCGCCACCAAGGACCAAACAATTCGGGTCAGCCGAAATAGGTCTTGCGGCATTTGGAGCTCAGGGTTGTGGGCAAATGCTTTTCAGCTCATGTATGCTGGCAGGACCTTGAGGCAAAGGTGGCAGCTCTGGAGAAGGAGATCGGGGTGATGTTCGAGATGGGGGACATGAAACCTGCATATTCATGATGTTCTGTCCCTGATACATCGGTTCATGCGCAGGACAATGACATGCTCCAATCATCGCTGGAGGTGCCAGGGAACTACTGTAAGGACTTCAGGTTGTCAAGCACAATCAGAGCAAGCTGGTTTCAATCAACACGACCAGCAGCACCTGCACAGGCAGTCCAGCTAGCTTTCCAGCACTGCGACCCTGCTGCCAGGCCTACAAGGCAGGATACGCCGAGCTAGTCATGCAGCAGGACAGCTCCATATGTGAACTTGGCTTGGCCTGCATCCCAAACGTCCCGAACTAGCCCGAACATTTAGAACTTGATGCTGGACAGCATCGGTGCCAGAAGCTTGAGCCGAACACTCCTAGAATGCCGATGGAGGGTTAGCCCTTGCACTGACTAGCATTTGCATCATCGTTGTGGTTGAAAGTTCGAGATCGTGAGGTGCCATGGAGTTAGTGAAGTTCTGTGATGGAAGGGCCGTTTAACGGTTTGCTCTCGCAGGGCCCGCAAGCTCTGGAGCAGCTGGTCGGAAGGCCTTGAGCTCCGAGCGGTGTTGGACAACACATGCACGCCAACTCAAGCGAAGCAAACCATGCAACAAGAGCCGAGAAAGACTGAAAAGCCGTAGGTCCATGTTGTTTCTGGTTGCTTTGCTCCATTGGTTCGATTCTGCAGCGAGGCTGCCTGGTTCCGTGCCGCTTCCTCCAGGCCTGAGTCGCCGTTGACACCGTCACACGCACGCCATCGGCTGGTGTCCGCAGGCGCCATGGCGCGGTCTCTGCGGCCACTGCCCCCAGGAGTCACCCCGCCTCCGCCTGGTCCGCCTGCCGGCAAAGGCTCGGACTCCGTCGCGTCGCTTTGTCTTCTCGAATCGCGAAGCGCGGCCTTCGGGGCGGCCAGGTCTGGGAGCACCGGCAGTTTGGGCCCTGGCCGCTCCGCCTTGGCCTTGGAAAGTGGTGTCAGTTCCGTGGGCAGCGAGGTCCTGCCGAAGATGCCAGGGATGCAGCCGATGGTGTGGTCATCTCTGCTGCAGGCAGGTCAGCATCTGTATGTTTTTGCTGGCCCTGCATCAAATCCTTATCACCGCAGACAGCAGAGTTCGGGCGATATGTTTGCACTGCAGTCTCCGACTCTGGAAGGCTGTACTTCAGTTGCCCGTAGCTCAGGGACGAATCCTGAGACTGAGCAGAGCACCCCTTGACCTTGTATCATCCAAGGCCTGGGGAGCTGTCAGACGGCTCACAGGAGACGGTCCACTCCTGAGATTGGTAAACGACAGGATTTGCAATGTCTGTGCTCATCTGTTGTGTTCGCTCCAGATTCTAAGTAACTTAAACTGAGTGAGAAGTCTCTCGAACCCAGAGACTACAACTAACAGTTCAGCTTCTGTCCAAGTTGCCTCAGGTTTGCTCGCTCTACTGCCAAGTGGTGGAAGCTTTGGAGGACGGGGATCCGCGATGTCCATTGGGCTTTGAGATTCTCTGAGCATCTTGAGAGGAGCTCTCCCGCGAGCGCTCTCTGCGCGAGGGTCTCGCGGAGGAGGTCTCATCTTTCCAGCAGAGGCACTGCACGACACGGCAATGTCTGAATCTCGCAATCCTGGGGCTTGGTTGAAGGGATCATGGGTTTTGCGAGGCTGGGGCCTCTTGATTCGAAGCAGCGCATTAGCTTACTTTTACAACTTAGGCAACAGGTGACTCACTTGAGGCAGCTGTTGCCATGATCAGCACTGACCATTGAGGGTGTTTCGGATTTCAATGCATTGATTGGGGCCGGTGTGGATTGTCAAACTCTGCAAAAGGTCCCAGGCGTCTCGGCAGAAACCTTGAGCGAAGAGATGACGAGCATGGCTGCTCCGAATGTTGTTTTGCAGGTTTGATCGGCTCCTGGCAGAGCAAGAAGTGCTGTACAAGGCAGCAGCACCCACTGTCCTCCTGCTGCCCTGTCATGTAAGCCGCATCAGGACTACTTTGCGCAGCGGGAGGAGTGGCTGGTGACTGGGCAGAGTCACAGGAACATGTCGAAGTACCGTAGAACTGTTGCATGTTGGAGTCTCTTGGAGTTTGAGGGGGTGGGTATTACGTGGTCGCATCTCCACCTGGGGAGTGCCAAGCAAAGACGCGAGTCAGGGCCGGGGCCGAGACCTGTTCGGGCCTTTGCCAGCGCTGAGGCGACGACCCGGAGCCTCGAGGAGCGTCCCTGAGCTGCAAAGATCTGCGTTGAGCTTCCAGGATGCGATGCTAGGCCTGCTGGGCCTTGCAAATCGAGGAGCTAGCAAAGGGACTCTGCGGCCCTCTATTTCCAATCGTGTTTCGCCGTCGTGCCAGCAGCCTTGCATAATGGATGACAGGTTTGAAGTGCGAGCGAGTTTCGAAATGCATGCTTCTACCAACGAAGCTTTGCGGCGCAGTGGAGCTCAGGCTTGCGGCTTCAGGGAGACTTACTAACAGCTTCTTGGCCTTTACTCTGCCCGACATTTGTGCAGAGGGTCTGCTTGTTCAATCGGTTCCTCTAGGACACTTGCAAGGACTGCCAACAAAAGTGCGATATCCAAGAGGGCCAGATGAGAACCTGGAATCTCTGCTGCAGCGAAAGAGTACGGTGAAATCGGTCGGCTCTGCTCACGCTGCAGGGCCAGAGAGCGAATCAAAGAGTGGTCACGTCAGACGCTGTGAATTGAACTCCGAGCTCGTTTTGTCTGCTTTGGCCTAGGCAGCGTCTGACAGAAGGGACGGCGCCCGAGCTTCAAGAGGCGTTTGTCGAATGCTTTGGGGGGGCATTATCCAGGCAGTACGTGTCGAGATAATCATATGTTATTCTCAGAAGGCCCGATGGAACGAGCTGCGTAGACCGCTTCAACAGCACTGGTCATGTCGGGACTCCATTTTCTGCAGAAGTGAACGTTTGCGTGGGTGCCAGGAGCTTGTTTCTGCCATGGGCCGCATTGCGGCACTGGAGCAGAACGAAAGTGCGGCGGGCCAAGACAAAGCGTTTTACGAATCTGAAATCCGTGTGGTGCGCATGAGCCGAAGCCTCTGCAACTCTTGTCGAAGTGTGGTGTCTGAGGTTCTTTCACGCAAGGTCGAGGCTGAAAGACAGGGACACAGCATTGTGAAGGAGGCCGGATCCTTGGATGGAAGCGGGACCTCCATGGCTTCTTCGCAAAGATCTGTGATTGAAAGCTCAAGCTAGCATCTAAGAATTTAAGCCGTGCCACCGCGTGACTAGTCAGTTCATCATCCCTCATGTTCAATCGGTGGTTTGCAGGCCTTCGACAACTTGCAGAAAGACTGCTGCGAGCGAGAAGGCCTGAGCTTTTGATCTAGCCGGCCTGAGATAACGAGCGCGTCGACGCAATTAATGAATCCGCCGCTGCGGCTCAGGGAACAGGGGTACTATGTTCGGGAAGTGATTAGGGTGACCGGAAGCCCACGATGGAAGCCACGAGCGATATTGACCCTTATAGCTTGCTGCATTCCTTGACTCTGATGGACATAGCTCGTGAGGGACCCGTGCAACACTCGCGAATGCTGTGCAGCGATTTTTACACTTCGACTCGCCCAAACCCTGGACCCTCATGTTGTGCTGCAAAATCGGGAGAATGCTCGGGATGTGCTAGTGCGATTAGAAGCCAAAATGATTAAGAGAAGTCATAGACAGATTGGGGGTTTCAGTGTCTTCAGTCAGTGCCTTCCGTGCCTTCCTCTTCTCCCTTCCAGCTCGAAGCGAGCGGAGGCTTCCTGAAGGAGCGCCTTTCCAAGGCGGCCTGGGCCTCGGAGCCTTACACCGTGGGGCCGGGGGTGGGGTGGGGAGGTTATAAGGGGACTCGGACTCGGACTTCGCGGATGCTCTTTTAGCGTTTGGGGTTTGGTGCCCCTCCCGGCCCACCCAGGTGCTGTGGAAGAGGCGCGGAGCGAATGCCCTGCGCATCGCGCGCCGGAGGATCCAGTCCATGGTGGAGCCTTGGAAGAGATTGGCATTAAAACAGGTCTTCGAGTTGTAGACTTTTTCAAGCGTGTCCGATAATATCCTGAGTGGCTTCACAGAATGTTTGTCGAATTAGACAGAAGAGCTGATCGGTGCTTGTTCCCATCGTCGATCCGCCGTGCGAGGCCAGCTCTGACTACGAGCGCGTACAGCAGCAGCTGCAGGCTGGGTAAGGGACTGCACGCCCCGTGCACCGTATACTTACAGTAAACCACGACGTTCAGGTGAACTTGTGCAGAGAGCCTGAAGCCAGGCCCCAGCCTGTTTGAGACTAGTGATTAATCCAAGGTGTGCCGCCAGCGTGAGTTCGACCTCTCCAGGAGGCAGACAGAGCTGACCTTGAGCCTCAGCCACTTTAGATCGTTTGGCTTTGGAGTATGTCTTTCCCATTTCCCATGCCTGTCATGTGTCCTCAGCGCTTGCAGTAGAGAATTGCATAGTTACTAGCGACAGATTCCAAGGAAGGTGGCCCAGCAGGAAGACAAGCTGCGGGCATCTTGGCCAGAACATGGTGGATGAGACGCTTTCTGTAACTTTCGTAGTGCACGCAGGAGATGATGGACCTTCAAGATCGCTGTGGCTCGGCCGATACCATGGCAGGTGTAAGTTGGTACTCGGTTCAGAGGGCCAACACCATCGCAAAAACTCCATTAAGAGGAATTGCAGGTGAGGCTAGGTGGTTAGACCATGGCATCTTGCAGCCTTTCCTTCGTGGTGTCACGATGCATCGAGGAGATAAACATGCCGTCCGATCTGCAATGCTTCGAATCTGCGATGCTCACCGTCCATAACCCTAGCCATACTCCATAGGAGGCACTACGATCCTGTGCCAGCCGAGCCGGCTTTTTTCACAACACAGGTGTGCTCGGCATAGATGGTCGCATCATAAGGCCCCTTCCAGCTCTGACCGGGCCTAGAACTTTGAAAGAAGCAAAGTGGAGCGCCCTGAGTCTGAGGCTACTTCGACTTACTTAAAGTATCCTGGTATCCTCAAGCTTTCTGGCCGAGGCAGAAGCTTAGATCATCTTGTCCGGGAGACGGAGCAGGAGTGCCTTCTACAGTGCACCCTTCAACTTGATTCGCAAAAATTCTGCTTGTCGTGCAGAAGAGTCACAGAGGCGAACACCGTGGAAGTCCCCAGAAAACGCTGCAAGAAACCGAAAATGCGCCTCGAGTCTCATGTGCACCGAACTCAGGCAAGGCTGTAGGAACTGAATTGTGGAGTGGAGCATGGTGCCTGGCACGTCTTTCATTTGGAGTCGCGACGGTTTGGCCTTGCATCAGGAGTTCACCGTACTCCGTCGCCGACTCCAGCTCCGAGAACCGCGCTTTGCTGCTGAGGCTCACGGATGTCGGGTTCTCGGACTCCTTGAGACCATCATAGCTTTGGCAGGTGGCGCTCTTCACACGCCTGACGGCGGCCGCTGGGCTTCGTTGCAGGGGAATCCCGTAGCATAGCGCAGAGCCTGCTTGGAGTCTTTCGTACTGCAGGTCCGCGTGTGCACACATGAAGTGAAGCCTTTCCAAACTCAGCAAAGTTCCTTCCTCCTCCTTGCCGGAAGCTTCAGGAGCTGCAGCGAACCCTCGGCTTCGTGGGCAGCTTCGAGGCTGGAGTCTACAGCGGCAGTTGCAAGATGCACCCCTTGTCACCTGTCCTGGTTCGGGACTTAACCTGCAGACCAAGCATTCCTACGCTGTGTGGGCAGTTGCCTGACTTCGGGAAGATTCTTGGTGGTTTTGGGCTTCCTAGGTCCTTTGTAGCTCCCCCCTGTCTTTGCACCAGGCTGCGGCCAGAGCTCTCGGTCTTGCCGAGGCTGGGGGGCTTTCGGTTTCGGTCACGCGGGCCCTATCACGCACATGACTCACATGATTGCATTGTACAATTGAGCCTGCTTCTAATAATTCTAACGTGGTCTTCTTGGTTCGCGTCCATGGACGAAGCACAGGCTTGGCAGGAGGAGACTTCATTTTTTATTTCCGGGGCTTCGTTTGTTGATTCTGATACGTGGCTTTTGGCTGAGTTTCCGTGTGTATGTCTCTTCCCCGTCCCCCCGATTCCACAAGTGAAGGGGGACAACTGGCAGAAATGGAAATTCTACTCGTTCTCGCAGTTGCGCTCTGTGTGTCAAGCTCCAGTTGATCACCCCTGCCCACTTGAAAGCCAATCTCTGCATGTGGCTGCTTGCACCTGAGCCTCCGCACGCATGCATCACGACATCAAGGTCTTAGCCGGTTTGCTGGGAAGAATTGGTGTTCCAGATATCTCGAGGGTGTCGGGGTTGAAGATAAGTCAGATCAGGCAGCATGCGAACTGCAACTCACAGGCTTCCAGCATGCTTAGCCATTGCAATGCCCAGGCTCGCGTGGCAGGTCTGGGCTTCGAGGTGGGCGAGCAAAGCAGCGAATTCGTAGCCTCGACGATCATGAAGTGGCAACCAGGCTAGTGCCAGGCCTGCCGTAGCAGGAGAAGCAATCTTCAGGGCATCCTGCTGGGCCGACACAGTTTAGCCGTGACAGCTGAGAGCCCATGGTGTGACCGCTGCGCTTCTGTAGTTGTATCCTCTTGGGTCACTCGCGGACTTTGCACAGAATGGTGCGGCCATCAATGTGGAAGCTTCTTTAGATGAGAAGCTGCGCTGCTTGGAAGCACATTGTGGCCCAGGCCTTTCTAGCCTTTGCTCGGAGGATCCGCGGGGGAGTCCGGCCGATGCTGAAGTGAAGCAAAGGCTAGAAAGGCTAGGTCCAGGTTGTGAGAAAATAGGACATTCAACGGCCGGTCGACTCTCGTTGCCATGACCGAGGCAAGTTCGACGTGAACAACGATGGATTCATCAGTCTCGGAGATCTCCGCAAGTTCTTTGAGAGCCACTGAGCTGGAAGAAGCCCACAGCATGAGAGCTGGAGTGTGTCCCAGTTCCTTGCCTTGAGTATTACGCCGTCGCAGCGTTTCCAAACGACTCCCCCTGAGGCCTCTCGATCAAGGTCAAGGAGCTTCTGAAGTTGCGCTTCCCCGGCACGTGCTCACATGGAATTCCGTAGCAGGGACTTGGCAGTGGCGCCGCAAGAAGCTTCCATGCAAGCCACCTCCGTGTCTCCGCAGGAGGACGAGCTGCAGCTCTTGGCCGAAGCCCTGCATGGGGCACAGTCTCAGGTGACGGCTCCGAGACCGCCGCCCAGTGCCCCAGGCCGGTCTCGACCGATGAGACTGACGCAGCTCTTTTGAGAAACCACACTTCGAATGGCACTCATGCTTGCGAACGGTTGCTGCGCAGAGGCACCTTGAGCCCACCTGCACCGCCGGAGCCAACCGCCGCCGACAAGGTGTTGTGGAGTTGTCAATGCTTGTGACTATCTCATGTGCATGCATTGCACCAAACCGGCCTGCAGACGTTTGACTGTTCGTTACCTGCGGCTTGCTATCAGGTCAATGTCTCGATTCTTGGTGTCGTTGGTCGCTTCAGGCGCACAGACTGCACATGCCAGCACATCACGTGACAACTTGGCAGCGCCTGTCTCGCAGTCCTTCGTGTTTGCATCTCCAGGCCCCGCAGGCCCCAATCTCCAAGCTCGGTAGTTGCCTCAGTTCCGCATCTGCCAAGGCTCTATGGTCTTCGGTCGCTGGAACCAGAGGAGCTTCGGGGGCCTACTGTAGGGCCCGAAAGACAGGATCAGCAAAAGGCTCCGGTAAAGAACTGTTCTCAGTAGTTTCTTGACCAAGGAGTCGCAAACTGTGCAGTGTGAGGAGGGGTCATTGCGGCAGGATGCAAACTTGGCCTTCATTTTCGCCGTTCCTGACACGGTTTCGCACAATGCGACGAAGATGTCATCATGAATCACGATCGTGGGGGATGGGCAGTACTTCTGTTCTTCGTGACTTGCGCTTACACAATAACCGGCTCAAATCCAGTTAAAGGCTCGCCCGCTTGCTCGAAAGCCATCGTGCCATTCGCATTCCGCAAAAAAGCCAAAGACCGTGGCGCAAAATCGGCAGTTGAACCAGTTGTGAAACATGGTCGCGCTGTAACTCTATGTGAACACGGTTTGGGTGTTTGTGCTGACATGGTGTGCCGTAGCTCTGCCATCGCTGGTGTAGCTGGTAATACATGTAGCCTGGCTATGATGAGAGGCGACGTCTTGCCTTCTTTTGCCCGGAGAAAGCACTATGCTTGAGACGTTGCGTTCTCCCTGCAAACAAAGTGCACATTGGCGCCACCTAAGGTATCTGCTTAAGGCTTAGTCTACTTCGGAACTGTTCGACACCGTCGTCGAGTTCACCTCTTCGGCTTTTGCAGGAGCTTTTCTGGGCATCCTTCCAAGCACTCCTCTTCCGGCTGCCGGACCAGTTTCTCGGTGCTCTCGGAGTTTCCGGGGCTTCGGGGCTCTGCCGTTCCAGCTATGGGGCAAGTGGTTCTCGCATGTTTGCTTCCTCACGGTTTTCGTTTTGATGCACGAGTCGTGTCGGGTATGAAACTGCTACCATCTGCTACCTTGTCCTCTTGGAGTTTGCTAGACGCGTTGGACCTGGACTGAGCAGCAAGAAACAGGTCATTCACCATAACAAGCAGGGAGCAGGCAGGAGAAGCAACAAGATCACTCGTGTAGGTGCATACAGGTGCACGCATACACATACTGGCAACTGCTATAATACGAAAACGAGCCGTAAGCCTATGCTCTGCATACAGGCGGTAGTCAACCATGTTTGATTGATGCACCATGTACAAGTATGCAGCATGCATGCAGAAGCCAAGGATTTTCTGCGACATGTGGATCCAAATCAATTCTCGTACGTGTACACTGTGTGATTGCGTTCATGCATGTACATATGCAAATACGTGTACACACGCATGCATGTATGCATACATGCATGCGGCCATACGTACCTATGTACACACGTGATACATATTATGTCCTTACCTGCCTACCTACCTACCCACCCGCCCAGCCACTCACCCATCCACCGGCTTGCCGGTCTACATACACATGTGGACAGACATACATGCACGGATGCGCTCACTTAATGTATTCTCAGGCCAGATGCTCAGCAGGTGCTGCGCAATAGCTTCATGCGGCTCCGCAACGCTCAGGCCATGGCGTGGAATAGTTGCAATCTTGACAACGCTCTCCTTGTGGTTGACGGTTGCAGTGGCGGCGGCAGTGTTAGCCGTTTCAGTACTTCCGATAGTCAACATCGCCGTAGTAGTCGCAGTCGCAAGCATCGGAGTAGTAGCAATAGGAGTAGTAGTTGTAGTAGCAGTAGTAGTAGTAGCAGCAGGAGGAGTAGTAGTAGTAGCAGTAGCAGTAGCAGTAGCAGTAGTAGTAGTAGTAGTAGTAATAGTAGTAGTAGTAGTAGTAGTAGTAGTAGTAGTAGTAGTAGTAGTAGTAGTAGTAGTAGTAGTAGTAGTAGTAGTAGTAGTAGTAGTAGTAGTATAGTAGTAGTAGTAGTAGTAGTAGTAGTAGTAGTAGTAGTAGTAGTAGTAGTAGTAGTAGTAGTAGCAGTAGTAGTAGTAGTAGTAGCAGCAGTAGTCGCCGTCGTGGTTGCACTCGCAGTCGTCGTCGTGGTCGTAGTCGCAGTGCACTGGTGCTGCTGGTGGTGCTGCTGATGATGGTGGTATGTGGTGGTGCTGCTGCTGGCAGTAATGAGGGGGGTGTGCGTGAGCTATGCAGCATTGGAAATACATACAAAAAAGTCTACTAGTCATTAGCCTCAATTATGACAGTACTGACAGCAAGACTAGCAACCAATGTGGTGACACTGAAGGAACAACGGCAACAATGTAGAGTCCAAGCAATTGATGAGAGTATTGGTAATGACACTGCGCACCAACCACTGAGAGTACTAGTGCTACCACACTAGCACTATACAGAGGTGCTGGGTGATTTGCCTCGATCGGATGCTGTCTGGCTCAAAGTGCTGACGGCAAGTGGTTCTTCTTCTTGTTTTATTTTTGGCGAGTTCCGCGCTCTTCTCGCAAAAGTAGTCGAGCAGTCGGAGGTTCCGGTCATTGATTGGCCACTTTTCACTCATGATTTCACCATCCGTCCACTGCTGTAGAGCAGCCCCGGCTTCGCCCACGGCAGCACTGGCATCTCGGCCATCAAAAGTGTCCGGGTGCGTCTCTTGGCGAGCGCAGAGCACCAAAGCCAACCGAGGTACAACACGCAGAAGCTCTTCGCAAGTTGGCCGAACACGCGGGTTATCAGAGTGTGGGACATTCACGCCTTTGTGTCATTTGAACTTGCGTGGTTAGCTCAGGGCTTGAGCCTCAAACCCTAAATTATCAGATTTGTACTGCTTTCTTGCTTTGCTGGCATCTTCGTGGCCTGAAGCTGAGGCAAAGAGCGGCGGAGTTCCACTCTTGATTTGCTCTTTCCTATGTATGTGGTTCCTTTGGACAGGGCGCTCGAGATGAGTGAAGTCCGCTCGCACGAAGAGCTGCTGGCCGAGAGCTCGCTAATCCAGTTCGATGAGTCCAAAGGTCGCGTAATCTTCGTCTCGCACGAGTGGTCTGGCACCCAACACGCTGACCCAGAAGGGGAGCAGCTGGCAGTTCTGCAGAATGCCCTGAGGCATATGCTCAGAGAAAGGGACAGAGTTCCCATTGATGTTACCACGGAGATTCTGTTTGGACAGCAGCAAGGCCTGAAAACCAGGGAGATGCACGACCAGCCGCTTTTCATCTGGTTCGATTACTGGTGTGTGCCGCAGCTGCAGCTGTCAGTCGCGGGGCTACAAGTAGAGACTGCCCAGCAGAAAGCACTGGACAGCATCCCGGCATACGTGGAGAAATCCTGCTACTTCTTCATCCTTTGTCCACATGTCCGCCATCAGAACTCCGGGCAGCTGCTCAGCAAAAGGACTGGCCCCAATCCTACTCAGTACATTAAATTGAACTTCGCCAATTCGACTAGCAATGCACTTGAGAGACTCTGGGGGGTGTAGGCATTCATTAAGATATGTATATAGTACGACGCATTATATATGACCCTCACTTCTCAGCCACTTTTCGGAGCGAAGTCTGGGCGAGCTCCTAGCACTCGAGCAGGGCATTATGCGACATGAGCCATCCCCGGCACTACTGTTTCACGCTTGATCCTTGCACATGAGTGTGTGTGTGTGTACCTCTGTACCAAAGGGTTCAGGCCGTAGAATTTAGGACGTAAGATCTATATAGTCAAAAAGCGGGACTGCCGAAGCCCATGAAAACGTACCTGCTGGAAAATGTAGCAAGTTAGGACACACAGCATCCATCTAAGTAGGATGACTGGTTTGCAAGTGTGTGTGCGCAGGGGGCCCCAGCGCTCATCATACAGCTCAGGCCGACGAAGCTCTGTATGATGCAGCCAGGAAAACGTACCTGCATGTGCAATGGCACCCAAGCTAAGCAGCTAAGCCATAAACTTGGCATGCCGATGTAAGAAGCTAGCATAAACAGCATCCATCTAAGTAAGGATGACAGGTCTGCAAGTGTGCGTGTGTCTCTGTGTGTGTGTGTGTGTGTGTGTGTGTGTCTGTCTGTGTGTGCGTGTGCGTGGTGTGTGTGTGTGTGTGTGTGTGTGTGTGCGTGTCTGTGTTTGTGGAGCAGGGGAACTGGCATAGCGAAGACGCCAGCATACGCCAGCATTGCATCTGTGGTGAAACGAGTCGGGACGCTGACTCGTGTAAAGGCCAGGTCAAATTACTTTACACAGCTGTTGCTTCATACTGGCCGAAGAAATGATCCCGATCAGAGTCAAAGCGGGAATAAGATATCGAGTGCAAGTTGAGATGAAGAGTGAAGAGGTGTAACTAGCTTGCTGCTAAACCAAGTTTTCGCTTAGGATATATCGTCGAGGGTCGTTCCAGGTGTGTGTGTGTGTGTTTATTACAATGTGGTGCAGTTTCACATTCAGAAGCAGTGGGGTACAATACAATGCAAGACAGTGTGGTAACCTATGCCATCATAGACCAAAAGCATAACAGCAGATGACAGCTGGAAACTTGGGAAGTTAAGAAGACCCAGCGGTGGCGTTTCGGTGCGGGTCTCGATGCAGAGATATATATATATATATATACATATTGTATACGCGTATCATTATAGTTACATACATGTACATACGCATGAGCACATGGTCAATTCAAGCATACGGAAATGCGATCACACTAAACTGGTGTCACACATGCTGCAGCAGGCCCTTTGTGCAAATGCTGGCACGAACCCACATGTCACACACACACACACACACACACAATCACAGACACGCACGCCCGCCCGCCCGCCCGCCCGCCCGCCCGCCCGCACACACGCACACACACACACACACACACACACACCCACCCACACACCCACCCACACACCCACCCACCCACCCACCCACGCACCCACCCACACACACCCACACACACACACACACCACACACCCACACACACACACACACACACACACACACACACACACACACACACACACACACACACACACACACACACACACACACACACACACACACACACACACACACACACACACACACACGCACCCACACACGCACCCACACACGCACCCACACACGCACCCACACACGCACCCACACACGCACCCACACACGCACCCACACACGCACCCACACACGCACAAAGCCACGTCATAACCAAGACGCTGTCTTGCTAACTGCGCCGCACACCCACTAACCACGACTCGTTTTTGTCTTACACATGACATCGCCCATTGCCCTGCTGGCACTGCTGCTCGAGCGTGTTGTAGTTCCTTTTTGGGATTACCTTATAGGATTCTACATATGACCCCAAAAAAGAACTACTGTGGGTTCCGTGCTCATCTCGTTCGTTGCTGGAGCGCTGCGAACTGATAAGCCAATAATTTCCAAGTGTACATGCACTTCACCAATGTAATGCTCCTCCGCTGCCCCTTGGGTGCATGGAACCAGCGCATGTGCTGACGCTGGAGCACACAGGCTTGGCTTCTGCTTAGAAGGGTTTAGGGTTTAGGGTGAGGTGTGGAGTTGGTGAGTCAGCTCTGCACCGCTTATTTCATTGTCGCACCTCTCCATGTGAGTTTTTGGACCAGGATCTCGAGGGTAAACGTCGCACAAGAATGTGCTAGCTGTTTGGCGGTGTCGTCGCTTGCACGCTTCATTTCATGCAAGCGGCTCTGAATAGCTGCTAAGGAGCTGACTTTGCGGATCGGGGCGCACCAGGCCCCCCTCATGCTGCCATCTGGCATCGTCTTGGGCGTCTCTCGCTTGTGTGCCAGCTGAATGTTCTCACCGCTTGTTCAGCAGGCCAGCTGGTTTACGGATTTGGATATGCGATTGTGGCAGCCGTGCTGCAGTCAAGTCAGCTCGGTTGCCGTGGCAGAGGGAAGGAAGCGGACTGCTTCGATGGCGATCTAAGGAATTTCTTCGACCTCGTGCTGGTCTTTGACATTGTGGTGGTGAGACGCTCGAAAGCAACAGAGCTCTGGGTCTGCCCTCTGCTCTTGGTCTGCCTGTGCTGCCAGCCCGTTGCCCTGCCACAAGGAGCCATGGGTGCCGGCGCAAATGGTTTCGACACGGTGAAGATGTTGAAGACCCTCTGCATTATCCGAAGCTTGGAGTGAGTCTGTTACGGCGTGAGCCCCCCTGGCCGGTCATGCTGCTCGTACGAAGGAGTCTTCAGAGTATTTCGCTTCTTTCGGCAGCTGACGCAGCTGGCATTGATGATCACCGCCGCTTGACAGAGGGCCGGAGACACGCATTTTGTTCCCTTCCCCAGACAACCTTAGGCCCTAAGTCCTAAGCCCTTTGTGGTATTCCGACTAAGCAGCCTAAACCTCAACGCACATGAAGTTCCCAACCCCTGTACCCTTGCGCTGCCCGGAAGGCCTCGAAGCCTTGCGGCCGATCAGGGTGCTACAGGCTGGAAGCATCTCTAGTGTCTGGCAAGTGCGCTGGTAGCCCGGTCATACAGAGTCCGGCATGAGCACTACAGACCCGAAGCCCCCGGCACGAGCGAGTCAGCAGGAATCACAGCAACCAATCAGCATTCGGGGGCTTGGAACCCAATACGGGTCTAGGCTGAAAGTCAGGGCAAGGAAGGACATGGCCATGGGGTTTGCAGTAGCTTCATACTTTTGGATCAATTTATTGTGAGCTTCGTGAGACACACGTCGTGCCCACACGGCCATGGAACCAGCCCTGCCTGTTGAAGAAGAAGATCCAAATCCTGCCCGTCCGGCGAGACGAAGCTTGCAATTCCAAGAATTGGAGCGTGTCTCGTATTCGGCAGACCGTTTACCAAAGGACTTTATCAAAAACGTATTGAGAGCTGCTGCTAGACTTTGGGCCTCTACAAATGATGTCACGCTCGGAAACATATCCACACCCCGGCAGCTGCCGCGAGACGATTGGCGGTGCACGGCTCGCTGCCACCGCTGTGCTATGTGCGTCCAGGGAGCCGGCAGGGTCTTTGCCTTCACTGGATGCTGGGCGCGGGTCGGCATTTTTGAGCTCTCAGTGCAAAGCGCCGGCGCTTGTCATGGCGAGCCCCAAAAGGCGCGCAAAGCCAAGAAACACAAAGATGGTGAGATTACAGTTGGCGAAAGAGAACAGGTTTTGAAGGCAGCAGAGACTCTCTTGGTCACCAGCCGCAAAGCCACCACAGCTGCGGTTGCAATTCGCATGGGCCCGGGCATCCCCCGGGCGCGTATTCGCACGATCCTCCGGAACCACAAAAGCAAATATGGGGCAGGGACCCGCGAGTGGACAGAGTCCCAGGACACGTTCGAAGCTTTTGCTGCTACCCGAGACACGGAGAAGCTCGAGTTTGCCTACACTTCTAGGCCGGGTGCTTCGCATGAGGAGTTAGCAGCACGGGTAAGGGTTTTCATTTTCGCCCTCAGGACGCCTTTTCACTGGTGGTGCGGCTGACTGGCTTTTTCGAGGCTGCAAGGGACTTGCACAGCCGGCACCCAGATGCAATCCATGTCACGAGTGACTTCACGTTTCGCTTAGCGATCATGGGTTACTCCTACGGAGTGCTGTGCACCTCGACCGGCATTGGTTCAACAATTGTCTAGAGCCCTTGTTGACCCCAGGCTGACGGCTGCGCACAGATCAGTTGTTTCTCAAGCGGCTAAGGTCTTCGAGTGCACAGGCGCTTGCAGCAGACCTCTCGGAAGTCCTTCTGGCCAATGGTTATGTCGTGCAGTCGCAGTGAGGATGGGACCATCTACGGCCGCATGCTTGTCGCGCTTCGAGACGGGTTGGCCGCTCGAGGATTGCCAAAGCCCTCGAGCATCAGCTTAGATTGGTTCGACGGATCCAGAATTGCCTCTGCCTCTACCTTTCCACGCATTCAGCTCCGTTGTGGAGTAGAGCACATGCGGCGGAATTTGAAGTCCAATCAGTCCGCTGGCACCAGGCCTCCCCGGCAGGCCGCCCCCAAGGCCGCCGGTCGCGGGAGAGCACGAGCCCAGGCCAAGCCCAAGGCCAAAGCCAAGGCTAGGCCACCGCACTTGGTCAATCGGCCAATATGGGCCGCGCTTGCGCTGGTACGCTGTCTTCTTTTTGTCCCGACCGAGTCCATGCTACATGTATTTCTGACCGTGATCCTGGACCGCATTCGCCGAGTCTGGTTGGAAAACCGGTGGGCTTCATATTGGGAGAAGGAGTACCTGTGCTGGAGAGATGTGCCGATGGAAACATATGGCGTTGCAAGGCTCTTCACAGCCCTCTGGTGGTCCGGCCTGGGATCTTGCAAGGGTTTGCACAGCGTGGGTCATCCATCCTCGCAACAGACAGCTGAGGCCGCCAATTCAAAGTTGAAAAGAGATTTGCGCAGCCAGGGAGAAATTCGAAAACATGAGGATGTGATCCTTGCCCTGGAGAAGTGTTTGCCTACATGGCTGGCTCCCCTGAGCCCTGTGGATGAGGCCAGCAACGAGCCTATTTCTATGATGGGCGAC